GTTTGCTTTCTTTTTCTCCCTTCTCATTCCTTATTAATGACAAAACAAGACACTGGGTGAACTTGAATGTAAAGACAGATTTGAAACTGAAAGTCCAAAATGGCTGCCTTAACATTTATAAAGAACATTCAAAAACAGTTCTAAATTTTCATACCAAGAAATATCCCTGAACATTTGAAATCAATCTATCTAACAATTCATCTTGAAACACTAATACTTGTAGACAAGACATCACAAACAAGATTCTATATTGGAAAATCCAGAATAGCCACCTTAACATTTAGCCTGAATGCCCAAAAACTTATCAGTTGTAGATTTACAAACAAAGAAATATCCTTAAATATTTGAAATCAATCTGTCGAATGGTTCCACTGGAAAAAAACGTAGACAAAACTTTACAGATATGGTTTTAAGACGGAAAATCCTAAATGGTTGCCTTAACATTAACCCAGAATGCCCCAGAAACTAATCAGTTTTAGAATTTTACACAAAGAATCCCTGGAAGTTTGAAACCAATCTGTCAAACAGTATGACGGGAAAAATTCTTGATGAGCAGAGGTCCTTTCTCCATAAGACACCAGCATAGAATAATTGATTTTACATATTTAAGGTAGTTGTATATACTAAAAATAGATGGCGCCATGCTATAGCATAGGAGCAATGATTTGACGAGTGTTGAACTGAGGACAAATAAATCATGAATATAATTGAAAAATTATATTTTTTTCGGAGAGCAACGGTAAAAAAACTACTTAAAATTCTAAACTTTCCAGTGTGCAAAAATAAAAAATCCTGTCTTTCAGTTTTTGAGATAATACAGCCTCTTAATCCCCTACTTTCTTACTCTTTAACATGGGGGATCAAAAAATTTTCTTACTTTAAGTAAAACATGAAGTCCGTGGCATCAACTGTTTTGTTTGATTATGAAGAATAATCATGTATTGGTCATTTAACATAAAAATATTCATTCTGTATACACTTTATCATAAGGTTATCTTTAGGCATCAGGGTATACAACTACCTTAGCTTTTATACTGCACTGACCATAATCAAATATGTCAAGCCATTTACTCAGACTTCTAATATTTCTAGTACTTGTATTTTATTAAAGACAGACTAAAGAAGGAATATCCCAAGAAATCCTCAAAAATAAAATGTAAGATCAATGAATGACCTGATATTTCTAATACATGTACTAACATCCAGATTTAGTTCATCCAACAGTTAATCCCAACCATATGCTTGCTGTCTGTCTGAATACTTATCAGAGGTACCACTGGCATCATAATAAACACTATTTGCAAAATGGCACCATTCAGCAGACTTACATGATGAAAAAGAAACATACATGATTTGCAGCATAGTTGTACATAACACTAAGCAGACACCTCATTAAGCAAAATTGATATTAATAATCTGTATATAAATAGAATAAATAGAAAAACAGCTCTTTTTGATCAACTCTCATTACACCATTTAAGAAATTCTTTCTCCATATAAGGCTTCTTATCAGCCTACAAAATTTGAACCAAATCTAATAACTTGTATTTGAGTAATTTGAATAAAGAGGGATGCTGCAACAGGAAAGCACAATCAAGACCCCTGGACTTTTTGTAAGTTGAACATTCCACATCATTCACCTATCTACTTACCAATGAAGAAGCCGCAAATACACCACTTTATGTGCTAATTTTGCAATTGTGCTGTCTGAAATTAATTATCTGAAACTTGAATAAACTGAGGAAATCAATATGCCATCTGATTGGTCCTTAAATTAGTTTATCAGTATGGTCACATGACCAGAGGAGTTCTTGAATTGGCAGTTCTGTAATTTCTAAAAGAAATAAAAAACTGGCTTTATATCTGATTGGCTGCCTGGCTCAGTTTGCTGAGTTTGAGTGTCATCATGCAGGATGGGAATCTAGAAAGTGTTAAAATATTGAGAATAGAGAAAAAATAAATCACTCTAATTAAGTTTTTTTGTATAATTTGGTAATTTGTGAGTGATGACTTACCTAATTTAAGGCTGATGTTCATACTTTCAAACTTGTCTCTGGACTTGAATTATTAAAGATTACACTTTACAAAAACTGGCCACCATTTTGAAATGAGTGGCCATTTTGAAAATTCCCTCTTGAGCAGAGGTCCTATGGCCTTAAGCCATGAGCTTATAAAAATTAAATCCATCCATACAGAACTTGAATTACCGCCCATTCGAATGAACAAAAAAAAAACACGAATGGATGGATGATGGCTAACTCATTTAAATATGAATAATAAACCCAATCCCTGACCTAAACCAGAACAACGGCAACGCCAAAGCGTAGCGAATCCCATCGAACATTTTTCAAAAGGGGCACCTTCTACCAAAAGTGTCATTAGACAGTGTGCCATGCTTATAATATTCACATACCAAATATGAACAAAATCGCTCTACTACTTTTCGAGTTAAAATAAAATACGTTAAAATGGTGGCCATTTTGAAAAATGGCCGCCTTCTACTAAAAGTCTCATTAGACAGTGTGCCATGCTTTTAGTATTCACATACCAAATATGAACAAAATCGCTCCACTACTTTTCGAGTTATAGTAAAATACATTAAAATGGCGGCCATTTTGAAAAATGGCCGCCTTCTACCAAAAGTTTCATTAGACAGTGTGCCATGCTTATACGTATTCACTAACCAAATATGAACAAAATCGCTCCACTACTTTTCGAGTTATAGTAAAATAAGTTAAAATGGCAGCCATTTTTCAAAATGTCCGCCATTTTTCAAAATGGCCGCCTTCTACCAAAAGTGTCATTAGACAGTGTGCCATGCTTACAGTATTCACATACCGAATATGAACAAAATCGCTCCACTACTTTTCGAGTTATAGTAAAATACGTTAAAATGGCGGCCATTTTCAAAAATGACCGCCCTCTACCAAAAGTGTCATTAGACAGTGTGCCATGCTTATACGTATTCACATACCAAATATGAACAAAATCGCTCCACTACTTTTCGAGTTTTAGTAAAATAAGTTAAAATGGCGGCCATTTTTCAAAATGTCCGCCATTTTTCAAAATGGCCGCCTTCTACCAAAAGTGTCATTAGACAGTGTGCCATGCTTATAGTATTCACATACCAAATATGAACAAAATCGCTCCACTACTTTTGGAGTTACAGCAAAAATCGTAAAATAACGAGAAAAGGCCGCCATTTTTCAAGATGGCTGCCATGTGCTTTTTTAATATCTACATTTCTAGCTTTATTAATGTCCTATATAATTTTTTTTACATTTAAAACATATTGCTATTACAGTTTTACATATTGCACCTAAATTACTGTAAAATCGGCACTAAAATGGCCGCCATTTTGAAATGAGCGGCCATTTTGAAAATCGGCTTTCGAGCAGAACTTCTAACCCCATAGGGTATATGTATACAAAATATGAATAAAATCGGGCCAACGGTATTTGAGTTATTGCCCGGACGGACGGACGGACGGACGTACGGACGGACGGACGGACGGAGGCGTTCCCTATATCCCTCCGAACTTCGTTCGATGGGATAATAACTGATTAATCTGCCTATTTGTGCAGCTATACGATCTAGTCACTAATTCAATCGAGCGGCTTAATCATAATCAATACTTACAGTGGCATAAAAAGTCATGTGATCACTGGTCACAGTTCGTCCATAAAAGGGTTGTTTGTTATTTCAACTTCAAAACTGATGAGTATATTTTATGCAAATTACCTATAAATTGGAGGTCACACTCGCAGCCAGTAGTCTGTAGTTGTATTTGCGAATACAGGATTAGATTACAATTTGAGGTTTAAAACTAAATGGAGAGGGATACAGAAAAGAGAAATCAAGAAATGGTTGACTAGAAAAACAGCAACTCCCTGGATTAGCAAATCCCAACAAACAAAACTTATTTAATAGAACCACTCATCTCTTTGAAGTGGAAAACAAAGGATGACTTACAATGACAATACGCATTGCAGTTAAGGGTTAGCATGACCAGTAAAGCTGGTAATTTATTACAATATGAGGAAGACCACATCCATTTAATCATACCACAATTTCATCCTGAATATTGTACTTTTCACAATCATTGTACAAAACCAATCAATATTTGTACAACTCAACAACTTATTTCAAAATGATGGGAATTTTCTAATGATTCTATGACTGGCTGTTTTTCATCTTCTCAATTGTTCAAGTTTAATATTCACATCCTAAATTAAGATTAAATATTTGGTGACTGTAGAGAGAACATTAAATTCCCTTTAACATGCACTATAAAATTAAAACATTTATCTTCACTTTCATAGGATAAGGTCATTATTTCAACAGAAATGATCTATATTCCATATTTATGACAACGAACAACAGACCATTGCATGGTTCATAGGATATGAATTCTAACTTCTATTTGATCTTACAAATTATTTTAATGCAAAAAGTAAAGTTTAAAAATTTAGACTTGAGTTAAGATAAGTGTAAATAATATAAGAGGAACATATAGATCATTTTTTCATTTTTTAAATTCAAATTGAGAGCTTAATTGAACTGAACATGTCAGCATTTATTGAGATTTTTTTCATAAATAAGATTTAATTTTTCCAAAAATTCCAAAGTACTAGGTATTTCATGGTTGTTTCACATGTACAGTAAAACCTGTATACAGTATATTGAACATTTTTTTGCCAGGAAAAAGTGTTCAGAGTTGGGAGGAGTTCACGACTGGGATGGTAATTTATTTAGAAGTCAGTAGAGTATGTGCTGAGGAAGAGTGTCCACTAGAAGCAGGTGTTCACTAAAGAGAAGTGTTCACTAAGACAGGTTTCACTGTATTGCAAGACAGAGATAAAAGTACTATAGGTCTACTGAAGCCACAATATGATACACTGCCACTTTTGAATATCAATCCAAGTGGTAAAGGATGATTACAAAATACATTCAATATATAATTATAACCATGACTGAATGTAAAAAATACGATGACTTACGTTCATATAGCTTGACTTGATGAGCTTTGTATCCTGGGTTACAGGGGCTAATACTGATGCCTTTGAGCCTAACACAGATGACACAACTTTGGTGTCGGCCTTCACTTCCATCCTCTGAAATATGCATGCGTTGTATTAAGTAAAAAGTTAATCTTGTATCATTTCATAGACATAATTACAGACATGAATCGAAAATGAGATCATCAATACGGTCATGTATAATTACAACATACATTTTTGTTTTGTTTGTACTATGTTAAACCCAATGTAAGACATGTACAGTATATATCATTATACATGCCAAATGTCATCCTTCATTCAAAGGGCTTCATTTATCCCTCAATTATGGAAAGAATTGAAATACCCTTAGGCCAAGGATGGCCAAATGTGACCATGGGCTTTCTTGAAACCCAATGATGTGATGCATCTAGAAAAATATTGTGAACTTAAGGTAGTAAATATGTACACTGGCAATAGATGGCTCAATCCTGCAGCATAAAGGAGCAATGATTTGACAAGTGTTCAGTATTTAGGTTATACGTTTTTTATTTTATATAAATACATAATTTGGATGGACTCAATCAATTATACTTAGTCATATTATTTTCAAACATTTCCCAGTGTTCATTACAGTCTTGTCTAGATTGCCATTATAAGATAATGATACCGTAACTACATGGATTTTGAGATAAATTAACCTAGAGAGATACCACCATAAAACTACCTGTTTCAGAAAATTATTCTGCTCTTCAGTCCAGAAAATCACTCTGCCATCTCCAGAAATACAGGAAACCAAATTACCAATTGTAACAGCAAGTATTCCTACTCAGAACTATATTCACTGTTAAGAATGGAGTGCTCCCTTAACATTTCAACCATCAAAATCAAAACAAGAACCCTGTGTACTGGAATGCCATTATAGTCATCTTTAATATTGGTCTACGAACAAAACGGAAATGAACTAAGCATAGTATAAATACTGTATAGTTTAACATAAAGCAATTTACAGACTGACGATACTACTTGTATGTCCATTTTTTGTTGTCATTCTTTCAAAAGGCTAACTATTCTTAATACTATCCAAAAGTTATTAAGTGTCCTTTTAATGTTGTGCTTATAACTTAATATATAGGTTTACTTTATCAATGTTTAAAACCAAGTGATACCATTAGCATTGCCCATGGACCCCATTACAATAAACTGGTAATTAGGGAAAATATGTGAATGTTCAGTACTTACCTCAAACATTTACCTGTACACTGAAAAAACGTTTTCACTAGCAGCTATCTTCACTTATTCAATATGTTCAGAACTTCAGGTACTGTATAACACTCCAGATATTATTAGAGAAATACTGAGAACTCAAGTAGGTAAAGGCATCATGAAAAAAAGTGTAAATAAAATCCCTTATAAAAAAGACACCCAGTCAAAAGGGTTATTGACTCGTAATAAAGATTCACATAAAAAGCAAGATGTCAAGTGATCATCTTATTTAAATTCAAAATAGGGGAAAAACCTATACAGCCTGAGCTATTTTTTTTAAATAAGCCTAAAATGACCAACAAGTAAAATCTGTGAAATCTGTATGTGAATTCTTAAAGTAAGTTTTTCATCATTACTCTTCAATATCTTGGAATATCATTTTGCTCCTAAATGCATCATCTTAAAAATTAGGCCTTTGCCCCAAACCCAATGACCAGAAACAAGACATTCTCCTTGACCTAACTGAAAAACTTGGCACCTTACTTACTTCAGGGCTCTCACCAGGAAATATTTAGGGTGAGGTGGAAACATCTTTAGCATCACCGTTCCATCTTGATAAATCATCTTTATGTTATATTTTATCCTTTTTACATGCTATTATTATGTATTCAGTTGAGTTCAGAGTTTGGGAACAATCATGATTTGCCAATAGGTTGTGGTGGGAGCTAAATAGAGTGTGGTGCTGCGCCACAGTCTAAAAGCCTAGTGAGAGCCCTTCACATTTCCATGTTTTTTATTTGCATGGTTACTCATTATCTGGCATCCAAGTCATAGTTTAATACAGTTGATGTTGATCTTTTCAAATGGATGTTATTCCATGATTGATGCATTATCTATATTTTCTTTCTATATCTCTCCTTTCTATTTTTGGATTTTCTCTTTTTCCTACATAAAAAAAATTATCATTTGTTTGCATTCATGTAGAACTTGTTAGTATCATATATGTACCAATTATATCCACTTTGTTAACTGGCATTCCAATTCTTATTTTTTGGCTGTTTGCAACTCTTGAGGCAAATTCTTAAGATGATCTATAAATTGAAGAATTGTGCCATGGCCAATTGCCCTAGAAAGATAAGCAGTTTATCTTGTAAGGCCACCAAGCATCCAATAATAATATAATCTTTAGTACTTAGTCCATTTGTAAGATTTGTTACTTTGTTAAAATTGAACAATTTTACTATATGGTTCTATGCATGTTATATAGTCGCCTTAAAAACAATATGACAAATCTTCAAAGTCAAATCATAAAAACATTGAGTGGCTTCATCTGTTTTGTGGCTTCATCTTTAGCTATCCCCTACTCAATCTCTTTTGAATATCTATTCAAGGGCTTACCAAGGCAAAATTTGTAGATGGGGCAAACTTAGGCTTTAGAGTTAAAGGGCAAGAGGGGTTATAAAACCCTACTACCCCTAGCTAAAAATTCTCCCAAAATCATGCAGTTTTTCACCATTCTGAGCACTTTTCAAGTGATTTTGGCCCAAAGTTCTTTTTTCTGGACTTCATTTCCCTAGTTTGTTGAAAAATTGTCTAAAAGTTATTTTCTTCATGTTAATTTTCTTCATTGTCTTAAAGTTATTTTCTTCATATGCTCTTTCTATTCAGTGCCTCAACTTGGAGAACATTTCTGGTGGTGCTTAGAATCGACTGAGCTAAGAAAAATATGCATAGCTACTGCAGCTTCATTTATTTTTCGACATTATAATGTAGGGTGCAATTCAATCCTCGCAAGACTATAAGTCTCAGAATGGATAACAGAGGATGAGTGCTACATGGGGAGTGCTGATACCTATGATACAACAAATCGATTTCAATGATATATGATATATAATAATGTAGCCATTGTTTTATTTCGTCAGTAAAACCTAAAAAATAAGAAATCAAAAGATCATTGTGCAATAATATATGGAAAAATTTATTCCTATTGTACATAAATGACATCTTGGATTGCTTCTAATTTGGCTTATAAAGTATGTGACCTCTTATATTTTGATGCTTCTCTGCCATAGTATTTTCAAAAGGATTAACATGGCTGAAATTATTTTATATACTAGAGGGCATAGGCGTGTTGCACAACTGGGTTCTCCCAAGAATCTAATTACATGGCGCTCACCCCTGCTCACTCAATTTACCCCCCCCCCCTGCCCCCCCCCCGCTTGTTTCATCCCCCTCCCTGGTTTCTCCCCCTGCTTACTTCACCCACCAATGGTCCTCAATATAATCATGAAAGGGCCAAGGGAAGAAGTCTTTGATTTTGAGGCAGCATGGGGGAGGTGGTTTGACATGCATCCCAGAAGATGCAGGGACAGGAGGCTTTAAGGAAACTGAACAGTGAACACTACAACCATATTATCATGTGGTATTTTTCTAAATGAGATTTGGTGTTAATTTACATTTTGCATTTACAATTTACATTTTGCAAGTGAAGAAAAAGTAACCCTGTGGGAGCTGCTGAAGTACAAGCAAAAATTGACCCAAAAATCATGCGAGTGAAACGAGCAGAGAAACTTGTTTAAAAATCCCCCCTGCTATGACAAAATCCTGGGGAGATCACTGCACAAAAAACTAAATAATCTGAAATATACAAATGCCGTTCATGTACAATATGAATATACTTTTCCATATATAATTGCACAATGGTCTTCTGATTTTTTGGGGTTCTACTGACGAAATTAAACAGTGAAATGGGCTGTAGGAAACATTTACAGATACAATATATCTGGCTGCATGATTTACAGTGCATGGGGAACATAAAGAATTACTATTAGCTATTAAAATTACATGCTGTCGCACATGTTATAAATTCTTACCTCAGTGTATTCAGTGCTCTATTTTCTCCGTCCTATTAAGTCCAAATATAGTGGAATTTGTGTCCATAATGACAAATAGGAAATAAAAATTTGAAGTGGATATTCACATGTTAATGCTGACTCCTCAAATGTTGAGGTAATTTTGGAGCCCGATTATGCTGCAAGGAGGATTGGCTCCCAGAATGCAACATGACATGTGCCAGCTTTCAAAATGCTGTCCCACCATTTTGAAACCTGTCACAAGTAAATAAGGTTAACTGATGTTGCATTCTGGGAGACAATCCTCCTTGGATCACAAACATGGCAATTCATGAAAACATTTGTTCGATTTGGTAGGGATTTATCTATCATTTGCAGGTATGAAGCTTTGGATTCCTTTATTATTCTACTTAAAGTGAACGGAAATTATTTTTCTACCGCTTGGAAGAGTTTGCGACACGAAACTTAGAATTCAGCTCATTGTGACAACTTTTGGTGGTTGAGGTTTATTTTTGTTCCCCACTTTAGAAGATCACGCTGAAGCCTCTGAATGTGAACCTGACTGAAATAAGGAAGGCAACGGAACTTCCTACAATCAGAGACATTTACTTCGGTCCAAAGCCTTCTCTATATTCCGGCTTTGAGGAGGAAGATTGAGCTGCCTTAGTATTATAAATATTGTAAATCATTGTGTCACACGCACAGTAAATATGGCATAATAATATGAAATATACCTTTATGTATAGATTTGAAGAACATCAGCTCACATCCCCGTCTGAATCTATTGTTATATTTGATTTCTTTAAGCGAGAATAATTTCAAATGTTATTCACGTCCAGAACCGGAAGCCATTTTTAGCTACAGCGAGAAAATTTCACCATGTGTCAAAACTCCGAAATGAAATTTTGAAATATCTAAATCCAGACAAGCAACGCTTCATCCTAAATATGATTAATATTCTTAAAAATATTTATAAAATTTATTAAAAATGAGTTCTAGGTGCGTGTAGGTGCGTGTAGCACAGTACATACGAAATCAATGAAGTTTCGTCTAGCTGTAAGCTAGAGACTCGAGTAAAGAGACATATGTCTCTGCTACAATCAAGAGAAGCCCATGCCACTAAATAATAATATTCATGATTTCAAAACTTACCTTTTAGAAAATATGATGATATTAGAGAACTGTAGATCGACCTCCTAAATTTTGTAATTCACTTTCTGACATGATGCTTATAAAAATAGTAAATAGTTATTTTTAGACTAGGCTAAGCTTAGTTGGAGGCAAATTGTTTTGATTTGGGGGTGGGCCTGGAGTGCAGCACTTGTCTGACCTCTATTTGAAATAGATTGGAAAATCAAAGTTCATACGTATACATACCTAGCCTAGATCCATTTAATGCGTAATGAAGATATCCATGCTGTCTCAAAAATACTTCAGCTAACGAACAAAACTCGCTCTAGGTCGAAACATACTTTATTTACGTGAGCAGACGACTAACAAGAACCGAAAAGTAAAACAACTTTCGATGATTGGTCATAAAGTGTAATTAGCGGATAACAGTTTTAAAGGAAGTTCATGTGTTTAGTCAAATACTCAACAGAAATCAATATATTTTACAAATTTGTACTTCTTATTTTCAATTCTGCATTACTTTTGTAAGATTTGTAAGATCCTATTCGGATTATTTTATTTTAGCCCAATTGTTTAGACGAGTTATCCGAATTTTACACTGATAATTGAAATTACGCATGCGCAGTTAAATCCGGAAGTATCAAAAAATACAGAAAAAAATAAAAACACCGAATGCATCTAACTGACGATTATCATTATCTCTTTTCTATTCATATAGCCTACAATGATACATCTGTCTATAGATGTATGGAATAATTTGATTTGATCGGTGTCCTAACAATTTAGGTAAGAGTCTAATTTTATCAGGTATAAATTGAGCGAAGTGTCTGGAGTAGTCTAGTCTAAAGTGGGGGACAAAAATAAATCTCAACCCTCAAAAGTTGTCACAATGAGCTAAATTCTAAGTTTCATGTCTCAAACTCTCCCAAGTGGTAGAAAAAAAATTCCCATCCACTTTAAGTAGCACAATAAATGAATCCAAAGCCTCATACCTGCAAATGATGGATAAATCCCTATCAAATCGGACTAATGTTTCCATGAATCGCCATGTTTGTGATCCAAGGAGGATTGACTCCCAGAATGCAACATCAAGTAACCTTATTTATTCGTGACGTATTTCAAAACGGCGGAATGGCATTTTGAAAGCTGACACGTGTCATGTTGCATTCTGGGAGCCAACCCACATTGTGGCGTAATCTGGCTCCAAAATCACCTCAACATTTGAAGAGTCGGCATTAACATGTGAATTCCACATCAAATTTTTAAGTTCTTATTTGTCATTATGGACACAAATTCCACTATATCTGGACTTACTATGACGGAGAAAATAGAGCACTGAATACACTGAGGTAAGAATTTATTACATATGCGACAACATGTAATTTTCATAGGTTTTGTAATTCTTTATGCCCCCCACTGTACCTTAAAATTTAAGGCTATTTAGCTGTGAACATAGCGTTTTGGCTAGAGAGCCTTTGTGTTTATAATCCGTGTTTATATTGTTTTTTATTGAAGTTTTCGTCATCTAAACAATAAAACAACACTCTCGAAAGTTTTTCAACCCAGAATGCCACTTAAAAATTTCACACGTGTATATCTAGACTTGCAAAAAATAACCCCTATCATGTAAAAACACTCTGGTATAGTGGTTAGGGGAGGCATCAAAAGATCAATGTCTGATAGAAAACTAAATAAATCTAGTTTGGGGGGGAGGGGGTCAAAGCTATTTCAGTTTGCTATCCGACAAATTTCAACATTTAAATTTTTTGCAATTTCGACTCAAAATACCTTGGAATGGTTTGAAAATAAAGACTTCACCAGATGCCTTCTTCACCAAGATGCATGCAACATGGAATATTATGCCTATTATTGTTGGCACATGTTTTAAGAATCATAAATAGTTATAGTACTGCCCCATAAAAGTCCTAAAAACATGTGAAAAGTCCGCGATCAACTTTCATTGTATTTAGTTTTGAGGGGGAGGGAGGGGGTCCAACTCAAAACTAGATTTATTTAGTTTCCTATCAGACATTGAACTTTTGATGCCTCCCCTTAGGGCGCTCGCTTTTCACTTCTGCGGCGTGGGTTCGATTCCCCGATGGAGCACTTTTTATTTTGAATAACAAGCCGGAAGTTTGTTCTCCGCCCGGTTCTCTGATGTCCGGAAATTATGTACACAATTTTTTCTAGAATTCTTGGGCTTGCTCCATCGCTCAATCATCAATGTTTAATGAAATTAATCACTTGTATCGGCTTTGCTATAGTCACGAGAATACTGGGAATCCCATTTTAAGATGGCAAAAAGTATGATGAAGACCTGGGGATGAAAAAGGATCTTGTTTCTTCTAGATCAGCACATCTTGACGCAGTTTATCGTGAATGCAGGGACATCACAGAATACACTTCCAAATCTATTGCCCATTAGATTTCAATGCTGATTTTAGAATTCTTCACGTGACGAGATATTTTTGCATCTTCCTCAGAATTTAAGCACATGAGACAGCACAAAGAAAATTTACAGTACAAGAGGTGAACTGTCGAGGAAACAGCGGCTTGTGCAACACAACAACAACATTTTTATCCTAGCCTCCAATCCATCAATAAATGTCTATACATCAAAATCTTTACTAAACGGACGTTGCGATTTATAGTGAATAAAATGGTAAAAATAACATTTTACTGGCTATATACGTCATTGCCTGGTCTTACACCTTCTCTGGTGAACCAGAGACATATCGTCCCTCTAGTTTTAAAAGGTTCTATGTCCAATTGTACTATATTTGAGAAAATGGAGAACAAACATTTAGGTTCCTCTATCTTTGTGATACAGTAAAGTAGAATGTTGACATGGATGCTTATGCATCATATAGCCAAGAAGAATCATTCCTGATCAGGATGGCAAGAAATGCCAATGTTTAAGGCAATTTTTTAAAAAAAATGCTTTTGGAGATAGAACCTTTTGCATCTGTAACGCAACGATCGGTTCATTTGATGGAGATAGAACGTTTCATTACCATGGAATACAGTGTCCCTCTGTTACTATAAGGTCCTATGTCCACTTATATCATATTTGAGAAAACGCAAACCAAACATTAAGGTTCGTATATCATTGTAAAAACAGAATAAAAAGTCTTTAAGCCTCAATCAGTCAAGAAGAATTATTATTGTTCAGGATAGCAAGAAATACCAATGTTTTAGGCTATTCAAAAAATGATTTTGTAAAACCTTTTATTACCTGGGAATAAAGAGTCTAGTCAATTCGATAAAGCTATCTTTTAAGAAGAAAGTCACACTATTGTGAAGGGTAACCTCTTTTAACGAAATAGATGATTTATGAACAGCTTCATAAACTACAAGGAGTACAATTCAATAAATATTGAACCCAACAAATTTTTCAAAAAATAATTAAGTGATGTTTTATTATAAAAATAAATTGTATTTCAAAATAAACTATGACATGCATAAAAATTACATAAAAATAACAAGAGCTGTGATTTTTCTTTGACATTTTAAGAGTAAAAAGTGGTTAATGATAGATACATGGGAAAAGCAATTTTGTTATGCAAATGGTGAACTAATTGATGGAATTAATTGGGATAACTTTAAGACCAAAATAGATTATAAAGGAACCAACTTCAATTAGAAAATAATTAATAGAATATTAACCTGTAAATGTAAACTGCTAATATTTGTAAAACACATAGTTGTGAATCTGGAATATTATCCAAGATAATTAATCAAAATTAAGAATTGCATATGATATCAATGAACGCAAATGTATATTACATGTAGGACATAGTATTTCCAGTAACAAAAAAGTTCTACACATTTAAGAAAAACATTTTCAGATTTTAGACTAACATGTCCCGTGATATTGCAAGATTTGGTCTTCCTGAAACCTTCATGTTGTAAGTCAATTACTTTCAATTGAAAAATATTTCCTGAACTTTTCCTTCGGTGGTTCAATTTGAAGTGAAAGTAATGTATTTCAAATACAGCATGTGAGCATTACAAAGAGCTGACAAATATTCTTTGATAAAATCCCTTGAAAATTGAAATTGGTAAGAAATACCTGAGATTTCTTTCAACAACAGGGAAAAATACATTTTCTCTGATTTTTCCCTTGACTGTAAGACCCTTGCATCAGAAATATTCCTTAGGCATGTTAGATAAAGTGAATCCTTCCAGGTTTTTCTGTTACAAACCAAGATTACTAATTCTAAGATTAAGTTTCTTCACATTACTTTATGTGTACTTCAGGGTGAGCCAAAAACGTCCATATTTTTATTGTAAAATTGTTCCATCAAATATTGTGGATTTCCATGTTAAATTCTCTCATCCAAACACCCCTGAGTTCTATTATTAATCATGCCATTTGCATGTTTTGGGAACAATTGCACAATTGATTCCTATATCTCCAGCAAAAACATTTTTGATATGTAAGCCTTATTCAAACGTTCTTGCCCAATAAAAATATGGAGATTTTTTGGCTCATTCTGTAGATGGTGTTTAAGTCAAATTAAAGATTACGAAATTTTATATGAAAGGTACATAATTTACCCATTAACATAATATCTGTATAAATTAAACTTAGTCTTATATCATTATACAAGATCTATCTAGCCTAGAGTACAAACGTAACATATAATTTTTATAAAAATACATAAATATTTTGGATGGCACATTATACTTGCAAAAAAGAATTACATATATAAAAAATACTTTGGGTTATGGCAATGACGATTTCACCAAATGTCATTTTTCCTAGCCTCTATTTTTGCAGATTACTTTTGTTTGCATCTTTTACTCTTTGATTCTTTTCCTGATCCTTTTTCGTTTGTGTTCCCTTTTCTTGTAGTCTCCTGGGTTTCATTTTGTTTACACCTTTTACTCTTTGGTTCTTTGGCTGATCCTTTTCCACCTGCGTTCCTCTTTCTTGAAGTTTCCTGAGATTTCTTTTGTTTACACCTTTTACTCCTTTGTTCTTTGGCTGATCCTTTTCCGTCTGCATTCATCTTTCTTAAAGTCTCCTGAGATTCATTTTGTTTACACCTTTTACTCCTTTGTTCTTTGGCCGATCCTTTTCCGTCTGCGTTCCTCTTTCTTAAAGTCTCCAGAGATTCATTTTGTTTACACCTTTTACTCCTTTGTTCTTTGGCCGATCCTTGTCCATCTGCGTTCCTCTTTCTTAAAGTCTCATGAGATTCCTTTTGTTTACAACTTTTACTTCTTCGTTTGTTTACAATTTTTGTTCTTTCTATTCTCTTTTTTCTTCTAGTGTCATCATATTCTACTTCCAGTTCCTTGACCAGTACTCTCTTCTTTTGTGTAATACATTTTGGTCCAGCAATCTCTGCCATTATCTCTTTATCCTCACCGCTCATGAACTTGAGCATATCACGTATATCATCTCGTTTCTCCTTTGTCACATGTGACTTGCAATTTAGCTTACTGACCTTTGGCCACTTTGCTTCTGCATGTTTGGTTGGTGTATTTTGTTGTGATCTTTTTCTCGTAGGTCGATGCAGTGACACCTGCATAGGACTTTGATCAAATCCACAGCGATACTCCAGTGAGAATGGAGCATTACTGCTGTAGGTTAATTGTTTAACCTTAGTGAATGGAACACTTCTGAAATCGAACTGCTCACTAGCTTTCTTGAAATCCTTAAAATCTTCTGGTTTCATTTCATGAACATTGTAGGGCTTGGTCTCATGTGCTCCCTTAATGGTATCAACATATCCCTTTGGACTGAATATATCCTTTGGCTTGATCGATCTCTCAATTATGCTATGCATGGCATCAACTTCCTGTATCTCACTGTGGCTGTGTTCCCCAAATTTCTGATTCACTGTAAATGGTGGTTTTCTGTCTGCAAAAGGAATCAACATGTCCTTAATGGCCATGCTCATGATTGAGTTTTTATTCTGTGCAACGCAGGAGTCAGACCAAACATTTAAAGTGTCTACATCTGGTGTGTCAGTAACAAATGTTTTTATGGCATTGACTGCAGAACTCGCAATCTCATTGGCACCTCTTCCAGCCTCATTTTCATTCCATGTACAGCATGTGCCTGTCTTTTCATCCATGTATTGTGTGGAAAATGTCATGTTAAAGACACCAAGTTTTCTCTTATAGTAAAATGAACTAATATTGGCTTTTGGGCAGGTCAGCACACTCTGTAGATCCATACAAATAGTTGCTTGCTTACTGCTGTTAATTTTTCTGTCCTTTTGTCGTTCTGCATGAGTTAGCTCTTTTTCTTTTCTATGTTTTTTATATTTATTCTCGAGGTCTTCATTTACTACATGTGGGTTCTTTTTCTCTATTTTATACTGCTCGCAGAGGTCACACAGGTCTTTTTTCGGCTTAAAAAAACTTAAGTTGTATTCTTCGTTGAATACGTTTCTATATATGTTTTCTTTCACAGGCTCTTGACCCCTTTTAATCATACTTTCCTGATACAAGCGAAACATTTTTCTTACTGTCAGAGTACTGTCTAAGTACTTTCGCTTTGACTTACTGCGGCAGTAGTGAGACTCTACAACAGGAAAACTTTCGATATGTTTTCGAACATCATATTTTTGTCTTACACTTGTTGAGTTCTTTTGAATGCATTCCTTGTTTTTTTCCCCTTGGCAAAGTTTTAACATCTATATTACATTTTCTATCATGCATATTTATTACAGTTTTCTGTGATATGTCTAATGTGCTAAGATAATACTCCTTGCAGACCCTCACATATATGTCATTCACTGGAAAGAAATAAAGCATAGTAAACTGTCTTCTTGATTTAACTGCTTTTGTTCTATGTCTTTGCTTCACTATCTTTTTAGTAGTTTTGTTTAGAAAATGGTCTTTGTCTCTTGTATCTAATTTCCAGTATGCTTGGTGAATTTTCTCTCTTTCACATTTACTTATGTTGAGACTGCATTTAAATCTGCATTTTCCCATACAATCTTTTCTAGTTTTTACTTTCCGTGCTGGTCTGATATTTCCCTTTACATTTTTGTACTCTTCACCATGCTGTCTTCGTCTTTGGTTGATATTTCGTTCCCATTTATCGGGATTACGCATCCGTTTCCTTGTCAACTTTTTTTGAGCACCTATATTTGACATGTTTACATTTTCACAATTGATGATGTTTGCAAGGCCAGATTGAGAAATGGTATTTAATCTGTTACCAGGATCAACATTATTACTTGAGCCTGACACAATATTGTCACCAAGATTTTCAATATTTTGTGAGTTAGACATAATATTGTCACCAAGATTGGAAATATTATTTGAGCTAGGATTGACTTGATCTGTTGACTCAAAAACAGTAATATCATCACAATTGACTTGAGTTTGTGGTTGGTGAACAGTTATGTTGCAAGGATTAGCATGAACACTTGACTTGTGACTATTTTCATTCAGACATAACATGTCAACCAAAACAGAGTTATTAGTTTCACACTCAATTTCACTAGTGTTGTCATTATCAGATAGAACATCTATGGTTCTGGTATTTAAAACAGTTTTAACATAAGTATGGTCATCCATGGTTTTTACATCATCACTCTGCTCCATGGCAGTCATGTCCTAGAAAAGGCGCCAGTCAATGTCTGGTAATCTGAAATCGAAGCAGAGATATGTATCATTAAGTACATGATATTTTAGGTATTTTATATTTTGGTAAGGTGCTGAAGAATTGGAAATGGGATATGTAGATGTATTTCGGTTATGAAATTATTATATATTGTTAATGTGTTTGAAGTTATCTGGAGGAAGGTAATGCACATTGCCACTGTTCATGATTTATTAACATTGAACAATTCCAATTTCGATTCTAAATTCAGCTTTTGATTCAAACCTGATCATGTTTTCTGTATTCTATTTATTATCTATTTATTTATTTACTTAGAATTTCCCTTTATATAATTGGAACTCTAGGTAAGTCTTGGTGCATCCACATTGTTACAAGTACAATAAATAATATACATGGGTTAAAATCCATCAATTCACTAAAATCAATGGGTATCAAATATTTAACCCTTCTTTTTTTAAAACATTATTGGTTACTCTTGTAAAAATCTTTTTGAAATAGTATTGAAAATTGCCCATTATCTCAACCCCCATTTATGTATGCATCATCACCCAGTATCCATTTAAGTTTTCCCATGGACAATGATACAAACCTTTTTCTAAAAAACACCTCAAATGTTTCCCTGGTAAAAGTTGGAAACAGGGAAAGTCCAAAATATATAAGGTCCTTCTGAATGGTTGTCAATGCTAGAGTTTCCGAAAATATGAATTCTATTCCTTGGCAGTCCAATACTATGAGTTCACCAAATCTGCATTTAGCACACAGTTCAAAAATACTTCTGGCTGTAATTCCAGTATGGGACATATGGATCTGTTCTACATTCTTGCAGTACTTCAATGAGGCAATGTCATCACTAACCAAATTATTGCAGTGCTCTATGGACAGAACCTTCAAATTTGGTGTAAATCGTAGGAATGTCAATGTAGAAATACTTGTGGTATCCAGCATGAGATAATATAGATTTGTGCTAAATGTTAGGCTCTGTATCAGATGATAATCGAAATCTGTGGGGTCAACACATATTTCTACGGCTCCACATATATATATTTCTTCAAATTGTTCAGAATGTTTTGATAGCTGTAGCAATTGCTTTTCCCCTATTTCACTATTGCATAGTGATACACATCTGAAGAGTCGATTGGATCCATCAATAATGGCTTCAAATCTTTTACAGACGAGGGATACATTTAGAACATCTTTGGTTTCAAGCTTTTTGGAAAATGTAGACTTTGTATAAAAACCTCCTACCTCATACCCACCTACCCACCTACGTGGAAAATGATACAGTCATTGAAGGGTTCAATGTTAAAATTTATGAATCTCAAAATAGCTCAAATTATTAACATTTCTACAATACCTGCTTTATTTTATGACTAGACAGGTGACAGATCCACAAATAAATGCATATGGATACATTTTATGTGTTATGACCCAAGGGCGACCCAGGGGAATAACTAAGGATTGTGAGCATAGGTCCAACAGGCCAGATAAAGAAATTGAAATAAAGTGTGCCTAATTCGATGCCCCGAGTGGGAATGGAACCCAGCTGGAATGTAGTAGCAAGTGCTATCAAAGGTCGTTACAAATGCATCTATAATTCATCATAAACTAAGATTTAATAAACTAAGATCTTTAAAATTGAACCCTTCAAAGACTTTATCATGTCCCACGTATGTGGGTAGGTGGGTATGAGGTAGGAGGTTTTTTATACAAAGCCGAAAATGTAATCCAACACTTCTGGTGGTAATGCGTTCAACATCCTGAAATGCAAATCAGAATAATTTATGTAATGCATGTCAGGACATACTTAAGGCTATTGGACCTGTACTGGATGGCAAATGTAAAATAGTTCTGTCTCCAATCTGAAAAATGACATTGAATGTAAAGAAGTTTTATCTCCAGCATGAAATACTTCCTACTATGTTAATATAAACTAAACTTCTTAAATGAATGCATATTTCATGCATGAATTGCTGCCAAGTAACTGTCTAACAAAGAATCATATTCTACATCATGTATAATGCACTGGTTTACAAGAAATTAAAACAAAATGAAGAGATAACTTACTCTAGTCTTCTTTATTTCTATTCAATATGGCTACGGTCACCTGACTGAATACTCTGGTTCTGATTGGCTAAGAGATAGAACCATATAGCAGTAATTATCTTTTTCAAATGAAGGACATAGAACCTTATTGCATTTGAAATCTCCTATTTACATTTGACATACAACTTTATAACCTTCATTTTTGAAAAGAGCATGGTGTATTTAGGGGAAATGTGATCTTACATGAAATTTACCAAAATTGGTAGTTAGAACCTTATAGAAGTGAAGGGACGATATATTTTCGATATATGCATGAACACCAAACAAACAAACATTTACTTTTCAAAATCGATGTTTGAACCTTTAAAAAGCCAAATTTAGACTGGGGATTGAAAAGGTTATTTTATTTATCTCGGTAGACCGGAAGTAAATTTGAGTCGAGCAAAAAGTGATAATGTTTTTATGAAGTGGGGAAGTCAAAACAGTACTAATAGAAGTCATAGTAAGCATTAGAAGATCATTTCAAACCATTCAAATCGACGGCAAAGTTAGTTGAAATGACTGAAATCTTTATATGTTATCTTCTTCATCTTCGCGGACCTCAGAGAAGTCACTTCCGGTTTAATAATCAGTGATTTTATCGATAAAAAAAAATTTCTTTTTTAATTTGTCCAATATCTGCTAATATGGTATGTATATTTGTGCTGATTGTTAAATTACAAAAAAGGTTCGGTATAGATTAAGAATATGTCAAAGTCGTTTGATCTTGTCCCAGAAGCAATATTTCGTCATTTCTGTCGCCTGGAATTCCTTTAAGGCTCTCTAGCAGAATTGGCTATCAAAATGCTAAAGAGCCTTAAAATTTAAGGCTCTTTAGCCCAAATGCTAAAGAACCTTAAAATTTAAGGCTCTTTAGCATTTTGGCTAGAGAGCCTTAAATTTTAAGGCTCTCCAGGCGCGGCCTAAATTGAGTCCCCTAAATCTCTTTTCCTAAGTGGTGGACAAAACTGAGGCTATGGAAATGGTTCGGGCGTGCAGCGTTTTAGTGGTTTTTGATTGAACGAGAAACGTGAAATGCAAGTCCTGCAGGCCCGTGCAGACGTTCATGAAGTCAACCCCGTGCATCGTGAAGTCAATAAACATTGCCTCGTGCATCGTATTTTGAATTATGAGACCTCTGTGACGCCGTTCAGTCTCGTTATTTCATGCTACGTTTTCAGAATAAATGAAACTTCGTTCGTCTAGAATACATTTGATCCTACGTTCGCTTTTGTGATGTGATATTTGTCGACTTTGTAAACTCAAATGTAATTAGTTCATATTTCTAAACTTTTCTGTTCAAATCAAGAAATCTCCTATGGCAGCGTATACCGCTACAGTAGCCGTATAGAATTTCCATATCATCAGTGATTAAGCCAGTTTGTTTGCCATCTGATACCTCTGCAGTAGGAGTCTTGGAAGAGTGTAGCTACTTAACATTGATAAGGCATAAACATGAATACTTAACTGTTAAAATGTCTAATGGATAAACATAGAAACGTCTTGTGTTAATTGAATGTAAAGCTGTGTATAATGCTACATTTTCTAGTCACTAGTACCCCACACAAGTTTTCGATAATAACTTTAACCCGTGATTTGAACACTCGAGATCTACTATTTGTTATTGAATTTAGCACACATGAACTAGAGGCAATTTCCACATTGGAAATTTTTTATTTTTATTTTACTTCAATAACAACAAAAAAAGCAACTGAACCAAGGATGTCATTAATCCTTTTTAACAAATCTGATGTCATAAAATCAAAATTAAGATTGTTAAAGTAAGTCTTTATGGTCTTTTTGAATAGTCTATTGGTAGTCTGTATATAGACAGCTATAAGCTTTGTCTATCAACAAAGCTTTATTTATGAAATATACTTGCCCTTGATATCTAGTTGTCCAGGTCATAAATGTACTACAATTTTAACATATTCATTGAAACAATGTAACGATAGTAATATGTGTAGCATATGGCTAGATTTAATTTAAATTGTAGGCTTATAGGGGAGAATGTTCAAATCATGGGTCAAAGTTATTATCAAAAACTTGTGTGGGGTACTATAATACTGATCCTACAGTAAACTCACACTCTATGTACAGTACTTGTAAAATGTCTAAATATGACAAAAAATTTGCAACCGAAAAGGATATAAAGATCACAACAAAAGTTTGCAAAGATATCTATCCCGTATATTCTAATCAACCCCTATTGAAATCAATCTACTGAAATATTTGTCACTCAAAATAGATTTAAAAAACGGTTGGAAATATTTGAGATAGCAGCATTCTTTCACAGTACTCTACATTAAAATTACTGATAGATCCAAGGCTTTAGATGGATTCGATAAATAGTTCTATTAAATGATTAAGTTTGCTACATTTAAAATGTAAAGTGTAACGTATTCTCTTAAAAGCAGTTGGTTTCTTCTATTACTGTAAACTCTTTATATTAGCTTAATCTTTCAGAAATAAGTCAAACAAAATCTCATCCTTTTAAATAATCTAACAATGATTTTTTAACAGTATGCATTCTATTTATTTATAATTTGTCAAGAGACTAGGGGAAATAAGGTAAATAACACTATTATCTCAAAAACCTAAAAGATGAGAAATGAAATATATTTCCCTGTGTACAGTAACACAGATCTGAGTTCTACCAAAACCCTAATTCTGCTTTGAGAAGCAACTTCAGCAACTTGCTGGAATATGAGACCACATTAATGTTTGCGTTGACAGCTTAATGGGCCTAGATAGGGATTTAACATGCAGCATAGTTATACTGGTAGCGGTATACGCGTTTCTTGATTTGTTACATCAGAACACCAGTTACAAAACGTGACAATTAAAGATTAACATAAGAGAGGTATAATACTTACTTCGGTCCAAAGCCTTCTTTATATTCCGGCTTTGAGGAGGAAGATTGAGCTGCCTTAGTATTATAAATATTGTAAATCATTGTGTCACACGCACAGTAAATATGGCATAATAATATGAAATATACCTTTATGTATAGATTTGAAGAACATCAGCTCACATCCCCGTCTGAATCTATTGTTATATTTGATTTCTTTAAGTGAGAATAATTTCAAATATTGAATTCACGTCCAGAACCGGAAGCCATTTTTAGCTACAGCGAGAAAATTCCACCATGTGTCAAACTCAGAAATGAAATTTTGAAATATCTAAATCCAGACAAGCAACGCTTCATCCTAAATATGATTAATATTCTTAGAAATATTTATAAAATTTATTAAAAATGAATTCTAGGTGCGTGTAGGTGAGTGTAGCACAGTACATACGAAATCAATGAAGTTACGTCTAGCTGTAAGCTAGAGACTCGAGTAATATAATACCATCAGGTTATTTTAATATTTTAATTTCTTTTTTTCTATTTTGATTGGGCGAGAATAACGACTTAGTAGAAATTCAACCAATAGCAAGCCAATCCGGCGAATAGAAAGATCGACCTGATATACTGAGAAATCTGGACTATGTGACCATCGTCTGGACTTTGCAAGTCTTGTAAGCAAAATGGAGAGTGATTTCGCTGAGTCTGGGTTTAATTTAGGTATTATGATACAAACTAAACAAACTAAGCTTAGTCAAAGAAAACAACTGAAAGTCAGGCTTCCCAAACGTTTCATTGACGATGACAAACAAAAAACATAATCATTAGATTCTGCAACATTAGTCTACATGTACAGGAATGGGGATGGTAAGTTGGCGTGAAACGTGAATGTAAATGAAATGATCTTCGTGAAACGTAATTATAATATTTTGATGATCAAGGACGTGAAAGTAATTCTGATTAGTAACGTGCAACGTGAAAACGTATTACCACCTGACGTGATTTCGTGACAAAACCCCCTTTCCATAGGCTCAAAACTAAACCTCAACCATCAAAAGTTGTCACAATGAGCTAAATTCTAAGTTTCGTGTCTCAAACTCTCCCAATAAGTAGAAAAATAATTCCCGTTCACTTTAAGTAGCACAATAAATGAATCCAAAGCTTCATACCTGCAAATGATGGATAAAGCCCTACCAAATCGAACGAATGTTTTTATGAATCGCCATGTTTGTGATCCAAGGAGGATTGACTCCCACAATGCAACATCAGTTAACCTTATTTACTCGTGATAGGTTTCAAAATGGCAGAGTGGCATTTTGAAAGATGGCACGTGTCATGTTGCATTCTGGGAGCCTTTTCTCCCTTGCAGCGTAATCAAGTTCCAAAATCACCTCAACATTTGAAGAGTCGGCATTAACATGTGAATATCCACTTCAACTTTTTTAGTTCTTATTTGTCATTATGGACACAAATTCCACTATATTTGGACTTACTAGGACGGAGAAAATAGAGTACTGACTACACTGAGGTAAGAATTTATTACATGTGCGACAGCATGTAATTATCATAGCTATAGCAATTCTTTATGTCCCCCACTGTAGCCTTTTTTCTAGGAACCAATTCATATGGATTAAATAAAAAAATGATGTAACCGCGTATCTACTTACAAGTAAAGCTTTTTGCAAGGCCTGAGTGCGCCGCTAACATGCTAAATAGAAGAGTTAGCTGACGTTTGGGAGTCTGACTTACCTTCTAAAGGTTAGAACCCGAATTTTAATGAAACCATATCACCTTTGTTGCGTCGATGATGATGCATAAACATAGCATTTGATAGAAATTAGTGTAAATACTTTTCCGACTTTTTCATTTTTCATCAATGTTGACTTCCGGGAAGGCGTTGTAGTTATCACGAAATAACGCATTGACCCTTGAACTTTACTTTGTTGACGTGTCAACCAAGCATGTCTGGTGTGAAAATTAAAAGAATATTAAGCAATGTTCTACATCCGCCAAGCTAAGTGAAGTAGTCAATATTTAAAATTACCAATTTCAAGTGAAGTACGCAACGAACGAAACTGCGTGATTTACACTCCCACTATTGGTCTGAATGAAATGCTACGTAGAAATATGAGCCGTCTGCTGTATTAGTCGATTAATAGAGTAAGACCTGTTGGTGATGCTTTATAATTTAGACCAAAACATTGAAGAACAAACGAACCTGTAAATCGTGAAAACAACGAACAAATATTCGGTTTTCACATATGTTCGGTAATTTTTCGTATTGAAACTTCCGGAACTTACAAGGAAATCATTCATTTTCTCGATCCATGATTTACCTCTTGGATGTTGTGGCAAATGCTCCATGGTTGACGGAACAAAGGTGATATGGTTTCATTAAGATTCGGGTTCTAACCTTTAGAAGGTAAGTCAGACTCCCAAACGTCAGCTAACTCTTCTATTTAGCATGTTAGCGGCGCACTCAGGCCTTGCAAAAAGCTTTATGTTCTATGTCATCCACCGGACTAGGTTACATTGTGGAACTCAGCCAAACACGACACTGAAGGCTCTGAGGTTATAAAATGTAAATCTAAATAATTTCCCATTTGTAGCCCCTTGGAGATTTTCGGAATTGAACAAAGGAGCAAACGTTGCGACCTTTCAACTTTAGTTTGTTGTTTTTCACCACTTTATGTGTAGTGTTTTCATTTAGGGGGTGGTCTTATTTGAATGCATCATTTCAGGTCTTTATTAATCAATAGAGCAATAAGCAGACTAAAAATACAATTTTAAATTAGCAGTTTCGTTCGTTGCGTACTGGGCCTGTTAGGCACGATTGAACTGAACGAATGCTAGGCGATTGCAGACTACATAAATTAGATGGAGACATTTGATTTCGGTAAAACTGTTTTTATTCCCAATTCTTATCTTAGCACTTGTTTCCTTTTCAGTGGACTACATTTAACAAATGACTGTAAGATATGGCTCCTGTGCCTGATGATCCCACAAAAAAGAAGTCAGAAATAGATCGTTTAAGTGGTCCCCCTATTTCTATGACTGTGAGTAGCTCTGATAGTGACGAAGGAGAAGTGGCAGAGAATGAATATCAGCTATTACCACAGGTGAGTATTAATGATGTCATGACTGAGCAACATTTCAAAATGATTATCAGTTAATTGTTTAAGCAATCTGATGATGTATCACTGTGTGTCAAATAGAAGGTCTGATAAATATTCTGAAAAATATCACTGGAATCTTCATAATATCAGAAATGTCACTGGCTTTTATTGTACAAACAACACAATAACCATGTTAGTACATAAAAATCCCTCATCCCATCTCATAAAAGGCTGATAAGATATTAGAACACTTATCAATATTTTTTATTGTATGCAGACTGTTGTATTTTTGTTAATTGGTATTTTCTGAAAAAATGAGAAACATACAGGTAAGTAAGTACAAGTTCTAAGTTTTGTTTCTTAGCTATTGTCTTTTACAATCACTTATTTGATGCTTCCTTTATGTCCTTTGAAGAAATAATTATACATTTGTACATGTATTTCATTATTTTTCCAGTCTCCAGATTTAGCTGAACCATATAATAATGGTACAGTGGAAACACAACAGAATAATGGCAGTAGTCAAGTATTAAATGAACAAGAACAAAATACAAGTGCAATAGAGACAATTGAAAGTAAAGTAAAAGACAACAGTGTAGAAGAGGAGACTGATTTAGCAGACACTGCAAGTAACACTGAACCAACATCTAAGGTACTTTTGCCACAAAATCACCCGTTTTAATGAATTTTGTATTTGTTTCCATGGTAAAATTATAATTTCCAATAATTTTGCCAGTTTTTCTCATTCATTTTTCATGAAACTCTTGTATGTCTGTAAATTATTTTTTCGACCACTCACATTTATGCTCCTGTTAAACTAGTATTATTTGAGGATTAAATGTGGTTCATTATTAAGTTTTAGGAATTTTGTCACTACTTGGCTGTTGTTCTTATCCAACTTACTAAATCCAATCTTCCTCACACAAATGGTTCGAAAGTGTTTGATTTTGGAAATTTGTTACATTTTTCCAGGCGCAAAGTATTGATGTAGAAAAGAAGGAAAGATGTGAACTTTGGAATAATACTCCGACAAAGAATGATATAACAATAGATCAAGGTAAAGTGTTCTCTTCAAAACTTTTTTATTAAAAACTGAGTCTCTCAAGCTGTCAAATACTTTTGGATTTCTAGGAGAACAGTACAAGAAAAAATACATTTCCATTTTACAAGTATGAATACAAGTTTTTACTGAAGTACTTTGGATTCAAAAATGTGCATAAATGTTGTGGGGCCATATTGTCAGCCTAGGTGCGTGTGTCTGTCTGTCCAGTGTTCATTTGACGGCATCATCACCTTCACATTTCATATTTATAATATTTCATTAGAAAAATACAAAGGCCAAATGATATGTGGAGGAAACTGACCCACTCGACTGGTCATAAAAGACCACTGTAAAAGACAATGAACAAAACTAAATGCTTGTTTTGTTGTTGGCTATGTAACACATTAATGATGTCACATATTAATTTAGAATCAACAGTGACATGTGACGTTTAAATCATTAATGTTCGTTTAGTTGCTGATGGGGCAATATGTGTCTGATGTCATTGATTATGTGAAATACCATTACTTCAAATCACAATCAAATCACATGATGACTTGATAGTTGCCTTGACAACTTGCCATATACGCTAATAAAGAAAGGGCTTATGGAACTGGGAGTGACTGAATTGTGCAAACCTGATCCTAAGAGCATGAGGGCCTTCGTGAAAACTTGTCTAAATCCAAACCTTTTCATTTCTTGAATGGTGTGGGTGGGGTTATTATACGAGGGGTGATCCAAAAGTCTTGGACGCCCCGCTCTAACTTTGCTATTTTCTAATATAATTACATGAAACTTTCAGATAATAAAGATCAACATCTTAACAACTATGTGAATTAGTTTCAAGTGAAAATGATATATTTTAGCTACTTTTCTAAATATTTTTTGATACCGGGTCCTTGCTACCCGAAGTATTTGAATATAGCAAATCACGTCACAACTGTTATAATGTGGCAAATACTTTAAGTGCAGGTGCACAACCTAACACCAGTCATAATATGAGAGAATTTCCGATTTTCAGTCTGAGTGTCATCTGTCATCATCATCTTCACATATTAAGATCTACTTTTCAACATATTTTCCACGAATTTGAACACATTTTTCACCATTGCCATGTCATTGCTTATGTGATACAAATGCTGCTGGAGTGCCACTCTAAACCTCATCCAATGAGTAAAAACATTTCCTCTCAACCCTCCTTTCAACTTGGAGAAAAGAAAAAAAATCAAATGGAGCCATATCTAGACTGTATCGTGCATATGGTAGTTGTTCAAGGTCAATAATAGTGAAAATATATTGTAGTATTCTTTGTTTCACTTTGATTTCTTTCATGTTCTACATTTCAGCAGCCATCTTGGAGCAAAAATGATACCAGAATGAGAGTTGATTGTCTGATGTCATTTTCTTAGAACTTGACATATATGGCCATTGTCATATGTGACATTATGATTAAAAACACAATTAATTGGTTGCCTAGTAACAACAGAAGTAAACTAACATGGTTTAACATTCAAGATTTAAGAAAAGATAGTGGTCAAGACTTGCAAAACAAGTCAAATAGTGGCAACATTTAAGGCTGAAAGTTGCCATGTGTGAATACCGTTCCGGGTGGCAGGGTCACTATATTAACAACTATCGAGAAAACTACATAAAATATATCATTTCACCATGAAATGAATACACAAAGTAGTTAGGTTGTTGGTCTTTATTATTGGAAAGTTTAAAGTAATTTTATCAAAAACCAACAAAATTAGAGCAGGACGTCCAAGACTTTTGGATCACCCCTCGTACATTGTTCCTTTTCACATGAGATCATGGTTTGAGTTGGGGTTTGCCTTCATGGTTTTTCACCATTCTGGCTAAATGCTATGGTGACCATTTTGGATTTCCAATCCTTAAATCTTGTTTTTAAAATCTTGTTTATTTTAAGCGTGATAAGTGGCCATTCTTTGTCAATCAGTGATGGATGAACCTGCTTTACATATCCTAATGCAAAAATATCAATGGGGTACTGTGATTGTCCATCTATCAGACACTCCCTATTTTGGCTATAGAAATATAACTTAATTATTTAAAGAGGCAGTGTAGGCAGGTATTTCTACAGAATAAAATATTTGTATAATATCCTTTCTACATTAAGCATATTATGCTAAACATAGGATTGATTACATGTACCTGTACTATTATTCTTTCAGAGAAAGCTAATACAATTAGAGAGGCCATGTCTGGCTTTAAGCTTCCAACTGCCAGCATTCCACCGTGGGCTTCTAATATAACAGAGAACAATTGGCTAAAGAAATTATCAGAAATTGGTGGGAATAAACATTCTAATAATGATGATGATAAATCCTAACAACATAGTCTTGCTTAAAGACTGTGGACCCCTCTTCCTCCCCAACAAATCACATCATTTGGGAGAGGTATGTAGTGGGGAGGGGCTCACAAGGGCCTGTTGCTGGACTATTAACAACAGAACATAACCATATTTGTTTAGAAAGCAACTGAAAACATACATTGTTAATGAGAGGAACTGAAAACACTAAAAAATACCAGTCTTATAAGAGCAGGGCTGAAAATATTGTTGTGTATGAGATCTTATAAGAAAGGAACTGAAAATGCTATTAAATACCAAAGTCTTATAAAAGAAGGACTGAATGATTATTTCACAACAGAGTCTTAGTGTAATATATCAGATTTACTTGAAGCGAGGTAGGCTATTGAAAATTTTGTTACATACGAGTCTATGTATTATATAATGTAATTTATAATGTGTAATATTTGATGTTACGTTTTTATAAAAAAAATGGATGAACTTACACCAAAGGAAATTGTTTAGTTTTTAATATTTTCATCATCTTCATCAACAAGAAGGTAAATTTGTATCCAAATGCTTTACCCATGTGTTGATAGTAACATTCGGTTACTGTAAAGTTAATCAGTCATGAGCAAATATATCCAGCGGCTGCATTAATCGAGTGATAATTCCCTTGCTTTGCTTAGCTGTTGAATTTAAATCTTATTAAGGTGGGTTTCAGAAACGTTATATTTTGGTGCCCCAGCGAAGAAACTTTGACCTCTTGGTTGAATTGTGAGGATGTCCTGGTTGCGAAAGCAAGGTGTTTCTTACTCGATTATTGGAGTAATCGCATTTGAGTGAAAATTGTAGACAGATGGACAGAAACATGGATGAGTGATTGGAGAAGTGGGCGATTCTATATAATAGGCTCCCCATGTGAGTAAAAAAGTGTTTGAATAGTCAACAATGTTGAATCAAAACTGAGTTCACTGATTTCATAACATTTTATGCTTTAGATCATCAGTGCTCATCTATCATTACTTTACCTTAACAAATCATCTCAGATCGAAAAGTTCAAAGATTTAGTGAATCTTAAATGCAAACAAATCAGAGCCATTCAAACTTCATAACAACAATGCTAAGGTGTAGCAAATCCTATCAAACATCTAATAAGCGTCAGACAAGACTACTAGAAATCATCACTCAAAATGAATTACTCAAATGATAATTTGTTATTTTTTTCTTATTCATTTTTATTTCTTTATTTCCTTCATACAAAACATTAAACGTGTCATGCTTAGTATTCACATATTAAGTATCAAAAATCTACTTTTACAGTAAAAACCGTAAAATAACAAATATAAAGATGGCTGCCGTTTTTCAAAATGGCTACCCACAAGCCAAATATAATCATTCACATATAAAATATACATAAAATCACTCCACTACTTCATGAGTTATAACAAAAATGTAAAATTGTGTGTAATGGTGACCTAAATTCAGATTTGAACAAAATCGATATCATAAATAAGTTGTAACAAACATACTGAAAATCGACATTTAATAAATCAGCCTTCAAGCAGAACTTGTACTCATATAGGGCATATGCCATAAAATACAAACAATATCGGGCCAGTGAGTTATCGCCCTAATAGATAGATGATCTGACTGATGGATGGAGGTGTTATTTATATTCCCTGAACTTTGTTCGATGAGATAAGAATACATGTATGTATTTATAATCGCATACAGCATTTGGACTCAGTGTTCTGAGATGGGACGTTGAAACAGGTTTTCCAGATGTTTCGGCAAATGACTGTAATATCCATTTTTTATTTTCATAATTTAAAAAACTAAAATATGAACCTGGTTGCATTTATAAGTCTAATCCTACAAAAGCATTATAGAATACTCTCATTTGTGGGTATATGATATGAAGGTTCTTGCATGAGTTCCTGTGTAAGATTTCCATTCTTGATGGGCACTAACAGTTCTGATAGAACATTATCAAGGAGAATCAAATACTGAGAATCTTACATAGGTATGAAATAAAGACATTTTTCTTATTGGATGTGTCTCTGGGTTTCACCATATTTTCACCTAATTTATGACAAAACTGATTAAATATTTGTGTAGAATATCTTCATATTAATGAAACTTCATTGTCTCCATTGTAGACTAATCTCTCCATATATAATACACTGTACTGTATATACATCACATCCAACATTTGAACTTGAAGAATGTAGTGAGATCTGGGTCATCAACAGGTTTCCCATGTATTCCTGCATAGACCTGCTTGCATAGATCATGTTTGAACTTTGCACTTAAAGTGTCCACATACTTTTCTAATGCAGCTGGAAAACAAACAATTGCACACATTAAAATCAGACACAGAATGTCATGTAAAGTATACTAGTTCATAAATGTACATTGAATACAAATCTGATTAATATTTCTGAACCAATACGTTTGTGATTCCAAATGTCATATTTTTAAAGACATGAAAGATGTGATGTGATTTTCTTCAGAAAGTTAGAAGTTATGTTTAAAAACTTTGGCTGTAAATACAATACAGGTGCACCTCGTTTACATCTTACCTAAGCCTAACACTTTTCCATATGATATCATATTTGGTCCAAGCCTTGGGTCATCATACTGTTCATGTTTCATTAAAATTTGGACTATTTCACCAAAGATAAATGCATCGTCAAAACTAGGAGTTTCTGGGATGGGGAATTTACAGTAGACATCAACAGCTTTCAGAGGTGAGCTCTTCATCAGCATATTTGCAAGCTCTACATATGCATCATGAATCTGCAAGAAAAATCATGCGTATTTGTTGGTATTTCAATATTGAGGCAACTTACAGTAAATGAATATTGCATCTACATTAGAAAATAAGCAGATATGCGCAGAGTGACTAACACAAAAATAAATTCATATTTCACATCTCTAGTTGTAACATGTCTGGTAAATCACTTTCAACAATTCTTTCATGAAACCATGAATATGAAGAAACTGATAACTAAAATACATAAAGTGGCAGCAAAGAATGGACAATTTTCATAAATGCAAATAGTTTCTGGTTTGTTAATCATATTAGAATTGTAACAAAGACCTTGATTCTTTGCCATTGCCAAAAACCTCAATCTTGTCTTTTAACAATGAACAGAATAAAATTTCCTGTAATATATTTTGCCATAAATCTTAGAATCTCGGTCTTTATTCCTTAAATAAAATAGACATGAAATTAGCTTGGTGAGAAACACCAAAGAACCCCACATATTTTAAATTATTTTAAGGTATGAAGAGAGTATCCTAATTTGTATTATCTTTTTAAACACTACTTACATCAGGTGCCATGTGTATGACTTGCTCATAGTATTTCTGGGATTCTTCAATATTATCAGGTAATCTAGAAAGTGCCCTTGCCAGGCCCAGTCTTGGGTGGTAGGTTGCTTTATTCACTGGCCCCACCTTCTGGTCCTTGGCTTCAACTGCAAATACATGTATGTTTTACCAATTAGCTCATAATAAGACATAAAATATTGCAAGTATGGCAAATCTCTTCAGGTAGATCTGAAATTAAATAAACACAATATGCTGCTTGCTGATATGTTCAATGGGATTTCTTTCCCCTGGTGTTGGCATTGTTAAGTTAAACACTGAAATGAAGTGTGACTAAAGAAATGCAGGCATTACTAGTAATGGCCTACCTGTTTCTGGTTCAGTTGTAGGCTTAGTAGCCCCAGTGCTGGGAGTTGTAGGTTTAGCAGGACTACAGACATGGCTAGATGATGTTTTGCCTGTGGGAGCTTTGGCAGCTGGTTTGACTGGGGACACTTTACCTGGAAAATCCAATGATTGAATATGACCATATTAGAATTAGCTAATCATGAAATCATTATAGTAATACAAATTATTTTGCAGAGTTTATAGAGTGTCCAGAAACAATGGTAAAATATGGTATATGAATATCAGTGGATGGAATTGTATTATGGGGTTTAAATATCAAACTCATTTACCAGCTGCAGCTGGTCTGGTAGCTGCACCACCTCTGGCCCCCCTAGCTGCAGCAGCTGCACCACGTCCACCACGGACAGTTGTTCCACCTTTAAGGCACATTACATACTTTTAGTACATTAAGGATAGAAAAAAACAGCAATGTGTAGCCGGCTATCATCAGCAAAAATGGCAGCAATTTTGGAAAGTGAGATTCCCAAAAAATGTTTAGGTAAAGGAATTAGATAGCAATCTAGCAAGATCCTAATTCTTTTTGGCTCACAAAGTGAGCCTATGGGATTGACCAGGCGTCCGTCCGTCCGTCCGTTGGTCCGTCCGTTGGTCCGTCCGTCCGTCCGTCAACATTGGCCGCACAAATTAAAACTGCTATTCGGATTGAGTCATATCCACATTCATTTTATGCATATCCATAATGCCTATTTGACCTATCATCGCCATTTCCCAAGTTCGCCCGGTTTCCGAGAAATTGCGGATTTTGACGTCAAAAAGTCAACTTTTCTGTAAATACTAGACACTTTGTTGAAGTAGAACTTTCAAATAACTTTTAGTAGTTGGTGTATATGCAACTTATGTCCTCTGAAGATTTCAAAGCTCTTGGAATTACGGTAGGACTTAGTCATTTTCAGGAAACTTTCTCATGTATAAAGTCAATGGCAGGTTTTGTGATTGACAAGATTCTTAAAGTTTGCCTTATACTTGATCATTTCCTGCAATAAATTACATCATTAATAGATTTAAGCATTCCTTACATATTTCTCAATATATGTCAGCATCAAATTTTTACCGTTTTTGAAATATTTGACGTAAAAAAACAGTAAAAATAAGTTATTTTTCAACTTGCTTCAATTTGACCAATTTTTTTTTTGAAAATCATCTACAAGTTGCCAGGAGTTCAAATCTGACATTAGTTTTAGGATCTGACCTTTACTTGACCTTCAGTGACCTTCGAAAGGTCAAAAAAGTTGATTTTTCAAATTGATTTTTGGATGTAAATTTTGGTCAGCTTAATCACAAAAGACCTTACTGAGCTCTGAATAAGTAAAATTTTCAAGGTCAAAGGTCATCAAACTAGGTCACATAACTATGCTATCTAAGTTTTTCAAAGTTCGAGACTACAAATCCAAATCAATATTTTTGTTTGAAAGTCAGGATATAAATTCCTCTGAAGGTTCCAAACTGTGTGAGCATAGGACCGTGGGTCCTTCATTAAATATTAAGATTTATTCCATTACACTCACATTCACAAAATTCTAATAGAACATTTGGTCTGAGGTTTAGAAACATGAAGTTTATAGTGTTGGTTTTTGTCTTTCAACTCTCAAAACAGCAACAGCTGATAAGTGATTTATGTAGTTAATAGGCCATAGTATTAACAGATTTTCATTTCTTATTTCCAAATAGTATGTTTTTTTACATCTCATTCTGTAGTTTTGGGCATTCACTTACCCCTAGCTGGTGTTGTAGCTCCACCCCTCCCTCTGACAGCTCCTCCCCTTCCTGCAGTAGCTCCACCCTTTACACCTGCAGCTCCTCCTCTTGAGGGTGGTCCACCTTTATTAGTAGCAGTTGCAGGTGTAGCTTTTTTCTGTTCCTCTTTTTCTTTTTCTAGTCGCTTCTTCCACCACTGTTGATCTGGAAATATATACAAGTCTGATCTTCTTTCCATATCTGCTGACCACCTTTTTTCCACTGAGGTACTACTGTACGTGTTGTTTTTCAATTTCAATTCTTGAATGTGAAACAATAATACATAAACAATATGAGTACAAGTAGTAAACAACTCACCCATGAGTTCAGATGGTATATCTGTAGTGGCCATCTTTCCTTCCAGGCCCAGACTAGCTCTGAATGAAGCCTTGGCATCATTGAGTAGCCCCTCTGCCCCATCCTGCTCTGGGTTGTCATCATACTTTGACAGTTGGGCACTACCCAGGAGATAGAGGGCATGACTGCTGGATGGCTGGTTCTGCACTAGTTGTTGACAGGTCTGCAAAATAAATGTACTTCACTTTAATTAACAGGGCATATTACATGAATGACACACAACCAAGGAGACAATGAAAATGAACTTTAGTTTTTTCCAACAAGATAGCAATGAAAATTTGATGGGAAATTTTCCTGGATTGGTGATGCCCATAATTATCCAACAAGGCATTAACAAACCAATTGCCACCACCTGCCATTTGTTACAGATGCTAAATGCCAACCAACGGATGCCAAATGCCGTCACAAAAAGTTGGAGACCATAGAACTAGTGGTGGTGGCATAAAACCTCTTAACCATCACAATCACAAGAATAATAGCAAACACACTACCATCTCAAGGGCTATCAGACTATATCCAAACAGTAGTGTGACAAAAATGCAATGAGTTGGTGCTGGAGATGATTCAAACACATTGTAGTACTCATTATACATGTACTTACCTTTTCTTGTAAGGCAAGTATATTCTCATTTGTTGGAATAGCAGAACATTTAATAAATGCAGATAATCTTTCACATCGTAGCGCAATTAGTTTTTCATTTCCTTTGGGGTTCAGAGAAAGTAATTCAAGGAGGTTTGAGTGAGCATCCAATAGAATCCATTGTAATTGTTTATATGTGTCTCCCTTGGCAACAGTTGGGAATGTGGCTGATGCAAATAATGCTGCGCTGAAGAATCAAAGATTGCTATGTTGTCTAATATATCCTATCTGTAGTCCAAAGTTAACAGTCATGTCATAAATAGGAAATACATGTTTCTAAATTTGAAACTATAAAGATCAATGTAATAATAAATTAATGTTCTCGTCGAAAAACAGACCATTTAGGGACCACTGTAAAAAATCAGAGTTGGATAGGTAACTAAATCTTATTACAGTAGTAAATGTCCTAAGTTAAACTATGTTGACATTGATATTAAAAATGAGACAATAGAATTTTTTACTAGATATGCGTGTAAGTTGTGCTAATGTGAATATTTTGAATACTTAGGTCAAGTCGAAAACCCTGCACTTGAGTGGCCTAGAACACTTGTGACTCTTCACGCTTGTATAAAAAAACTAGCATGTGGAACTTACGTGTGAAAGATGTCAGCTGCAGACATACAAGTGTCTTTAACTTCTGGAGTCTGAGCGACCAGTCTACCTAATTGTATGATGCCTCGAAGCAGGTAAACATTAGTGTTCACCAGAGGAGATTCCCCTCTCAATTTATCAGATCTATAAAGAAACACATAAATATTACATATTACACAAAGACATACAAAATATTACATCTATTGCCAGACTCATGGAATCTATTGCGTTTTTTTATTCTTAAATTTTACTTGTTAAACTCGCAGTACAGTATGTAGAAATGAGAAAACTTAGTCTCAGGTTTTATCTTCATGTACAGAAAAAACACTCATATTTTATCAACAAACCTTAAAATTTCTGGCTTCATTGCTGCCTCTGTGTTTAATGCAATTAGGGATTCCATACTTTCTTGTAGGTAACCTATTGCCTCTTTACTCCTAGATCCAGCCCCTTCTTTCCTCAGTGCAAGGGCCAGGCCAAGATAAGATCTAGAAATATCATATAAGGGAAATATATTGAGGAAAAGATGAAGATGTATTCACCTAAAAAGAATGGAATGTTTCTCACTTTACTTAGAAAATATACAAAACAGGTACACTTCTTTAAACCAACAATTAATAGATATGTCATTTATAAATTTTTCTGAGTCAACTGTCGACTGGAATTTGAGTTATCAAAGATTACACTTTTTCATAAGAAATGACTGCCACCTTGAATATTCAACTGGTATCTTGAACGTTTCTTCTTCATCAGAGGTCCTATATCCCTAAAGTATCACCAGATAAAATTTCAATCAACTTGGTACATTCTTTTCATCTTCTATATGACCTTACAGTTCACTTAACACATTCATATCACCACCAATACTATGACATGACTGCAGTTACCTGGCTAGCTGATGTTGAGCATTAAGACCTAGAGTAACCTCCAGTCTGACTATAGCATCGTCATAATTCCCCTGCATTACAAGTAGCCTCCCCACATGAAAGTTGTATACAGCCTTGGTGTCATCAAGTGCCAGGGCATCCATATACTTCAGATAAGCTTGTCCTAGACATGATGTATCATCTGAGGCCTTTTGAGCAGCTAGCCCTTCCTACTTAAAAGATATGATCCAGATATAATATATTCAAGGAACCTCCTCACATGAAAGCTTATACCATAATATTTGTTATGTTGCTGCAATCATTCTGGACATACTATATATCCCCCCTCACTCATAAGTACTTAATCACTCAATCCTCTGTTCTCAGTAACTGATCTGTCCTTAGTCACTCTAAAGTCCCAGTCAATATGTCCCTCCCAACTCTAGCTGTCTTTAACTTTGCGATACAATGTACTTTTCAAAGAATATATTTCATTCAATACATTAATATCTAAATACAGGGATGCATCAAAATGATGTGATCATGCAATTTACTGTACAAACAAATGCAAATTTTATTAAGAAATAATGCAAATCACTGTACAAACAAACCTGTGTGGCTTGTTTAGACTTCCAAGCAAACAGAAACTGCACATGGTCTGCCTTTTCACTCTGGCCTGAATTGATGAGTGTTTGGTACTCCTTGTCGATAGCTTTCAGTTGTAAAGAGAGTGGAGCTTTAGCATCACAGCCATGTAGCTTACAGATGGCGCCACATTCTTCCTCTCTAGAGCCTTCTTTCGCTTGCACGTTCAATGAGGGAAAGTCATCATTCTCCTGAAAATACACAACAAACAATCAACTTCTATATGACTTGCTCAGACCCCTGTGTATAAGCGCATATGAACATTTAATAATGATGTTTTGAATTTGAAAAAGTTTCAACCTCTTTTTTCAATCCCAGTAAATCTTCAGCAAAGTACTTCTCCTCCAGTACCAGGCCTAGCTGGACATGTAGGTTAGGGTCCTTGGGTTTGTATTTCAGGGCAGTTGCATAACAATAGGCTGCTTGGTCAAGATGCTCTATTGGACTTTCACCAGTTTGGCTGTGCCCTCTGTGGCCTGAAAACAGTTTTTCTGAGTTAGCACATTTACCTGATAATACATGTGCATTTTACGGACATTGTTCAGATAAATCTTATAATGTTGGATTACCCATATGCATAAAAGAAAATTGCTATCAAAATCCAACAAAAAAGATGCAAATTATAATAAGGAGAGGACATTTAGACATATACATGTAACTATCCATTGTTTTGAATTTTCATCTAGAAAAATAGCAACTCCCTGAAATAGCAAACCTCTAAGGAAACTGCATATAACATTTGAACTAATTCTGTTGACAAGTATTGACAAAGATGTCACTTATCTGTGTTGTAAAACTAGACACAAATTAAGATATGATTTTTTGTAACAGTTTTATATTATCCCTAAATTCTATTTTTTATGACCTGGATAATAAGATTGATTGAATAGATATTAGAGAAAAAATCACATATTTAGGCAAATCTGCTCTTTAGAGTCACTCTGTACATTCTCCTCTACTTTTCATGAAACTTAATTTACTTAACTTAATTTTTTGTTTTAGTTGTCAACCGTATGGTATAATTATGTGTACACACAAGACAGGTTTACTGTACCTGCACTAGCAATTGCAGCGAAGTATTTTTCAACAGCTTGTTTTGCAGCTGTACACAGTTTCATTGGGTTGGACTCATCAAATATTTGCTGCAGCTGTTTTTCCCAACCACAAACCTGAAAAAATGAATACTATAACATACCAAAAGAAAGCAAAATGTTGAAAATGGACATTTCTTTATTAAAGGCCCACTTTGGGAATTTTTAACAATTTTGGGCAAAATAAAGACTTACATTAAAATTCCATAGTATGTCCGATGTATTGATAAGAACCTTATCTTTCATTTGACACCAACAACAGCACAAATGGACCACATCAAAGCTTACAATAAATCATCAAAAAATATTTTCGATCTGTCAAGTTTTATATAACAAGTTTTTATCAATGTCATTGAAAGATGGCAAAGTTGTTTGTATTACATGATACATTCATTTTTATAGAAGTGTCGCCATCTTTTAAAGCAATAGTAATTTAAAACATGCACTTTGTTTAACATGTGCATGCATGTCTAATGATCTCTGAACTTCAAATAATTTTTTTTATGTGAGTTATTTTTTTCTTGGTTCATATTAAAGAAAATCAAACTTTGTGTCATATTTGAGCAAGTGTGTGAGTAACATGTTTCGATGATTATTTTTTTTCTTTTTTCTTCTTAATTAAGTATAGTGTGCCTTTAAGCTCACCATTTTCCCTTTCTAGATGCAAGCCTGCACATAGAAATCATTCTTATACCATATTCAACAGTGGGCTGACAAAGTAGTGTTTTCAATGAAATTTTCCTTGATGCACTTAACCCTTTTTTGTTTTCAAAAACTATAACTACAAGGTTAAATAAACTTAAAATATATGTACCTTAGGATCATGTTGAACTTGAACATCAGTTTTGAATTTTTTACTTTTGTCCTAAAATGAAAGAATACAGGTAATAACTTTGCTATGTTCATTTAACTTAATCATTTGTTAGTTTATTTTATCAACATATAATGACATAGTTAGCATACTTGGACAAAAAAGAAATCAGTTAAAGCAGAAACAACTAAGTTCTATGACAGTTCAATGTGAACATAAATCACAACGCGGGATGCTCATATGGAGGAATAAATAAAGAATGTTTTTGAAAAACATTTTAAAAAAACAACATTTATATACCTCAACATTGACTTTCTGGCCACACGTTTTGAGCAGTTCTCCAAGGTCAGTAAACTTTTTAGCATCACTGCATCCTAAATTTTAAGAAATACATTTGCACGTAAGAATGATTTGGTTTATGGGAACTACATGTATTATTTTCTCACATGTTTCACAAGGAATCGTACCATGGGTACTGGGTCCACATGGGGTGGAGCTCTTAGTAGAAGTGAAGCCATACATGACCATTTTTCACAGTATTACTGACAAACAGATGGACTGACAGACAGAAAGTGGGTGGTTACAATAGCTCACCCATGTGCGCTAAAGATTGGTAGCCATTTAAGCATTTTGTACAGTGTTTTGATGCAACAATTATATCATTGATAGCCAATGTGAATTGAACTTCTACATATTTGTATATAATTTGAAGCAAATAGATGGAATATACATTGTATTTGGACTTACTGATTTTTGAAGAGCAAATGTGGCCATTTGACAGATGGGCAGATGAATGGGAGATTGCAATAGTATAAGACTGTATGGGTTTTAGAATAAATTAAGTGGTATAGTTTATTTGTGGCTCACCTCCATTTACAAGTGGTATAGATGCATCAGCATTAGAGATGGCTTCATCTGTTGCATAATCGGATACTTTCCAATCATTCTCTAATGGCATTTCATTTAATGGATCAAACTTTGACGTCTTGGTAATCTCATATATTAGAGGCCCAGAAAACATATGTGGTGGTTCACTATCCTTGATCCTGATTGGACAATACAATGCTGCTAATGAGATTGGATCCTCATATTTCAGGGATAGATTCGGGTCAATGAATTTGACATATCTTGGAAATGGTTTTCTCGTGACAATAATAGTATAGACCTACAACAAATACATTCCTGATTAGAGTATTTTTACAAAGAACAATATTCAATATACAAGCTTGTTATTTTGATACAATTCTAATTTTTCATGTTGATATGGTTGGTAAAATACTCATTAAATTGTCTTTGTTTTCCCATAAAGATTTATACATAACAATATGTCACGGTGACATGAAAATAGGACCAACATCACTTAGTGACGCAGGTAGACAAGAATATTACCAATAATGCTGAATGTGTTCTTATACTGTACCTGGGTGACAGATCCATCAGCAGACTTCACAGCCACATCAATTTTACTTTCTCCAATGTTCAGAGAAACAGGAGTGTCTGAAGTTGCATTGTTCACGGTGACAGGACATTTAACATCAGGTGGTTTAGCAGCAATGGATAATAACTTGATATGACATGGTAGTAAACCTAAATCATATCGTATATACTTTTCAAGGTATTAACATGCAAAATTTAATTTGTTACAGACGGCAACTTCCAAATACCGACCCCAGACATAAACACCAGATGCCAAACACCATCCACAAAAAAGTTGGAGACTATAACAATATGTCACCACTTGTGGTGGTGACATGACTGATTAGGTGAAACCTGAGACTAGGTGAAACATATTAAAGGCTGGTGATATATCATAATCCTCAAGTGGTTGTCCAGGGTAAAAATCAAAATCTAAGCCTAATTGTTGAAGTTTGCAAATTGCAACAAGAACACAAATGTGTACAAAATGTCCCCATCTATGGGCGATCCCATCAAATGGTTATCCTAAAAATGAGTAGACAAGACTTTAACGACACAATTTGAGGATGGAAAATCCAATATGGCCACCTTAAAATTTACCCAGAATACCCAAAAATTAGTCAGTTCTAGATTTTCATACTAAGAAGCACCCCTGAAAATTTGAAATTGATCCGTCACACAGTTAACCAGAAAACACGTAAACAAGACTTAACTCATTCGCTACTAAGGACGTGATATGACGTCATAAACCACATACGTTGACTACTAAGGACGTGATATCAAGTCCAAGCACAAACCCAATGTATTTTTGGGAATCTTGTAACCATGACAACTTATAAAATGGGACTTAAAAACTATTCATTCTGAAAGAGTATATCATATGGTTTAAAATGATATATAACACTATATATGTATGCCCATGTATATACAATATATATTATTTCAGAGGTACCATATATGGCAATTTTCAAAATATCGTCAGTATTATAGTGCTTTTTGCCCCAGTATTGAATGAGTTAACCGACAATATTTGAGGACCGAAAATCCAAAATGGCTGCCTTGACATTTATCCAGACTGCCAAAAAACTAATCTGTTCTAGATTTTCATACTAAGAATCATCCCTGAAAATTTGAAATTGATCTACCAAACGGTTCACCTGGAAATGCGTAGACAAAACTTTACAAACAAGATTTTAGGACAGAAAATCCAAAATGGCTGCCTTGACATTTACCCAGAATGCCCAAAAACTAATCAGATCTAGATTTTCATACTAAGAATCATCCCTGAAAATTTGAAATTGATCTACCTAACGGTTCACCTAAAAACGCGTAGACAAGACTTTACGGGCAAGATTTTAAGACGGAAAATCCAAAATGGCTGCCTTGACATTTATCCTGAATGCATAAAAACTAATGAGATCTAGATTTTCATACTAAGAATCATCCCTGAAAATTTGAAATTGATCTACCAAACAGTTCACCTGGAAATGTGTAGATAATACTTTACAGACGAGATTTTAGGACAGAAAATCCAAAATGGCTGCCTTGACATTTACCCAGAATGCCCAAAAACTAATCAGATCTAGATTTTCATACTAAGAATCATCCCTTAAAACTTGAAATTGATCTACCAAACGGTTCACCTAAAAACGCGTAGACAAGACTTTACAGGCAAGATTTTAAGACGGAAAATCCAAAATGGCTGCCTTGACATTTATCCAGAATGCATAAAAACTAATGAGATCTAGATTTTCATACTGAGAATCATCCCTGAAAATTTCAAATTGATCTACCTAACGGTTCTTTGGAAATGCGTAGACAAGACTTTACAGACAAGATTTGAGGACGGAAAATCCAAAATGGCTGCCTTGACATTTACCCAGAATGCCCAAAAACTAATCAGATCTAGATTTTCATACTTAGAATCATCCCTGAAAATTTGAAATTGATCTACCAAACGGTTCACCTGAAAATGCGTAGACAAGACTTTACTGACAAGATTTTAGGATGGAAAATCCAAAATGGCTGCCTTGACATTTACCAAGAATGCCCAAAAACTAATCAGATCTAGATTTTCATACTAAGAATCATCCCTGAAAATTTGAAATTGATCCACCAAATGGTTCACCTGAAAACGTGTAGACAAGACTTTACACACGAGATTTTAGGACCGAAAAATCCAAAATGGCCGACAATAAAAAAGTGATTATGAGTTTTTGCTAATTTCTTTCAACAAAATTATCACATATAACTACTGTTAACAATAACATAGGCTTTTACAACAAAGTACACCTGAAATTATTTATAAAGCTACTAAATAGTTTAAGTATGAAAACTGAATAACACCATTCAATATGATACAAAGTATTATCGTGCGCTAACTTTTCTTAAAACATTCAAAATGGCTGACATGACTGAGCTTACAGGTCCAAAACCTAATCAGATCTAGAATGAAGTGAGCTGAACAAGATGTTAAAGTTTTAAAAGCAACTGTGAAGCCGTTTTTCTTAAAGTTTGCAGACAAGGATTTTAGCATTTGACTTCAAAATGGCTGACAGGAAGATGGTATCGAGTTAATTTTTTTTCATCCACATCTGTATGCACTCATAAGTTATCCCTGAAAATTTGAAGGTGATATCTGTAGCGGTTTTGGAGAAAACTCCCGGACGTACGGACAGACAGACGGACAGACAGACAGACAGACGGACGGACGGACGGACGGACGGACGCGCCTAGGCCGACAATATGGCCCCACACTATGTGGTGGGGACATAATAAAAGTACACATACAAGTATTCTTTAAAGTTAAAACCACTTTGGCTAATATTTTAATCCTACCCAATGTTATAAAAATGTGCTATGTGAAAATTTCCCATTTACTTTCAAATAGTTGATTTAAAAGGCTTTTTGTTGGAAAAATCCAAATATTTACAGTATTGATTAAATAACACAATTCTATGTCACCTCAAGATTCATTAGACAGTGTGATGATTTGAATACACAGACAAGGTCTTTATCTTAAGGAGACTCATTCCTTTCAAACAAATACACGTATAACTTTGGTTTAAGATGCAAAACATATAGGGGGATAATCATACTTTTTAGGAGCTTAGGCCATCCTTGAAATGTTAATTGTATTTGTAAGAAAAACAGAAATAACCCATTAATAGATTAATTAAATACTTACAACAATATTCAAAATGTTCTGATGCGAACTCTGGCTGTAGAATTCCATCACTTAATTTCAATTCAATCAATGATGCATCTTTTCCTGAAAGTCTCTTGATGTGAACAAAATAGTTCTTAATGGTCCCATCTTCTGAGGTTACCTCTATTTTAACATCAGTTGTAACCCCTTCTTTTAGTGGAACAGTCTTGCCCCCATCACTCCCCTAAAACAGTAATGTACATCAGTTTGTATAAGGTGTATTCCTTAAATTTTTATCTTGATGTGAAATAACATTGCTAAATATGTAAATATGCTAGAAACATCTAACATTAGCCTAGATTATTCCTGAAACTAACATAAAAGGTATGTTATCTTCAGGCATGTGACAGAATATGTCACACAAATACGCATTTTTCTGATTATTGTCAAGGAAAAATATTTCCGAAAAAACGCAAAAAAACGTAGTTTGTTCGGAATTTTCACATGAATTGCGTATATGTCATGTATTTGACAAACAACCCATGATATGTTAGTCGAACAGTGATCAGTGATTGCATGGTTTTTATGCCACTACGATCAATTATAATAAAGCCACTCGGTTGGATTAGCGAACAGATCATAGGTCATTGTTACTTGCTGCTAAAATTGCAGATTAACCCGTTATTTAGGTCAGTTAATGAGCACTGATTTAGCACATGTTCCCTCCACTTCACTGATTGGTTGAGAAAGGGTCAGCATGGTAGATTTAAAATTATTTATTACACATGCTGTCAAAGACACAAATCTTCGGGCAGAACGGCTAAACTGTAATATAGTCTATACTAGGCAGAAGTTAGTTTATAACTAGACTCTGCCCGGGATTCTGCGCGCAGGGTAGTGAGTGGGGCCTGTGATTTTTCAATAGATCTTAGTCTAGATTAACCAAAGCAGTTTGGCCCAGTTATCTACTCCTGACGTCATAGATCTACGTACGACGTCAGGAGTAGATAACTGGGCCAGACGGGTTTGGTTAAGTCTAGATTTATCTGACCAATCAGTGACAATGAAAGAGCATACTTTAATTAAGACATAGAGGTTCACCTTTACGTGGAAATCTGTTCATTTTCGAATCTGGGGTATTCTACAGATAGAAGATGGACAACATAGCAACACTTTGGCGTCCATGGAGATCCTCGTCGGCTAATATAAAACTTACCGATATGCTGTATGATGCACCTGTATCACTTGTCAACACGTCAAATGTGACCTTATCTACGTCACTTGGCAGAGTGGCATGGTATTCAGTTACATTCTTGTTGAAACTAGGCGTGAATTTTGCTGGTTTTAGGTTCAGTTTTTCTAAGTCACAATCGTCCATCTTGTATTTCGCGCATTGTCATGACACACCACAAATAAATTCCAGGAAAATAAAATGCCGAAATCAGAAACTAAACAAGATGAAATATTGAGTGAAGAAGGAAAATTTAAGCTTAAAGGTATTTTTCTTTTTAATAAAAATAGTATTTTGTAAAATAAATCGTGTCCGAAAGGATATGATATGACTTCCCCTGGCTCAAATCTTATTTTGAAGCAAAATATCCCCTATTATCGCCCATCAAGTAAGTAAGTACTTTTACAATTTCTTAGAATCTCGCTAATGAAATTATAATTTTATTAACGAGATCTTATTAAGAGTTCATATCGCATAATGACCCTATTATCGGATTCCAGCTGTTAGTAGTATTAATTTGAATAAATTAAAACTGAGTAGTACAGCTGAGTGGACATGTATATGCACGGATAACTAGGTCTAGTTGCTTAGATGCCAACTTAATATTCTGAAACCATTGAAAACTCACCTTACTATGAGTAAACTTCAGTGAATTCTTTGACAAAGAAAACAACTACATCCACTGCTTGTGAGATGTCCAATTTATCCCTAAATCTTTGTGGGATGCAAAGTTAAAATAAAATCCTTGTGTAGTATAGGATATAAACCTTTCACTGTTTGTGAAATTTAAACTTTAAAAACTTTCATTACAACTTGAGAGTGTAAAAATCCAGATACATAATATTTGACTTGATGAAGATTGTTGAATGTTAATTCTATATCCTTCATAACTCAGTTGTCTGTGGTTATGTTCTGAAATAACACAAAACTGTGTTTTAGTGACAATTAACGACTGGGTGGGCGAGGGGGGAATATATGAACTCTTAATAAGATCTCGTTAATAAAATTATAATTTCATTAGCGAGATTCTTAAGAAATTGTAAATTTTCTATTACACTCATCTTATTAAGAGTTCATATCGCATGTTTAAAGTAAAATAACCTCAGAACAACTGTAAATCCTTTAATTTCCTTTATCAGTTTATCAGATTGTAAAATTGTTAAGCATTCAGTTAATTTGCATTTCCCATGACTTGGTTTGTAGATATATCAAATGTTCAAGTTTATGGTACTGTTACTGCATACCTGGTTAAATATGTCTTTCAAATGTACTTAAATGTATTTATTAAATATCTATCTATTATTATTATTCTATAAAATTAAAACCTTTATGTATTGTTATAGAAACTGCTAATGTGTATGTATATGAGATGTTTTACTGGATATGTACATGCATGGCATCGCATGACATTTGACAAGGATAATTTAAACTTCCTTCTTATGATTCCCTTCTACTACTAGTAGTTTGTTTCAGATGTTTCTGGTACTTTATAAATGCTAGTACAACATCATTAAATGGATTCTCATGAAAAAACTTGGAACCCCAATTTCATGTGTTGACATTCTGTCTTTGACAACCATCCAATGGCATATTATTTCAGAGACCCTGGGATACATGCTTGAAATAGACATTAACATGACTAATTGTGTACTTTCAGTTGAGATTTCTATTCTGACCCGAATGTTCAATGTGAGATACAGTACAACCTTATTCACATCCCAACTTTCATTTATTTTATTTAGTGGGTTTCTATTGTAAAAGTTTCCATAAAATCAACCAGAACATGGTATTGACTTACCTATGACTATCTATGGTTCCATTATATGCTGATTTTGCAGACTTTAAGTATCGAGAAACGAATAGCACATACCTGATTTGACATTTCAGTTAGGAAATTGGCTAAATTTGTATCAGAGGCTAAATATTAACGTCATGTTTATTAGAACATGCAGCATACCCATGTTTTTTAGGGGTCCTTGGAAGTAATTTAAGTACTTTCTTTACTTGATTTAATGAACATACATGTATTGCCAGTTTGTCACAGAAACCTCTAGTTTCAAACTTGAGGATGATAATTTGGACACCGTTAGTGTTATCTAGCTTTTTTTTTTTTTATTAAGGCTGTAAGATTAGATATTAGTAATTTCATATGGTTTGGCAATAAGATGGGCATACAGACCAACATTTCCAACAATTATAGATACCGCAGAGCATTTTGCCACATTGGGGCTATGAGAGCTATATCTGTGCATTTTTCTGTCTCACTTTAACCAGTAATCGGCTGATTTAAGAAATTAGAGGAAAGTTATTTGACTGTTTATTCTGAATAAATATGTCAACTTCCAGAGTTTCTGGGTTTAGTTTCCACCTGAATTATTAATTTTCTACTGGTCGACAAAATCTATTTATCTGGACCTTAAACTTTCAATTAGGAAAAATCTCCCAATCTTATTTCTAGTTTGATGCATCGAGGAATTTCTCTAGGTTTGATCTGACATTCAATTCTGATTCCTTGGAAGATATTATATGGTAATAATGATATCTCTGGCAAAGGTATCTGAACGATCTTGCATTGCTTTAAACATTTCTAGCCATCTCGTTCCCCACATTTTGTTCACATAATGTCATCGTGGTTTTTTGTTAATTTTATATAACATTGTCTAAGTTTTTGTGAATACTTTCACTACCATATCCATGGCTTTCATTCATATGAAACAATTTTTTGTTTAATCTATTTCCCCTAAGCTACTGTCCCGTCAGACTTGAACTTTAGCCAAACAGGCTGCTTTTTTGTTGTTATTGTAATTATTGATTCGGATAACACTATTACAGGCCTGTCAACTTGGGAACACCTAACATGAGTGACTTGGAAATGTTGAACACCTCCCCTCAAAATGTGGACACCTTGGTCCAAATCTGAACACCTTGATCCAAATTTTGAACACCTTGGTTTAAATTTTAGGACATCTTGCCAAATTTTGAACACCTCAAATTTTTCGCGCTCGCTACGCTCGCGTTTCAAACATCCGTCAACGGGGGGGGGGGGATACGTACGAAAAATTTCGAACGGAATGCGTGACATATACGTAATTCGCGTGAAAAGTCCGAACGAAATGCGTACGTTTTTTTCCGGCGTTCGTATTTTTGCTGTGTAGACGATCGTTTTTAGAAATTTTTCTACAGAAATATTTTTGCTTGACAATTACCAGGTAAAATGCGTATTTGCGTGACATTTTCTGTCACGCAAAAATAACTGGCGTGACTTCAAATTCTTCAGCAAATGCGTGACAAATACGCAAATTGCGGGACAGTTGACAGGCCTGCTATTAGTATTCTGAATTTCGACTTCTTGGACCAATCACTATCAAATTTTGTATTCATTTTTTGTGAGTTATTTTGGCAATCAATGCATACATGTAGGACTGCTTTGACCTTTGCAAGTGTCAATAAATGTAGAGGTTCAATATACAGATTACAGACTTAAGTACAATTCAAAAGTATCTCAATAACTTGCAGAGCTGTCAAGTGTCCCGCGAATGGCAGGATTATCCCGCGAATTTGATCAAAATTAGGCTAATTCGCGTGTCCCGCAATGTCCCGCGAAGTCCCGCAAATGTGGCTTTGACCTCCGCGAATTTCCGAAATTGTTGCAATCCCCTATATTGTGATTATCTTATATAAGAAGCTAAATTTTTGCACTTTTGAGGAGTAAAGTTTACCTAATTTTAAGTACCTAGCATGCTGTTGTTTGGTATCAAAATAAAGGGGAAGGGTTCAACTTTCATTTTAATTACGAAAATAGGGATGTAGGTCACAAATAGTTCCAACGTTGGCCTTTTTACTACCCGTGTGGCCTTCATCTCAGAACTGAGCAAATGTTAGCAAACGCGAGTTACAATAAATGGACGCTGATATCTAGAAAGGGTTTGTAGAAAAAACCGGGTACCGGCTAGTAAATCCTCCATGCTGGGTTCAAACTTGGTACCCGGTGTAAAAGGGTAGGAGATCCTATCAAATTATGGTCCTACTCTCCATTGATTTATATGGTGACCTCTTTCCCTTATTATCTTACTTACGCTTATACACAATCAGGGCCATTAAGGGCCGTTAAGAAGGGGGACCATTATCCCTGGGGGACCATAATTTCTTTCACACCGGTACCCGGTCAAAAAACGGGTACCCAAAAAACGAAAAATACGAATATATAACATAATTAGATTATGAGAAAACGTGTACGATTTGTTTTGAATTTAAAAAAATGTATGTAACATCCTTCAAAATTGAGCTAGAAGCTTCAAATAAAAAGCATACTTTAAGGCTCTTTTCTTCCTCTATCGTCATGGCCATATTTTCATTGGTTATGGGGGGGGGTGCACCATCGCACCCTCTCCTGGCTACGCCTATGACATTGTAAGACATAACAATTTACAATTCAGTGGACATTTTGTCGAAAATTGGGATAACTTAAATTATGATTGATAATCAAAATCTTACACGTTGCATCGTGTAAATTAACACACGTCACCTCTCTGCTAAAGCAACGATAGCTATTTACAGATTCAAATCATAATCAAAACAATTCACGTACCAACATACGAACTATTGAAAATAGAGTAAGATTGATTTGTCTTGTTTTTCAGATCGTCTTACAATGTCATTGGCGTAGCCAAGAGGGGATGCGATCGCACCCCCCCCCCTCCCCCCTTCATTACCAATGAAAATATGACCATGATGATAGAGGAAGAAAACAGCCTTAAAATGCTTTTTATTTGAAGCTTCTAGCTCAATTTTGAAGAAAGTTACATACATTTTTGTAAATTCAAAACAGATTTTACACGTTTTCTAATGATCTAATTATGTATATTTCGTTTTTTGGGTACCCGTTTTTTTCGACCGGGTACCAAGTTTGAACCCAGCATGGAGGATTTACTACCCGGTACCCGTTTTTTTCTACAAACCCTATCTAGATTCTAGAAAAGTAACCTCATTCCCTATTATTTGATGTAAATTAATCGAACCCTATATCATGGGCTTTCAATTGAAAGCCCATGCCTACAGTATATGAATAGGTACATTTTAATACATAACATTATGGGGGTAAGCGTTTCATAGTTGGTCACGACGCCAGAAGTGTAAAGTATTGTTCCGAATTTTTGAATTTCGTGTTAGATTACGGTACTCACACCTGAAGCATGCTTTTTGTTTTTGATAAATTACAATAAAGTTTATTAATATTCCCGATGCGTATTTTGTGAAATTGTGTTGACGTTTATTTAAGTTACAATGTAACGGTGCATTATATTTGATTAATCAGTATCTGAAAGTTTGATTTAAGTACTTTTACACGCTTTTACATTAGTCCCAATCACGCAAATCCCTTGAATGTCCCGGGATATCCTGCAAATTTAGGTGGATGTCCCGCGAAATCCCGCGAATTTAGGGCACTTTGTCTAAAAATCTGTTAAAAATCTGTCCCTCTATGAAGTTTTTGGTGGTACACCTGTTAACTGTCCCGCAATTAGGGTGTTTGTCCCTCGAATGGTCCCGCGAAATCCCGCGAATTTGATAAAAAAAATTGGCCTATTGGCGCAATTACGCAAATCCCTTAAATGTCCCGCGAAATCCCGCGAATTTAGTAGATGTCCCGCAAAATCCCGCGAATTTTGGGCACTGGGTCTAAAAAACTGTCCCGCGAGAAAATCTTTAGGGGTTGACAGTACTGAACTTGAGTAAGATTTATAACTGACTAGGGTTGATTCTATCCCTACAAAGTCTTTGCGAGAATTTTGATAGAAACTATCATTTCTATTAAGGCCTTCAAGTTCATCTCAATTGTATTGATCACAAAAACTACAAAGCTCCATTTTATGATGGGAAAAATTCAACAATAGGCTTTTCCCCATTTATCAGAAACTTCAGTTTGAAACAAATATTTCACTAACTTGAAATAATGTTCATGAGTAGCAGATAGGCGAGAGGTTAATGACATCAGAGAATCAATAAAAGATTCAAAACCAAATTAAATATTCCACAATAGTGCTTATGGTATTTTCACGAGTTTGAGGGAAGCAAGGTCCATAGTAATGATCTCAAATGATGTTATATCATTCAACGGAGTTATTTCCTGTGCCTCGAATGTATGCTTATGGTCATATAAGCATCCTTAGCATGGATTTTCACCATCGGTAATTGTTTGGCCATCTCATGTTTCTTAGAGTTACCATGTCTTCCATTTTGAAATATTCATACCAACTAAATGGTTAAGGTTTAGATTTTTAGAGTTTAGATTGAGAACAAGTCTCTGGGAACAATCCTCTTTCTCCTGTAACAATATGTGACACAGAAATTGATCAATGCTTGACTTTGCTTTTCTGTTGCATGTTTAAGAGTTAAATGAATCTCCTGTTTTAAAAGGATGGACAAAACATCCGATTGCTTAAAATCGCAGTTTTGAGAAATATTAAAGCTGCTTTCCATTTAGAAATCTTAAGCTATATTGTTATCATTTCTCAGAATCTCTGGTAACCTTGACCATACTTCATATTTCTATGTAGGTGACTTTGAAACTTCAAAAAGTAAAGTATATGTAATTTACCTAAGTTTCTGTTTTAGTGAACTTCCAGATTGTTTTTTTTTTTTTTTTTTTTTTTTTTTTAGATCTGATGTTATGTCAAAACATTCATCTTTTTTAGATCCATTTTGGTTTAATTTTAAGAATAAAATTGACGTACCTGTCATTGGAAAAGGATTTTCCTACAGCGTAAGTTGTGCTGGAGCGACATCGTCTATAATGACATTGTTTGTCATGACTTCTAGCTATATAGCTATTGGCAGCTGACAGTTTCTGCTTTCACTGGCCTAATCAAAAGGCTGTCAAATACTTGTATTTATAATCTATTGAAAGATTTTGATCTAGAAAACTATGTTTTCATGTCTTTGACAAAATCTTTGTTGAGTCATCACCAAACAATTCTTTTGCCCAGCTTGGGGTATTCTCTTTTTGGTTTTGGTATGAAGACAGAAAAATCTCCAATTCACTCTTGTCAAATTGAAATTTGAAGCATGAAGCTTGTTTCAACTACAGTAGTTGGTTATGGGAAATCCTTGTTCAGTACCCATTCAGCAACAATAGCTGTTTTAATCAAAATATTGTACGAGTATTGTCATTTGATCTAGGGCTGTTAACCCGATTTCCATGGATAAAGAGCTTTATTTCAGAAAGTCCATGTGACACACATTACCAGTATTGCATATGCCATTTTCCCATTTTGCAATTGTACATTTCTACCTGCTTTGGGACTGGGAACATTTTAAGTTCATTTACTTTCTAGATAGCTTACTCTAGCCTTTTCTTCATATTTTGATATCTACTAGGATAATGTTTTTGACCAATATTTATGGACAGATTTTACATGCTTGTCTATTATCTTCAATTCAGACTTGTTCTCCTCGAAAAATGAGTCAAACATATTGAACATATCGGCTGCTGATAAACAGAACATGAATCTATAAGCACTAGATTACTAGAACTTGAATCAAAACAAAAATGATTCTATTAATTTGAACCTACTATGAGGCTATGCAATTGGATATGCTCGCTGAAACTGTAATATGACCTCTAATATGACTATTATTCTGATGGCGGCTCAGTTTGAACCTTGGTCAAACTTTGGTTTATAGGCCTTGAACTTTGGTCATTTGGACCTTTGGTGTGTGCATTCAGACATAAACTGTGGTCATTTAGACCTAAATGTGGTCATTTAGAAATAACATGTGGTCATTCAGACCTAAACTGTGGTCATTTAGACCTAAACTGTGGTCAAGTAGACCTAAAATGTGGTCATTTAGACCTAACATGTGGTCATTTAGACCTGGACTGTGGTCATTATAGACCATGGTCATTTAGACCTTCATTATTCAAAATTCCATCTTGAAAAAACATAATATTTCCCTACCTGTCCAAGTATATTATTTCAGGAGCACTAGTGGCCGTACTAATGGTTCATAAGTCCAAACAATTGTAGTTAGACTAGTAAATAAAAGTTCCAAAAAAACTGCAAACAAATGACTGTTGAAAAAATTCAACAAGTCAAGCAGATCATCTGAACTAAAATCCATGTGCTATTTACAGCTATGTACTAGCCTAGTCTCTTACAAAGGTGTGTTTCCGTTGGCAGCTAAGCAAAAATAGACCTAGTTATCCGTGCATATACATGTCCACTCAGCTGTACTACTCAGTTTTAATTTATTCAAATTAATACTACTAACAGCTGGAATCCGATAATAAGGGTTATTATGCGATATGAACTCTTAATAAGATGAGTGTAATAGAAATTGTACCATGGGCTTTCAAGTTGAAAGCCCATGCTTGTACTTACTTTGTAAGTACAAAAAAAATCAATTCCATTTCAATAAAAAAGATTACTTACCTTCTAGAAATTTCACACGAAGATATATTGATCTATGAATCTATTGTAAGGAGATGAATCATAGTTCATAACTGACTTTGCTAATGTTTTCATAAAGTGTCTTTCAATTTCAGTGAATAAAGTGAAAGAGGGTCAATATTGTCCAAATCCCGATCGTCAGAATCACAATTGTCCGAATCCCAATTATCTGAAACACAATCGTCCGAATCCCAATGCTCAGAATCCCATTGGTCCGATTCCCAATGGTCCAAATACCATTGATCCGGTTTCCTAATAGTCTGAATCCTAATGAAGGTCCTGTGGTACTTAACAGGAAATGACAAAACAGGAAGTGACAAAGCCATGCTGGATTTCAAACAATTTTTGAACCAAGATAACAGAATTCTGCCAATGCCTACATGTACTAGTATCAGTATTTAGTTTACACTGTGACTAATACATTGAACAGTATCAGCTTTGTTTTGTCATCCATGAAGCATTAGGTAAAGTTGCATGTTGCATTCATTGGACTGTCATTGTGACGTATATGTACTGTACAGGAGTTGCTCACTTACCCTACTACTAGTGTGCAATATATTGTATAGCCCAAATAATTACATATTGTACATGTACATAAGTACAATTGATTTTTGTTTCAGCTAGTGTTTTCATGGTTGCTATGACAGGAATGTCTTTTGCTGGAGGCTTTGGAGCAGCATTAGCAATGGCAAAGAAGAAAGATCCAGATAGCTTTAACAAGGTAATACAATACATGTATGAAAATCTGGACTCCATAATTTTTTCTTTTGTGTATTACTAATTTCTCCACATTTCTAAAAGTATTAAAAGACTTCTAGGTTTTCACACAATGTATCAATTGAGTTGGCATTTCCCAACCTATCCAAAAGATATGTTTGCAGTCAGCTCCCCATCCTCAGATCCCAAATTGATTATAGCAGGGGGGAAGAAGGAGGTACGGATTCTGGACACCTGCTTACTAGTGCTTTGGAGGATGTCAGCTCCCAAAAAGGACGATGTTAGATATATATTTTGTATCCCCCAACACACTGGGTAATCAACATTGCTGATACATAATATGTTGAAAACTTCGCTAGGAAGTGCCATTAAGGGTTGCCTTTTAGATGACAGGCAACAAAAACATCAGACAAAATTTTTTTGTGGTTATTTTAGGTTTTGCTATCAAATATTTTGTATCCTCCAAACATTAAGATTAAGTATTTAAATGATTGTTTTATAAATTCTCAATTATATCTAGTTTCTTTTTAAGATATGAAATATTAAACAATCCCCTTTTGAGAGCTGGTTACAAACATACAGTACTTGATTATTAACAAGTTGAAAATTATCGAAGCACATGATATATTATTTGTTATGTTGTCCAAATTTATATTAGCAAACTTAATGTTTAAAAAATTCATCATTAATGCAGTTTTAAGGCTAGTGTCTTTTGGGAATATGACCTCTGCTTGAGGAGTTTTCAATATGGGTGCTCAACTCAAAATGGCCATCATTTTTCATAAAAATATTTTCTTTGATATAAAGGCAAATACCAGATTTCCAGAGGTTTTCCATTAACAGAGGTTTATTTTTTATATTAAGTAAATGGATAGTAGGACGTTTTATTTTATTTTCTAAAAAATAATTTAGATTTAGAAAAATTTTAATTTAGAAAAAAGCAGAAACTATGAAACATGATATCACAGATTTTTAAGTGGCTTATTATATTCATGAGCTGACTTTTTAGAAGGGTGAATACTTGCACATGAATCATTTTCAGAGTATCATTGGAACTAGAGACCAACCAATTGGTGGGGGCAGTTTGGCTGCTAGAGCTTTGGGACGTGCAACAGTATATGCTGTAGGGGGCTTCTCCATCTTCTGTTTTGCCATATGGAAACTTATTGGTGCCAAAAATGTAAGTTGAGCTAGTTTTTCAAAATTCAATGTGGATGTGAAAAAAGTGAAAGGGGGGCGACTGGCAAAAGATATAATAGTTGAATATCCAGAAGCCAAACAAGAATTAAACAGACTTGAAGAACGTATGCTATTGTTCATTCCAACAGTGTCAAGATATAGGGACAGAAAATATTGACATTTTAAAAGTACCGTTTTTTTCGTTTGGTTATTATGGAAAGTCAAACATGACTATAGATGATGTTTTATGTAGGCATTTATGTATGATACTTAACCATACTCTACGAAGAATGGATGATTTTTGTAGGCATTTATGTAGGCATTCTTAAAACACGTTACTTTGCCTTAAAAACGTTACTTTATTGGACTTTAACTTTTCTCCTCGAAGAATGGATGATTTTATATTAAGCATTTTCAAAACACAGTACTTTGCCAATAAAACGTTACTTTATTGGATTTTAACTTTTCCCCACAAAAGCCGGAATGTATGATTTTTTATGAAGGCATTCTTAAAACACGATAATTTGCCTTAAAAACGTTACTTTATTGGTCTCTAACTTTTCTCCTCGAAGAATGGATAATTTTTAGGTAAGCATTTTCAAAACACAGTACTTTGCCAATAAAACGTTACTAACTTCTCCCCACAAAGAATGTATGATTTTTTATGTAGGCATTCTTAAAACACGTTACTTTGCCTTAAAAACGTTACTTTATTGGACTTTAACTTTCTCCTCGAAGAATGGATGATTTTATATTAGGCATTTTCAAAACACGTTTCTTTGCCTTAAAAACGTTACTTATTGGACTCTAACTTTTCTCCTCGAAGAATGGATGATTTTTAGGTAGGCATTTTCAAAACACAGTACTTTGCCGATAAAACGTTACTTTCGTGGACTCTAACTTTTCTCCTCGAAGAATGGATGATTTTTTAGGTAGGCATTTTCAAAACACAGTACTTTGCCGATAAAACGTTACTTTCGTGGACTCGCGTGGACTCTAACTGTTTCCATGCCAAGTTGTTAAAACACGTTACTTGGCCAGTTTATTCCTTCAAGTGTCGAGCATTTTAGCCTGGCATTTTTAAAGAGCGTAACTTTGGCCGATTTCCGTAACTTTCTTGTACTCTTAAGTTTTCCTCCATCGAGCGTTGGTAAATTTTAGGTAGGCATTTTCAAAAAGCGTTACTTTGGCCCTTTTCAGTTACTTTCTTCATGGGCTCTACCACCTGATAGAGCCCATGCTTTCTTGGACTTAAACTTTTTTCGATGTGTAACTTGAAAATCTTGTCAGTGAGTGGTATTACTAATTATTGTAAAAGATAATATGGACCATAGTGTAAAGAGAGGCTAGTCGTGTTTTTCCATATATTAATTCACAACGAATCAAATGACCATATTTAAACAGTTTATGGAAAAATAGAAACTTTTGTACAATGCCTAACTTTTGTTTTGGTTTGTTTCGTAGTTCGATGATCTTCCATGTTATTTTCGAAATAATAACATGGATGAAACTCCCTAAATAGGTACAGCTTAACTGCACGTTATACCTAACTATCTGTAATATACAATAGTTACGTCTTGTACGTATGTTTTTTTCATTTTCTGTTGCAATATGTTGGTTGCTTATTTAACGTTCAATGTACTCAATTAGGCGGTTAAAAGACCAAAGTGGATCCTTTTTCATGAATGTACGTTAATTTATAGATTAGTTTAGCCGATAACAGTGTTGAATTACTTCAGAGTTGCAATTTTAGCGATTCATACGATAAAAGATCGATTCATCCCAAACACCCACTTTACCGGAAGACGCTCTCTGACGTCCGCGCCATTTAGGTCACTTATAACATGGCATTATTTTTCACTTCCCTTTATTAGTACGTTTGAATGCAACAATCTTAGACATTGATGCAACAATTTTGACCCTCTTTCCAAAACAAATATTCTTCTTTTCTTCATCCTAGGTCTGATGGTACATCTTGTTTATTCGATCTTGTTGTGCCAAGTCATGTTGTATGATACTGAGCGACATCTTTATAAAACACAGTTTTCAATCCGACTATAAGTATGAGTAATTCATAAAGATGTCGTTCGCTTCAACTACATCTCATAAATGTCGAACTAAATCACTAGTTTTCAAGAGTCTTTCAAGAATTATATACACATTGTATTATTAAAAACACGAGCTAACAAACAATACAATCGTTTGCATCAGAATATCAATGTATTTTTCCATTTAATATTGCACTGTGGTCTTTTGACTGCTTTTTATCGACTGACGGAGACAAAACTGAAGTTCGTCAAAATGCGATTCAAAATCATCTATTGAGTACTTTGAAATTAAAAAATAAGCAATCAAATGGCCATATTGCAACTATATTTGGACAAATAGAAACCTATGTACAAGGCCTAACTTTAGTATTTCAGATAGTTACAGCAAACGTGTGGCATTCAGTAATTTATTGAGTTTCATCCATGTTAATTTTTAGTGTCGAAAATGTCATGGCAGAGAAGCATCGAAATATAAGAGGACACATATATGATAGCTAACTACAAAACAAACCAAAATATACAAAAGTTAGGCCTCGTACAATTGTTTCTACTTTTACAAAATACTGTTCAATATCGTCCTTTGATTCCTTATTTTTTACATTCAAAATACTCAATCGGGCAAAAAAAGCTGAAGTCCAAGAAAGTAACGGAAAAGGGCCAAAGTAACGCTTTTTGAAAACGTAAAGGCTAGAGTACCGACAATTGTCGGTACTCTAGACTCTGATGTGGTGGCACGCTAGAGGACCGACAAATAAATTGTCGGTACGGGAGATATGCTGTGTTTACACGCTAGAGGACCGACAAATATTGATTTTCGAATTTTCTGGCGCATGCGCAATGCGCGGGGGGATATTTCAGATATCATACGGATATTTTGGGAACAAGTGCAAAACCCCGGGGAGGGCATTAGCCCCGGTTACCCGGGGATTACCAAACCCAGTCAAAAAATGGTAGCCCGGGAACAAGGAATGGTAGTAAACGTTGAAAACCCAATAAAAAGGAAGGGGCGTTTGCTACCCATTAGATAGAAGAAAATAGCTAGAATGTTTTTTAGAGCTTATCGTATGGTATGAGGTTCCATATCCATCCGCCAAAAGGTATATAGTCCATTTAAAAACCTGTGGTATCGTTCTAAATAACCCATAGTTGGCTTCTAGGGTACCTAGTATGCCACTATTTGGTATCAAAATAAAGAGGAGTTCAACTTTCATTTGAATTACGAAAATAGCGATGTAGGTCAAAATAGTTTCGAACGTGAGGATGTTTACTACGCGTTTGCCTGTCATATCAGAATTGAGGAAGTGGTAGCAAACGCGAGTTACAATAAACGGACGCTGATATCTCAAAAAGTAACCTGACTCCCTATAATTTGATGTAGGTCAATCGAACCCCTATATGGACAGGTGCATTTTGATGTATAACACTATGGGGGGGGGGGGTAAGCGTTTCATAGTTGGTCACGAACGCCATATGTGCAAAGTATTTTTATGAATTTTCGAATTTGGTGTTGGATTACGGTACTCATACCTTATAGCACAATTTTTGATGGAAGTTGCATTTGGCTCCCTTAGTTAATGGCTACGATTCCATCTCGCATGAGAGAGCTACCAAACGCAAAGTAAACAGTGATATATTCCAAATGAGATATTTCTCCTGTGCCATGGCGTAGTAAGGGTAGAGGTCGACGGGGGCGAAAGCATCCCCTCCTAATTGTATATATCGACCCATTAGATAGAACAAGAAAAGAGCTTTAAAATGTTTTTTAATTGAAGCTTGTAGGACAATTTTGATGGAAGTTGAATCAATTTTTGTCGAAATAAATTATGGCTCACTACAAGTTAATGCCTGTACGATTCCATACTGCAAAAGAAGCACTATCCCCCCTCAAAAGAAAAAAGTAGGTCCTGCCGGGATTCGAACTCGGAGCCGAGTGCCGAGTGTGTTCGAATCGTGCTCGCTAACCACTAGACTACCAGTGATGAAGTTATGTATGAAATTAGAAGTAGTGAATTTATTTATGAAATTGTCGGCTCTCTAGCAAAAACACGTAGCAGCCACTTGCGTACCGACAATTGTCGGTTCTCTATCTGACACTACTAGGTGACGATAGAGTGCCGACAATTGTCGGTACCCCAGCAAATACCCCTGGACAGTCTGCAGTACCGACAATTGTCGGTCCTGGAGCCAGTCCGTTTTGAAAATGCCTACCTAAATTTCACCAACGCTCGATGGAGGAAAACTAAGAGTACAAGAAAGTTACGGAAATCGGCCAAAGTAACGCTTTTTAAAAACACCAGGCTAAAATGTTCGACACTTGAAGGAATAAAGTTAAAAGTAACGTTTTACTGGCAAAGTACTGTGTTTTTAGAATGCCTACATAAAAAAATCACCCATTATTCGAGGAGAAAAGTTAAGGCCGCGCCTGGAGAGCCTTAAAATTTAAGGCTCTCTAGCCAAAATGCTAAAGAGCCTTAAATTTTAAGGTTCTTTTGCATTTGGGCTAAAGAGCCTTAAAATTTAAGGCTCTTTAGCATTTTGATAGCCAATTCTGCTAGAGAGCCTTAAAGGAATTCCAGGCGACAGAAATGACGAAATATTGCTTCTGGGACAAGATCAAACGACTTTGACATATTCTATACCCAACCTATTTTGTAATTTAACAATCAGCAAAAATATACATACGATATTAGCAGATATCAGACAAATTCAAAAAGAAAATATTTTGATCGATAAAATCACTGATTATTAAACCGGAAGTGACTTCTCTGAGGTCCGCGAAGATGAAGAAGATAACATATAAAGATTTCAGTCATTTCAACTAACTTTGCCGTCGATTTGAATGGTTTTAAATGATCTTCTAATGCTTACTATGACTTCTATTAGTACTGTTTTGACTTCCCCACTTTATAAAAAACATTATCACTTTTTGCTCGACTCATGAATTTACTTCCGGTCTACCGAGAGAAATAAAAGAACCTTTTCAATCTCCAGTCTAAATTTGGCTTTTAAAGGTTCAAACATCGATTTTGAAAAGTAAATGTTTGTTTGTTTGATGTAATGCATGTATCGAAAATATATGTCTCTGGTTCACCAGAGAAGGTGTAAGACCAGGCAATCACGTATATAGCCAGAGAAATGTTATTTTTACCATTTTATCCACTATAAATCGCAACATCCGTTTAGTAAAGATTTTGATGTATAGACATTTATTGATGGATTGGAGGCTAGGATAAAAATGTTGTTGCTGTGTTGCATAAGCCGCTGTTTCCTCGACAGTTCACCTCTTGTACTGTAAATTTTCTTTGTGCTGTCTCATGTGCTTAAATTCTGAGGAAGATGCAAAAATATCTCGTCACGTGAAAAATTCTAAAATCAGCATTGAAATCTAATGGGCAATAGATTTGGAAGTGTATTCTGTGATGTCCCTGCATTCATGATAAACTGAGTCAAGATGTGCTGATCCAGAAGAAACAAGATCCTTTTTCATCCCCAGGTCTTCATCGTACTTTTTGCCATCTTAAAATGGGATTCCCTGTATTCTCGTGACTATAGCAAAGCCGATACAAGTGATTAATTTCATTAAACATTGATGATTGAGCGATGGAGCAAGCCCAAGAATTCTAGAAAAAATTGTGTACATAATTTCCGGACATCAGAGAACCGGGCGGAGAACAAACTTCCGTCTTGTTATTCAAAATAAAAAGTGCTCCGTCGGGGAATCGAACCCATGCCGCAGAAGTAGAAAGCGAGCACCCTAACCACTATACCAGAGTGTTTTTCCATGAGGAAGGTCAATTTTTTTACAACTTTATAGTGACATACATGTGTGAAATTTTTAAGTGGCATTCTGGGTTGAAAAACTTTCGAGAGTGTTGTTTTATTGTTTAGATGACGAAAACTTCAAGCTAAATAGCCTTAAATTTTAAGGCTCTTTAGCATTTTGGCTAAAGAGCCTTAAATTTTAAGGTACTCCAGACACTTCGAAAAGTTAAAGTCCACGAAAGTAACGTTTTATCGACAAAGTACTGTGTTTTGAAAATGCCTACCTAAAAATCATCCATTCTTCGAGGAGAAAAGTTAAAATCCAATAAAGTTACGTCTTTAAGGCAAAGTACTGTGTTTTGAAAGTGCGTGCATAAAAATCATCCATTCTTCGTGGAGATCAGTTAAAGTACAATAAAGTAACGTTTTAAGGCAAAGTAACGTGTTTTGAAAATACCTGCATCAAAAATTATCCATTCTTCGTGGAGATCAGTTAAAGTCCAATAAAGTAACGTTTTTAAGGCAAAGTAACGTGTTTTAAGAAGGCCCTACATAAAAAACCATCCATTCTTCGTGGAGTATGGTTAAAGTCGAATAAAGTAACGTTTTACTGACAAAGTACTGTGTTTTGAAAATGCCTAATATAAAATCATCCATTCTTCGTGGAGATCAGTTAAAGTCCAATAAAGTAACGTTTTTAAGGCAAAGTAACGTGTTTTGAAAAGACTACACAAAAATTCATCCATTCTTCGTGGAGAAAAGTTAAAGTCCAATAAAGTAACGTTTTTAAGGCAAAGTACTGTGTTTTGAAAATGCCTGCATAAAAAGCCATCCATTCTTCGTGGAGTATGGTTAAAGTTGAATAAAGTAACGTTTTACTGACAAAGTACTGTGTTTTGAAAATACCTAATATAAAATCATCCATTCTTCGTGGAGATAAGTTTAAGTCCAATAAAGTAACGTTTTTAAGGCAAAGCACCGTGTTTTGAAAATGCTTACATAAAATTCATCCATTCTTCGTGGAGTATTGTTAAAGTCGAATAAAGTAACGTTTTACTGACAAAGTACTTTGTTTTGAAAATGGCCTACATAAAAAATCATCCATTCGTAGAGATCAGTTTAAGTCCAATAAAGTAACGTTTTTAAGACAAAGTAATGTGTTTTAAGAATGCGTACATAAAAAGCATCCAATCTTATTAGAGAAAACTTAAAGTCTATTAAGGTAACGTTCTAAAGGCAAAGTAACGTGTTTTAGAAATGGCTACATAAAAAAATCAAAAAAATCATCCATTGACAATGAACGAACGTTTTAAAGGCAAAGTAACGTGTTTTAAAATGCCTGCATAAAACATAATCTATTCTTCGTAAAGATAATGATTATATCACCAGGTTTCAACAGCCAAGGTAGCCAACGTTCCTTAATTACTTTTCATAATAACAAAACGAAATAAACAGTACTTTTAAAATGTCAATATTTTTTGTCCCTATATCGTGACATATATAAGACAAGGCAGCACCAAAATTAAATAAATACAAACCAACACCGTGGCTGATTGGAGACTAAGATGAAGAAGCTATTGTTGATAAAAGACTATTTAAGAGATATTGAACATACCAGTACCAATAGAAATGAGAAAAATGTACTTTCAAAGCAAATCCCTTATGTTCAAAAAGAACAAAAATCTGTTTTAGGTATATCATAGAAAATAAAAATTATGAATTAAATTTGTGCAAGAAGGCGATAAAAAATGCTGTGAAAAGTTACAAAATCTTATTCTAACAGGAGCTTACTGAATGCCAAAATAACCAGAATGTTTGAAAAAATTTTGTGTTTATAAAAGAAGTAAATATAGATATGTAGTGACATATGACTTTTCCACCGTTTATACAAAAATAATTATCTGATCTGAAAGAAAAATTAAAGTAGATGTAGAAAAACATTAAAGTTGATGAATAAGGTCCCATCTTCATACAATCACAAATCAACAAAAGACAGTTTGGATGGTTTATGTAATATTTCCTTCAAATTATAGGAATACATGCAATCGTGAACATTTAATCAACAAACATGACAACAATTTAACTCATTCTGCCACCACTTGAATTGCTGACATTATTGTTATGGTCTCCAACTTTTTTGTTGGGCAGTTGGTGATTGGCATTTGGTGATTGGTGTTCTGCAGTTAGCATATGTACCAAACAGCAGGTGGTGACATTCTGCATGTTAATGCCTTGTTTATATTTGTTTTCAGATGGAGGAATTTAGAGAAAAGATTGGAACAGTTGTTCCTAAAGCACCAAGGAATCCATCAGGAGGGAGAACAGAATTTAAAAACTTGACTGAAATATTTCAATATGTTATTGATGAGGACAAAAAATCTAAGGATGACACTTTAACATCTACTGGCACTACAGAGAATGCATCAGAAACTTGATAGTGATTGTGAAAATTTGTGGTTGAACACTTGATTTAAAGTGCAGAGCCTCAGGGTCTCTCTGTTGTGTTCTGTCTAGTCATTTCTAATGCTGTCAAATCTAGGCTCACTTAACTTTGTATCAACGGAGAGGCTTCAGAGGGGCTATGAACTGTAGCAATGACTAAACATTACAGTTTGATTAGTTTCTGGGATGAAACCAGAAGACCTTGACATTTCATAACCCTACCTATTTTTTGATTTTATACAATACAATATAAATATACACACCACATTGAAGCACATATCGGCCAAAGTAAATAATATTTTTTTGCTTCAGTAAAATTAAAATTGAAATCTGGCTATGACCACAAGTGTGTTCACTGATGTCCGCACAAAACGGTATTTCAAATTCTGCTTTGGGTTCATGTATATGTAAAAAACATGTACATTCAAACTAATTTCTCAAAATAGGTACCGTATCAGCTTTAAAATTTTGTGAATACTGTAGAAATTGACATTTATATTTCACCAATACTATTTCAATCACAAATATTTTGTAAACTGTGAAGTTTCTTTTATTCCTGAATGGTGCTATTTTTCACACTAGTGAATCAAAATATTATTGATTCTTTTGTTAACCTATTGTAAATATTCAGCCTTTACTTGGGGAAATAGTAAAATGTAAATGGCTGATGGAAAAAATAACAATTTGGTTTGCTTCTGACCTGAAATTGGCTGTTTTGGGGAGGCAGAATCATTTTGGTATTTCTGCTCTACTTATATACTATGTATAGAGATATATGTAAGCATTTGTATGCATGTAATGCCTTTCATGATAATTTTTTAATTGTTACAAAATAAATGCATAAATACTGAACAGTAGACTACTGTAGTTTGTTTTAAAATATAACCATCCCAATTTAGAGCAAGGTCCCATGGAAGTCATTTTTAGCCTTGAAATAAATAGTTGATGTTAATTTGTTATAATCAGATTAAATTGATTAGTTATGGTAGACAATTACAAACCAATATAATGTCTTGAATTCTTTTTAGGTTATCCTTGAGGGTCCTATTATCTTTTACTTATTATGAATATAAGCTTCATGGTCATCTCAACCACAAGTGAACTCAACCTGGTAAAACTTAACCCCAAGTTAACTCAAACCCTGATGATTCTGTCAAACACTGTCATTTGCTTTTTTGAAAAAATAGAAGATGGCTCGATAGTGCCATATATCTCACACATATAAAAGTGAGTTTGGCAATATCTTTTAATTCTTGAACCTATGAATATTATTGCATTTTAAGAAATCTAAGCAGAGTACCCAACTTATGGGACTTATAACTTCTCATATGATAGCCAATTTTAAATTTTGGCAGTAAGATGAGCCTTGTTCAAATAAAGTTATATATCTCAGGGTACCTTTTGTAGTTCACATATTAATGTACAGGAAAACCTGTGTGAGAGGAATGCTTTTGAATACTACCTCAAAATACTAATGTTCTACCTGGGGGTATTCCACAGATAGAAAATTATGAAAAATTTGAAGTGTTCTAAGGAGTTGTTCCACTTAGGCATTCCTACTCAGACAGTTTTAATGTTGCAAAATGGTCAGACTTGTTGATTGAACTGTTTTATCATTGAAAGCATGAATCAAAAAAAACAAAAAAAACATATTTATTCCAGTGTTGTGTATTTTATTCCTAATGCTTTATAAAATGTATGTGACTTGCACATGTATTTATAATAGTGACATGCTTATTAGCTGTACTTCATAGATAAAACCTCCCATAGACTATATAATAGACCATATATAATATAAATATATATATGTACACATATATAATAATAATAACAAAATATTCATGTCAATGCTTATGTATTATAGTACTGTAGAGTACAGGATTTAATTCATGTATGTGGCACAATTAAACCCTCGTTTCATTATTCTACGAAAAGTGCCCAGTTCAAGGAACCAACCATGGCAGGTCTCAGAAGCCCCTTTCTGAACTTGTAAATTTGCTTCATGAATTCCATTGTATCTAATAGTTATTTAGGAACAAACATACATGTTTGCAACTGCAAGACAATTTAATAAACTTAATTCTGATGTCTTGAAATTTGCTAGAGATTTCTTAAACCAACGACCTCATGTAGACAAGGGATGAGTGAAGCAAATTAAGTCTTCAAATGTCTGACCAAATGAGAACCCATCTGTGTGTAATGAAGTAGAAAATTGATGATTATGCACAAAATATAGGTAGTACGCTTACATTTTTCAAATATGGCGCCAAATAAATCATCTTTAACTGAACTTCTGTAAAAAGGATCAATATAGATTGTGGAATGTTGTAAAATATTTAGAATGAACATATACGAAAGACTACTTTTAGGCAAAAATTTTGAGTCTTACATACATGTATATAGCAGTCATATCATAAATTATTTACAACGAATTTAGGATGAAACGTGCAAAGTTCAGAAACAGACTCCAGCAACACATGATCAATCAGTCTTACTCAAGATACATGAGATAGTGATGATAGACATCTATTGGTGGTATATAAACCAATACAACCAATTACACCGAAATGAGCAAAATTAAAATCTCTGTGTACATGAAAGTGAAGAGGGTATACATATTTTGATTATAAAGCTAATCTTCTGATTTCCAGCAAGCAAATAACAATTTTGAAGATGTCTATAAAAAAAAGTTGGGTTCTATCCCTCGATTTCACAAAATATTATTCAGAACTTTTTGTAAGTTTTTTCAAAATTCTATCTGTTGAGAAAAGTGAATTTGTGGCTCATTTAAAATAGGTGTAAAAATAAATCAAACAAACAGTGCCTCATTAAGTGCCTTACTATACATAATCTTGCTTTGTTCTGCTGCTAACTAGTGCATCTTTTGTAAATAACATAAACAAACCACAAAATAAATTTGCATGTACAGAGTAGACCAAAAAAGTTACCCATTCTGATTATACACTACTATAATAAGAGTAACATTGTTTGGCCCACTTTGTACTTTAAAGTGCACAATTCACCTTCAAGGTTGACAGAAAATATAAATAAAAAAATAAATCTTTAAAAAATGCAGATCTCTAATTTTGGCATAAATTTATCAATTATGATGGAATCTTCAATTTTATTGTGTAGATAGAGTATTCCATTTGTAAAATGTGGTATTCACAAATAGCATTGACTTGAGAGTGATTTAGAGAAATCTTGCTTTCCATCTCTTATGCCAAATCATTCAACAAAAAAGCAAGTTCAGAAAAGTTGGTTAACAGATTATTTGATTGATAATATGTTTATAAGCATTCTATTAATATCCCAAATGAAGAAACCAGCATTTTTAACAATTTTACACAAGAGGACACCCAAACAAAGTTATTTCTCTATATTGAATTTTTGAGAAATTCCGGAAGTACTTGGACATTGTAATGCAAATCAAAGCAAAAAAGTGATAGTGCTCTTCCAATATCTTGTGATAAATGAGATCCACTACACTGTCAACAATTTATTTATATAAGACTTGCAGCTACTTAGGCAAATAGATTTAAAAATCATTTTAGCATGGCGGCCTTTTAACATGAAACAGTACATATATCCAACCATTCACAGCCATGTTTTCATAAGGTTAGAAAGTCATGAAACAATATAATATTAAGTACCTAAAGTAAACCTCCAATGATTAATAATTCCAAATATGCATCCACTGTGTGATGCCTTGGTCACATTTGCTCCGATTCATCGACCAGCGCCCGACTGATTGCAGTATTTTGTTCAAAACTGATTCCAACTTGCTTTAAATTGATCAAACCTCTTTTTAAAAATCATGTACAATTTCTCAGGAGTTCACATCTGACCTCAAATTCGAGATTTGACATTTTGGAGCAAATGTGACGTAGGCATAAGCATGGTTTTAAAAAGCCCTACAAAGTACATGTACTATGTTAATTATATAACCCTCAGATTTACTGTTGTTCCAATGCTGTCCTTATCTCATTGAGATAATTGTCACAAATATTTATTATCCAATACTGTGAGATTCATTAAGTCTTCACTATGGGGGCACTTGCAGCAATCTGGCGAGCTTTCATCTTGCGGTCACGTTGGCCTAAGTATGTCCTAAGGAATACAGCTCCAAATACGATGCTAATTCCCAACAGGCCAAACAGAGTGACTGGGTGAGAGTATATGAGACACGAGAGTAGGATGGCTAGGCCCATACGTATTGTCATTATGATTGTGAATGTGACTGGTCCGAAGTTTGAGATTGTATAGAAGATGAACAACTGACCACTTGCTGAGCATACTGAGAGCAAGCATACATGGAGGAAAAATGTTGGATATTTTCCCATAAATGCTAGAGATTCAACAAAGCCACCTTGCTCTATGAGGGAAACTGTGGTAAAGAGACAAGAGAAGAGATTCACTCCAGCCATCATTTGCATCGATGACATCTTAAATGTTGAAAACAGCTCCCCTTGCCAGTTTGATGTGAAACTATCAAACATGAGATAGGAAATCAAAATGAAGAGTCCTGAAAAGGTTGTTCCCGTCTCAGGGTGTTTATCTTCTGAGCTGGTTAAGAGGAAGATGCTGACACCAGATGAGATCAACAAAGCTGTGCCATATTCGTGGAATTTGTACGATTTATTCGATGTGAATTTCCCCATTATCATCACTGGAATGACTTTACAAGATTTCGCTAGAACTTGTGTTGGAAAACTGACGAATTTCAGTGCCTCATATTGGCACCAGCTGGACATTATATTAGAGAATGAGCAGTAGGAGTATTTGTACAAGGGGGCAGTATGAAATGGTTGTTTAGTCAGTAAGCAGATTATTACTGCAGTAATAAATGCCAGAATACGGTTCATAAACACCAAAAATTGTGAATTGGTGAATTTTTCTCCTTCTTCTGTATCTGACTTTCCATAGTCATGTGTCATGATTCTTTCCTGGAGGAGTCCCCATGTTAAATAGGAAGCTTGTAGGCCAATGAAGCAGAACAACAGCCTCAGTGCCTTTTGTGAAGTGCTCCATTCTGGTTTAGGGGGTGCAGATGCAGTCTGGCCTCCTTCCTCAGCTAAGTCATTCTTGTCTGCTTCAGTACCAAAGACACACATACCAACTGTCTTGGGAATACATCCCTTAGCTGAAAGTAAAAGAAAATGTTATAAAACCAATGTACAGGTAAATAATTTATGTACATATGTATTTATTGAGGGACTGTTTCAAAGATCATAACTCTTGGTCTTGAGGAGGCTATACCCCAATGTTATTACAAATTTGCAAAATGCAAAAGTGATCAATTTTTGCTACAAACATTTAAATCTGCATTAAAAAACATGAATCAAGTGACGTTATCTTTGGATGTATTAAATAATTATTGTTGAAATTTTCAGAAATTTATTTTCTGAAAGAAGCTCTTGAAAAATGTTGAAAGGATTGGTATCAATATGGTGAACTGAATTAAACAATGTTTTTCTCTAAAACCAAATATTGAAAACATTCTGTCTTTTATGTAATGATCACTGATTGACAACAACTTAATGTGAATATAACATTTGTTTTTTTGGTGCAATTGGTTTTTGTTTCTTTCTACCAATTCTTGAGAATGAAATAAAATATCTTTCCGAACCCTGTTGGACCAAAATAGCATATACAACATTTTCTTAGACCTCTCAATATTATAGTTAAACAAAGGAAAGTTAGTTCATTTAACAAAAATATTCAAAAATTTAAAACAAAAACCCCCAAAATGGATAAAAATCAAATTCTTACCATTCAAAAGATGATCATAAATTGATGATGTGTAAAATTTTCAGAATTCTTTATCACTGGTTCAAGAGAAACATGTGTTGAAATCAGTTGACCATATCAATAACAATCCTTTGACCCTTTTCACTTTTTGTTCTCCAATATCTCAATACTGGTATATTATTTTAAACAGTCATATATCTTACCATGGTTATTTTCTTACCCTAAAACATGGAAAGCAGGAGTTTTCCATATGTAAAATGTTTTCAACATTAACACAATTTGAAACAAAGTTCTCCTTTCAGAAGTTACTGACACAGTGCATAAGAAAACTTTGTTGTGGAAAAAATTAATAATAATGATAAGGATTGGCTCTCTTTTTAGAAAATAAGTTTGACATTTTGAAAATGATTTGAGATAGTGTCCTAATCTTTAAAGTTGGTTAGACATTCTTATTATCCTGACAACTTCAAAGAAAACATTTATAAAATGTTTTTAATAATGGTCAGGATATAGTCATGATCTATTGTATGACTGTCTTAAATCTAGATTGATTGAAAGCAAAGTACTTACCTTGTCGCTCATTGTATTTGATCTTCTTAAGGTACTGTATCAGGAAGTACCCAGGTACAATTATAGTGGCATAGCCAATAAGATTCAGTAACAGTCTGAACAACCAGAAGTCTTGGAACTTGCTAAACACTCCAACTGTGGCGCCCTCTGCTGCTGTTTCTTGTCCACGGAGAACTGACGGCAGGATCAGCAAGATGAAGCTTAGCAACAGAGCAACCATGATGCTGAAAGTAAAATTGAAAATTGATCAAATTTTCAATTTGGAGTCAAAACACAATATATAGCGAGAAAATAAAATAACATTAATTTACTAACTAGATAACGGAAACTCCGCGGAGTAGCAAATCCCAACGAACAAAATATCAATTACCGAACTCCAATCAATTATACTCATTACTTTGGTTAAAATTGAAAAATTTAGATTTTAGAATTGCGAATTCCTGCAGAGCAGCCATTTAGAATTTTACGATGCTCGATTCAGAAAAAAGATACAATATTTGCAATCTACTCTTAATTGCCTTTCATTTGAGTATAATAAAGCTATACGATCTAAAAATTAGCGAAAATTTCTGTTTTCCTGACCCCCATACACGGCCCCTGGAGGTCAGGATGAAAAACACAGACGGACGGACTGACGGACGGACAGACGGAGGGCTTCACTATATCCCTACCGAACTTCGTTCGTTGGGATAATCAATGTGCTAAAATATAACTTTAGTCAATAAAATGGAGGAAGAACATCCCATGGGTACTTTATGGTTTCAATTTCCTTGCTTTTTTCAGGAAAGTATCATTACATTGTCTTCTTTTAGAATATCTGGTAGGAGTTCAATGGGAACTCCAGGAAATTCTGATATTTTACACTTTCTATTTTTCCAAATTTTCTTTCAAAGTTCCCAGACAACATAGGAGCTACCATTGACCTGTTTCCAGGTTTACTAAAAGTAGACAATGTAATGATACTTTCCTGAAAAAAGCAAGGAAATATACACTGTACACATGCCTTCATACTTAATTTTGTACCAGAAAATAACATGTGCTGGTATAGCAATTTTTTACCAGAATGTTACTTTCCAGCTGAACCTTAAGGTACAGCTGGAAAGTAACATTTTGGTAAAAAATTGCTATACCAGCACATGTTATTTTCTGGTACAAAATAAGGCATGAAGACATGTGTCAATTTCCTTGCTTTTTTCAGGAAAGTATCATTTCATTGTCTTCTTTTAGAATATCTGGTAGGAGTTCAATGGAAACTCCAGGAAATTCTGATATTTCACACTTTCTATTTTTCCAAATTTTCTTTCAAAGTTTCCAGACAACACAGGCGCTACCATTGACCTGTTTCCAGGTTTACTAAAAGTAGACAGTGTAATGATACTTTCCTGAAAAAAGCAAGGAAATACACACATGCCTTCATACTTAATTTTGTACCAGAAAATAACATGTGTAGGTATAGCAATTTTTTACCAAAATGTTACTTTCCAGCTGAACCTTAAAATGTAATTTTACTTATTTTATGTGTAACATTGTTACTGAAAGTGGACATACAATGTCAAAAGGCGATTTGCCACATTATTGTGTATTATGCCATGAAAAATATATCAATGAAATAAACCTATTGTTTAAAAAAATACTTTACCTAATTACAAATATCCTTCAATTTATCTTGCTATATACTTATGCATATGTCACCTCCAGTAAAAATTGTAAAGTGAATTGGATATTGATCTCTTTCTGAACTGGAGTTATGTTGCACAGAGCAATAAATCTATAACAACTTAACTTTGAGTGGTAGCCAAGCATATACTCAGAGAGCAATATTACATGAGTTGAACATAAACAACTGTTTATTCAAGTAGAATTGTAACTCCCATTTTGTTTTACACCAGCTGGGACACCAACTACAATATCAAAGCAACAATAGAAAACACTTGGTTGTTTAATCTTTTAAATATCATTGTTAAGGTAGTTCTGTATGTTCAGAAATTTTAATGGCTTTCTAACTAGACTCTTGTGTTATTTTCTGCAACATATAACTCAGACCATGGGCTCTACCATGCTCAGACCAAACATGGTCTTGATCTTGCGCTTCGCACAAAAATTTAATAAATGTACCTAGATTATGAGTTGAGGATTAATAATTTTCTGCAATCTATGAAAATTCAGTCACTTACTTTTTAAAAGTACAAATAAAAATGAAGGTCAATCAACTAGATGTATTAATGATTCATGCAGTCTTTGTGCAAAATTGAAAGATGAAGATGTAGTGTCAACTAAAAAAATATTCTAAAGACCTTCCATTAATAAGGTTTTATGTCTTGTTACAGAACCATTGTTTTTAATACTTTGAAACGGAAATATAAACAACGAAACATACTCAAATATAAATTAATAAAGGTTTTTATTGAAGAAAACTGTTCTCTTTGTAGAAATATAGACAGTTCTTGAATTATTTTACTTTAGTCAAATCCATTAGAGCTTTATTTAGTTATAGTGGAGTGAGACAGGGGTCCTTTTATTGGCGAAACTCTTAACAAATAATCTAGTTTACAGATTCATTGAGATATACTCCCTTTATAACTAACCCTTTACTACTAGGACATAATGATATGGTCATTCATTGATTTCTTTTGGCTATAGTTTTTTTTTCATGATATCAATTTATTCCTAATAATTACATGTACATAGATAAACACAATCAGCCAATTGCCAAAGTTTTACAACATTAGCAGCAATTTGATATTTAAATATACATAAGTGAAATAATAGATATAATATAAAATACAATATGTTTACTTCTACGAGTATACTTAATTCCTAATCACTGAATCAAGAAAATCCCATGGGTGGGATGATGACAAAAAGGAAAAAGCAGAAAAATAGAGAATCGAAACCTGTTGTCTCAGACTTGATATGAGATTAAAACTCATGTATATATAATAACTAACAATATGAATTAAATCTTCATTTGTTGTAGCATCTAAATTGTCTTTTCCAAAAAGTAAAAAATTGTAACTGTTAAACAAGTTTCCTAAATTGTAAGTTTGAAGGCCTGCAATGAGGTTGATTCTTTCATCGTGGGCAAAGAAAATGCAAGGATGTCAATGGAACACCACATTTACATAAAGGGCCATTAATGTCAGTTATGGGCATAAAGGTGTGCTTTTAGTACTATAGTCAGGTCAATCGATTTAAGTCTATCTTTTATTTCAATGTTTTATATGTTATTATTTTGTTTCACCCTTGCTGAAATCCTCATTTTCTCAGAAGAACACTGCTTGATTGAGCCTCAGTGGAAATATGTTACTAACATATCTAAAATTAATCCAAATTGGTTTGAATAGGAGATTTCACTTGGTTTTCAAAGCTAACAGTAGAGATGTTGGCATACAGTCTAAACCTTTATATTAAGTCTAAGCTTTTCTCAACTAAGAAACCTAACCACAATGGGGTTTTGATCAACAGATTTTACTGCCATTATTTTATTAAAATACAGATCATACATGCCGGATCATGTCTCCAAAGAAATATGTATCCAGAAAGAAGGACCTTGAGTATAAACTACAGTTCTAAAAATGAGTGCAAACTTACTGCAAACTTTTATATACAGAAAATGTATGTGTAAAAATTGGGTTTTCTTTATTTACTTATTTTGAATAGATTTTTATATATCTGCATATCAAAATTATACTCCCAAATGCCCCAAATGATACCTTTGTGCATGCTATAATTTGTATACACCGAGTCTCTCATTGAAACTGTCCTAGAGCATAACCTTTATCTCCCCCATTGCCCTCTATCACTTCAAATACTACTGTATAAGCCTTCAGGGTAAAATGAAAACATTTAAGTTTCATTATCATTAATCCAGAAGAAATATCAAAACCAACTAAAACCATGGTTAACCACACTGAAAAATAAAATCCTTACACACAGATAGATGAACAATAAAAGACATGTAAGGATGTAGAATGGCATTCCTTTGAATGCATAATTGTTAAAAAGGTCACCAACAACAAGTTATGAATTCAACAGTAGATATACATGAATACCAAGAACACAAAGAGCAAAACAATCCATCTTTAACCACGACACAAGTCCACCCATATATTTATACTTACAGCACACAGAATATCCTGGAACAAGAAGTAGAAATATAAACAGATAATTATACTAAATGTCAATATGCACTTGCGGATCCAGGGGGATGGGCCCAGAAATTTTTTTGGCTCCAACAAAAATTTTGTAGGGCATCAGTGTGTGGGCCTTTTTTGGCATTACTTGGCCTTTTTTTGCCCTTTGCAGGCCAAATTATAAAAAAATAGGCCTTAAATTTTCAAATTGGGACCAATTTTTCAATTCAGGGTCCCAAAAAAATTTCTGATTTTAAATATGGCCTCCCCCTTGTTAGCTGCATCCACCAGTGAATATAAGATTATTCCAGAAGAGAATCCATAATTATACTCAATATGAGTATTAAATCTTATACCACTCTAAGTCCGATTACAGTTGTATAACATGGGTCTATAACAACGATATACAGTGGAGAGTGGTATATCGTCATCGTATACACTCCACCGTATACACTCCAGCGTATACCACTGTAGAAGTGCATTCTGGGAACTAATGAATATTGACCGAGGTGTATGTTTTGTTACACATGATTTCCTTGAATCAAGTGACGTCATAAATGGATCGAGATCAGCATCGGCATTACTGAGTTGGCTACGGGATATTTTTATGGTTTTTATAATTGTTATGATTGTGTTTGAATCAACTGTAATTGAACTTAGAGTGGCATAAAAGATTATATAATGGTTCAATCTGTATATCGTGCATTTTATACTCTCGTGAGAATATAATATATTCACTCGTTCGCTACGCTCACTTGTGAATATATTATATACTCACTCGAGTATAAACACGATATACAGAATGAACCATTATATAACCTCATAATATATAATGTGAGTATATGATTATGTCTATATGAATATATAGTTTATCTACTGAGAAGAATTCAATATGGGTTTTAAAACAAGTGGCATTTCCCTCAATCCCAACACAGTTGCCAGGAGTTCTTATCTGACCTGAATATCAGTTACAACTTATAAGTAGATTGGTAACTAAAAAACTTCAAGTATATTAGAAACTTAAAGTAACTTAAACCAACCAACTACGATTTTTGTTTTTCTTTAAGCAAATAACTCAGATGCGAGTAGGAAGTTACAAGTTTCAACGCCAGGCAGCTCATTCGGGTTAGATAGCATGTCGGGTATAGTAGAAAGTTTCCTTTAACTTAAATATTCATTAGTTCAATTTTCATATCAGTCTTATGTATCTAATAGTTATGCAAATTAAAATATGTCCAGTGAAAGAAAATATTATCTGTCCAATACAAAAAAAGATATTTCACTTTTTGAGATTTTATAACATGGGGTCTTTGGGGAATCTCCCCGAACAAGAAGTAACATTTTCCAAAAAATTAAATTTTCAAAGCTGATGAATAATTTTCGAAACCATATCTCTAGATTTACTTTTACATGTTGATTTCAAATTTGACATCACTTTGACTGAATTTTGAATATTAAATGACATAAATCAAGATTATTTCTACTGGCATCTAGTCTATTCAATTTAGCTTACTATTTTGCATATAATCAATGAATGGAACATTAAGTTTATGATATACCATGGACAATCACCATCCCTAGATATTAGTCAATTATTGCAAACTCACCTTATTAGCATTCTCACATTATAAACAGATACAGTAATCTGTTCTGTTGGTAACATGTTAAAATTGCCATTTAAATGTGAAAGATTAGTCGATATTGTAAAAATCCTCATTGTTCATATGGTACTTAAAAATTATTTCAAATGTCAAATAAGTTTTGCATAAATATCGTCATCAGAAAAGGTGGCTTCCAATGTTAATACTGTATTACTATATATTGATTACTTGCAAATAAACATGTTCACCTGATATCGCAGGTGAATTTGACATTTTATTATGTGACGCATTTCAGTGATCTCTCAAGTTTAGCGGAAACTGGGCACAGCACCCTGCTCAAACTATAAAAAGTTAACCATTTTGGGCTCACATGATATATTTCCTTGACTCATTTAAAATAGTTCAAGTTGTAAAGGTAGGCCAAATTGCAACAGTAGGTCAAATCACAAATATTTCATGGATGAGTTATCAAAATATAATCAATTGAATTGGCTCATCTTGAGATCAGTGTACAAGTGTGCAATTGGATAAGATGGGGTCTGTCCAATAATCCAAAACCTAACACTCTGAAACCCAATACTCCAAAATCCAATTCTAAGAAATCCAAACTCCAAAAGATTTTGACTATATATACCACAAAATTGTCATGAAAAAATCGAATCGCCACCACTAGTACCATGATCACAACATTTATCAGTAATATAAAAATACATACTAGCCAGGTCAGAACAATTCATCTCTGTCTTTTTTCCTGATAACTCTTCCAATTCTCAATAATCTTTCATAAAATTTTCGCAGAATAAACATTACAGGGTAATCAACAAGTAGTGACAATAATGCTCCCATTTGAAGAGTTTTCAAAAGTATAACATGAAACTTGGCAAAATGTGCCAAAATATGTTCGCAATTTAACTACCAAGAGACAGGATACAATGTCACAATATAGATAATTTGGTGGTGACTTAAGTAACATAGGCGTAGGGTACCCAGAGCAGGTGACATTTACCTACTGATTGTCATTTCATTTTATCTTGGCACAGCTGTTAATTGATTGTATTATTTGAAATAAAGCCATTTTCTCAGAGATTATATAATTTAAAAAAATAGTCGTTGTTGACAAAATTATACATACTCGAGATAATGAGACATACTACACAAGCAAAACCCCATCTTTTTGCCAAGGTAGCCATATTGGAAAGGTAGCAAAATGGATCAAGAAATGTCTTCAATGGCAGAAATAAAATCAGACATAGAATTTTGATACAAGACTGTGTAAAGAACAACCTTTCAGTGCATGATACAATTAAGTTCTAAAGAAATGCTTAAAGGGACTCTGTTACGGCAGAGCGAAGAGTGTATGTTTGATACTGATGATGAAGTTATCAAGGCTGCCCAGGCCACCATTAGCCAGATGTCAAATAATGGATTCCACAATCTGTTCCATCATTAGTGGGTTAGGAGGTATATTGAATGTGTTCCTTGAGATGGTGCTTATTTTTAACATGTGTGTAACTTAGTGTTCAATAACAAAGTATTTTGTGATTAAATTGTCCCATATGGTAGGACTAGGAATAGCTCAGATTGACCGGATATCATTCGATGGGACTCTAATATTGTCTGTTTGTTGCAAGACAATGACTGTGCTCGACCTACTCAATTTCACAAGATAATAAAGTACTTCAAGTATTCAAGTTCACCTGTGACAATTAAACTCTACAAAAGCATGTGTTAATAAGAGAGATGTCTGTTAATAAATTTGAAAATGATGCACAAATTTATCATGGTGTTTTTATAATAATAAGCTGGTGATCTCAACAGCTGACCAAAGAAGTTGTTTTTTAATACTTGAAAATGTCATAGAGTAAACACCATAGAGCTTTGAAATCTTCAGAGGACATATGTTGCACATACAGCAACTACTAACATTTATTTGAAAGTTCTTCTTACTTTAACAAAGTGTCTGATATTTAAAGAAAATTGGAAATTGGAAAAAATTGGAAACTCACAATTCTCCCTTTCGCGATTCGCTCTTTGAATCAGAACGTTCGCAAATATGTACTGAAAAAGCACTCAAAAAGGACAAAATTTGATTGGTCAATATTTTCTCACTATGCATTTCGCGTAGCTATTTGCGTGACCCGAAAGTTCTAAATCAAACTAATTATGCAATTTTGTTTTTACACCCGCACACTAAATAAAACAATGATAACATCGGAAGTATTCTTCTTTATCATTGCTTTAATAGTCAATATACCGAGTTTAATCAATAAAAGATTGTACAATGAACAACAAAATTCGGAAACGAGTACTATAGCTTTGCTTTCAGACCACTAAACAGAGTGACCTAGATAATAGCGACGCTTCTTCTTTGGTCTACTGCTCAGTTATTTGCAGGTTTTCAACGTAACTCTATGATGTAATTTGAAGATGAATACTTTTATTCAGTTGTTGCATCGATGTTGCAGTTTGTAGTGCGGTAAGATTGGCATGAAAGTATTGAAAGTCGAATGGAATTGTTTTTTTCCAATATGGCGACTAGTCAACTGATCATGTGACCTTTTCTTCCGGAATATTTTCTCACTTTTCATTCATCGTTTTCACCACGCTATGAATCAATACAATGAAAAAAATAGCTGTTATATTAAGATTAATAAGAGATCAATCGTTTCTAATAATTTTTTCTGTACCCTCGTACGGGAATATGAACGAATATATCGTTTGAAAAATAGGTGTGAAAATCCCCATGTTAAACCTATGAGGGAAAACAAGGAAGTATAAATTTGTTCCTCCGCGAACTGCATCATGGGAAATATTTTGACCTTATAAGGAAAGATTTTCGCGTCTCCTCTTTTGAAGAGGGAACAGCGATTTCGACAATTGGAAATTTCTCGGAAACCAGTCAAACTTTGGGAATGGCAATGACAGGTCAAATAGGCACGATGGATATACATAAAATGAATGTGGATATGACTTAATACGAATAGTAGATTTAATTTGTGTGGCCAATGTTGACGGACTGATGGACCGGATGGATGCCTAGTCGATCCCAAGGCTAACTGTGTGAGCCAATTACTATTACACCATTTTCATTTCCTATCAACTTATGTGTTTGTTGAATCACAATCCTGCACATATCAATAGTGCTGGCTGCTATTTTGAGTGACGTATTTTGAGAAACGTATTCGCCTATAGACGCTAATATAGCCAAATTGTATTAAATATTTCGCTCAAGCAATTTATTCCCTCCTGAGCACTTATCATAAAAATCAAACCATAATTCACGGAGAATGCCCCTACGGATACCTCAGTAATTGAAATTTGAACTCAAATTTGTAAGAAATGAATCATTCATACTCTGAAATGAAGCTGCATACAAGGAAATACAGGAGAGTATATGTTACGGCATATCTTTCTAGACATTATAGGAGAGCATGGAATCAAAAATCATTGATGTCTAGGAGTACTGACAAATATACGACTTATCAATTATTTTTCGTCACCACTCTAGATGTAATGTTGCCCCTACATGCCACACGGCTATATGTTAATTCTACATACTCTAACTGTCAACATACCACTGCAGCGAGCAGTGAAGGCATTATTCTCCGGAACAAGATTAAGATCGAAACAATCTCCCAGGATTGCACAAAGAAGCAAACAATTGTGATGTTTTCGTTTACTGTTTTAACATTAGGGCCAGTATTTTTTCAATGCATCATTTCAAATAATTTCTTGTAGCCTAGTCTAATGGCTACTGCGATAGATCTAACCTCTGGCCAACTTAGGGTATAGGAGCCCCTATAGAAGCCACTGGCTAGGGTAGTATGTATCCAGCAGAGTTAGTTAAATCTCAGTCTAAATATTTCCAACTAAATTTCCCCAAAAATCAGACTATAGTAGTCTAGGGTTATGGCAAGGAGGATTGGCTCCCAGAGTGCAAAATCGATATGCTGTCCCATATATGAGCATGTAATGATACAAAATTAGAATTCAAACAGCCGCCATTTTGTTCAGTTCAATATTTGAATCGTGAATTTTGATCTTATTTCGTAACGAATCTTTTGAACTGTTTATTTTGAATTCGTAGTCGGTTATCGTATCAAAAATGTAATTTAGATCCTGGGAGCGAATCCTCCTTGGAGCTAGGATAGGTACCCCCATAAGTTTGGGGTTGATTTTTCAAATCAGTGATTTGAAAAATTTACAAAGTAACGAAACAAAAGGATCTGATAATGAATATAACTTACCCAAACTTGGAAACTTTGATCATGCCTTCCAAAAGAGTTAGATTTCCATAACATATAGCGTTTTGTTGCTATAAGTTACTTTATAGAAGGAAAAGTATATGGAAATATTTGACGTGGAATATTTTGTTTTTGATGCCCTGCCCAGGAACGCCTTGCAGGACAACGCTGCGCTATAAAAGTAGGCCTTTCTTTCATATGAGATATTATGCTTTTTATCCCTAACTTGATCCTTATATTATATTCATAAGGTGAAGTTTCTTCTTATGCACTAATTTAATTGCCACACATTCAGAAATCCTAAAAACTAATGACAGATATAGCAAATAGTTCCACGCGGATTAAAGTATGGTAGCTTTGCCCACAATGCATTGCTTGGCCGCCATACTTTTTCATAGCGGAAGTGACCGGTGAATTCATTTCATTTATTTGGGAATATCTCTAACATTATACAATATGTCTCGTGGCAGTAGTGCTGGTTTTGATCGACATATAACGATATTTTCCCCAGAGGGTCGACTTTATCAAGTTGGTAAGCTACATTCTGGCAAATTGCACCAAAATCACAAGTTATCTTCAGCTCATTTTTCTGTTTTTGTCACGAGAAAATGTCAAGTCATCATCACTTCATCAGCACTATTCTGCCGTCAACTGAATACTTCTCCGAAAAATAGCGAAGCTGCATATCAAATCATTAATATCAGTACACATGTGTGTCACCACCTTATCTGTCATCTCAGATCCATACCTAGACTGTATCCTTCGTCTGAATAAATATTCAGACTGTATCTAGTTGAAAGCCCATGCTGTAAGTCACCTATTGTAAAATGTGGTGTTGTATAAATGTTACAAATAAGTTTGTTTAATGATAAAATGATTACCTTATAAAGAACTTACAATATTATTTTTTCATATATTGTCCTCTTACTGAAGATATTCATAAAATGTACAGACGCTTCATTGATTAGGTCAAGCCATTTTGGCAATGCCAATTCTCATGATAAACGAGATTTAGCCAGTGACGTCAGTCTATTTGTAAACAAATAACACGTGGAGCGGACGGAGCAACATTACGGAAGCGTATTGCTAAATTCCATTTGTGCGGGAATTTATTAGATCTAGTCATTTATTATCATTATCCCGATTAATTTTCTTCATTTATAGTAAATAGAGCGGAAATATTCATGAAGAAGGCCGAGGTAATCAAGTGGTCATGTGTTGTCAAAGTTCAAAATTTGCATATCTCGTTTGGATCTCGTGAACTCAAACGTCCTTGACATTGATTTCGCGATCTACTTATGAACACATCCTGAAGTTTCGGTGAGTCTGAACATTTCATTATTTTATATCAACTTGTACCCGCCTTATACAAATATTTTTGCTTCTAGTTTAAGATGAACATCTCTTCAACATATTCACCAATTTTCAAGGTGAACATTCTTATAATAAACGAGAAATTAATGTGCAAAAAATATCACCGCGATTTCCACAGGAAATATATCAATCATAACAGACCGAATATTATATTCGGTCTGTTGGATACATACTAGATCCATACCTATTAATCATCCAGCTCATCATCATCAGATTTACTTCCTGCGAAAGCTATTTGGATTTTGATATAATAGCTTTCCCACGGAACATTTGGACAGCTCAATGATCGTGACCTTTGAAATCGAATTAAGTCGATCCGCGGCTTACTTTTGGTCTCTAACTGTGTCTTACATCAGTATCATCAATCCGTGTAAGTATTGGAGCGCTGGAGTACTTCTTTTTCGATCAAGACTTGTAATTGTTAGTCGAGTGAATCGTTTTACTGCCAAATTCCAATATGGCGGTTTCTGCTCGGACATTTTCGTAAATCTCCGGAGGTTGTCCGAACCTAACTAATTCTCAAAATTCATTTCGTTCATTGCGTATCTCGCACCTAGCAAACCGCCATATTGGAAATAGGTCTGTAAAACTTTAACTCGATGAACAATTTACAAGTCTTGATCGAAAAAGAAGTACTCCAGCGCTCCAATACTTACACGGATTGATGATACTAATGTAAGACACAGTTAGAGACCAAAAGTAAGCCGCGGATCGACTTAATTCAATTTCAAAGGTCACTATTGATCAGCTGTTCACTTCTCCGTTTGAAACCATAAGTTTCAATATCTAACATGGCTCTCGAAGTGAGTAACATCAGATTAGTCATAAATCTGACCGTTGTATGCTGTTCTTCGATATTCCTTGTTCTTATTTGGATATTTTTTTTTATCATTTTCTTAGCATATACGGTCGTAGATGTAATTGCTAACAAACTGCGGTAAACGCTTTTCTGGCCTGTCTGGGTAACCATAGTTACCATACTAACCAAAGTCACACAAATTATCGAGTAATTATTTAGCTCCAACATCAAAGTGTTAAATTTTACCTTAGACATGTAAAACGCTTGATAATTGACGAAATATAATCAATTGAATTATATTTTCATTATCGCCCGCCATGTTCCTGAATGTTGTTTCCGGTAGTCTAAATGTAAAACATGTATCGAAACGGAATCATAATTATTTATTACACAGAGATCGATTCCAAAGCCGTTCTCTCATACTTTTCCCATTTTGAAACAATAACTTTTCCAAATAACTTCCCTTCTTAACGACACTGCTTTCCTTTCAACTGAATCTTCATGTAACAAATACTTATGATTTCGTTTGATATAGTTTTACATCTAGACTCAGATTAACCCGGAAGTGACCTTGGCATGGCAAAATGAAAAAATTTTAAAATTCAAACGGCATGCTTATATTTCTTCAATTACCAAGCGTTTTACGTGCCTAAGGTAAGATTAAATACTTTATAGTTGAAGTAGACAGTAGAGGAAAGCATTTCCCGCAATATAGATGCGGGGAGTATGTATGACCCTCGTATGCAAGAAAATAAGAAAAAATAAATATCCAAATCAGAAAAAATAACAACAAATAAGGCCAAACAAAAATATATGTCCGTTTCCGGAACCCCGACCGACCCTAGTTTGAACCCCCGACCCTAAGACATTTTTTAGTACACTGAAAAATAAAATATTCTATCTCTGACCCTACTCGATTGAAACAATACATTTCCTTCTGAAATGTTTTACTCACATCAGGCCCAGGTGTCCATATTGCTCATACCCTGGAACATTTGCAGTAATATTATCGTTAGGGCCCCAAAACACTTGAAACACAGGAAATATTGTTTATTATCTTGAAAAGTTCGCCATTTTTGCTCTTCAAAATAGAGGCCCGCAATCAACTCCCAGAGGGGTCTAGCAATTGCTAGGGAGACATCTATAACACTAAGTACTAACTTGGTTTCGGGTTTCACCCCTTCAATAAAATTTGCCATTCCCATTTTACCATGCAGATTTGAAATAAGAAAAAAAAAATCTTGGGGAGGGAAACCCGAAAACACAACAGCTATTTGCATAAATCAGCCTGACCTTTCACTTTGGAATGTTTATAGTGGGAAATTTGAATTTGAATGTTTAGACCACATGATTGGTCTATTATAGTTTGATCTGATCACATGACTTATCATCATCATCATCAAGTTTAGGAGGGGTGGAGACTTTATACCCTGTAATGTTCTCCCATCTGATCTATTAAAATTAAAACTGAATTTAGGGTAGGGAACTGATTATTGCTCACTAGTGGCTATTTGTAAAGCTATGAGTACCATGCCTTGTCCAGGAGGGTTTTGAAGTGGGAAACTGACGTGGCATCAATGATACTCTGGGAGAGGGAATTCCAATGTACCAGATGAAAATGTTATGTTCTCACAGAGACAAGTTTTCTCTGAATTGTTTGAATTAAAAATATTCTTCTAAGGTCTTCTAAACCTGATTCTTTTTATTTTTGAGTCAGAAAAATTATATTTTTGAGGCATATATTAATATGATGACAACTTTGTAACCTCTGCTGATCCAGTGCTAAATATACTGATATTTGATGTCCATGAAGGCCTTTATCCAATACCAGGCGAGAAAGTTAAGTTCGAACCCTGACCAAGTTGTTTATTTAGTTCAATATCTGAAGGTTTTAAGTAAGTATGGATCAAATGATTATAGATTGCATGATGAATTAAGGTCTCATGGCAGTTAAGAGCAAATGACAAAACAAAGAGATGACAAAAAACATAAGATAAAATATTTTTCTGACTGACCTACCCTAAAAAAAATTGAGTAAAATTTTAATGAAAAATAAAATAATCCTCCTACCTACCTACCCTAATCTGAAAATACATGGAGCAGGAAACAGACATATATTTTTGTTTGGCCTAACATCATACGAGGGTCAGATTTATATGACTACATCAGATTAGCCTACATGATGAGGATGCAGTCATTTACTCATAGATCTAACAACATTGCATATAGGGGAGATGCGTCAAACTTTGATGTATGTGTTTATTTCTTCATGGGGCTATTTGACCATGGGGCTAATTCGACATTGGCTTTATATTTCCGATACACGAATTCCGCCTTGTTTGTTCTATGTTGTTTTTTTATCGCCCTTACAAAAGGTACGATATTGTAGTCTGCTTGACGGGCGGGCGGGCAGGCGGCGGGCGGCGTCTCACTTTTCAGCTTGTCTACAGGTTTCCAGCCAAACCATTTGAGGGATTCATCTGAAATTTTCAGGGATGTTTCTACATATCAACGTCAAGAACTGATTAGTTTTTGGGCATTCTGGGTAAATCTTAAGGTGGCCATTTTGGATTTTCCGTCCTAAAATCTTCACTTTCAAGACTTGTCTACAGGTTTCCAGCCAAACCATTTGAGGGATTCATCTGAAATTTTCAGGGATGTTTCTACATATCAACGTCAAGAACTGATTAGTTTTTGGGCATTCTGGGTAAATTTTAAGGTGGCCATTTTGGATTTTCCGTCCTAAAATCTTCACTTTCAAGACTTGTCTACAGGTTTCCAGCCAAACCATATGAGGGATTCATCTGAAATTTTCAGGGATGTTTCTACATATCAACGTCAAGAACTGATTAGTTTTTGGGCATTCTGGGTAAATTTTAAGGTGGCCATTTTGGATTTTCCGTCCTAAAATCTTCACTTTCAAGACTTGTCTACAGATTTTCAGCCAAACCATTTGAGGGATTCATCTGAAATTTTCAGGGATGTTTCCACATATCAACGTCAAGAACTGATTAGTTTTTGGGCATTCTGGGTAAATTTTAAGGTGGCCATTTTGGATTTTCTGTCCTAAAATCTTCACCTTCAAGACTTGTCTACAGATTTTCAGCCAAACCATTTGAGGGATTCATCTGAAATTTTCAGGGATGTTTCTACATATCAACGTCAAGAACTGATTGGTTTTTGGGCATTCTGGGTAAATTTTAAGGTGGCCATTTTGAATTTTCCATCCTAAAATCTTCACTTTCAAGACTTGTCTACAGGTTTCCAGCCAAACCGTTCAAATTTTTACATATGTTACACAGTGATAAGTTCTACAGCTGATTAACTTTTCTGCGGCTATCTTGCTTTCTTGGTCAACAAGACCACAATGCTGTGTTTTAGGTATGATATTGTTCACGCCTGTGCCTTGTTTAACCTTTATACATAGTACATATTATTTACATTACAGAATATGCATTTAAAGCGATTAACCAGGGTGGGCTTACATCAGTTGCAGTGAGAGGAAAAGACACCGCAGTTGTTGTCACACAGAAAAAAGTCCCAGTAAGTATTTTGCCAACTAATGGATTTTCAAAATGAAGTTCATATAATGGGGATAAATTACGACGTGGGAGTACACAGTTGGTATGCACTCGATGGAGTAAGGAATCCAATTGAACATTTGGGAGAAATATAGAGATGCTGTTGGTTTATTTGTCCGTCTGGGTGATAACTCAAATGATAGTTGATAGATTCAAATTAAATTTTATAGGGTAAAATACCTTTTCTCAAGAAGAAAATTCAAAATGGCCATGATATTTCATAAAAGTTACAGCCTTTTTGCATCTGTAAAAAATGGCATGTGGTGACATTTTGCATGTTAATGCCTTGTTTTAAATATTTTTCCAATCAAAAATGTTCTAACTCAGAAAATTGTCCCCTGTTCATGAGAGCCCTGTTATAATTTTGTTACAAACACAATGTTATCATATCTTTAATTCTGCGACTTTACACTTTCTAGTGGTGTATTATATTCACACTCTGGGACAAATAGCTCCATTCTTTTAACCCACATGTGTTCAACTATGTTGTTGTTGTTGTTTCAGGACAAGCTTTTAGATGCAGGAACTGTGACACATCTGTTCCAGCTGACAGAGAACATTGGCTGTGTCATGACTGGCATGCTTGGTAAGTCAAACAGACAGAGCTGTGTTTTTTTAATGTCTGTCATGCTAGACAGGTTAAGCTGAAGTACTTATTGATTTAATAGAATCTAATCACAATTTCTCGAAAAAGTGTTCGGTTTAATCGATTACAGGGATGGGATTTTTCCTAATAGCATAAATAACAGATTAAGCCATTAAATTTGCTTGTATCACCAATTGAAATATTTTCCAGCAAATTCCCCCCACTATCAGGAAATTTTTATTTCTAGCTGACAGTAGGTCCCAAGTGCAGCGGGCAAGGTATGAGGCTGCCAACTGGAAGTACAAGTTTGGCTATGAGATACCAGTAGACATGCTTTGTAAGAAGATAGCAGATATATCCCAGGTTTACACACAGAGTGCAGAGATGAGGCCTCTTGGTTGTAGTAAGTACAAATACACATCATATGGATTATACATTAATTTCATTTTAAAAGTTCAGGTGAAAGTTCACATCAACTGTACCCCTTCTCTCCATCCTGTTAGAATCTCTAACATCAAAAACATATATGGGCCAGAACGTCAAAGTTTGCCTTATTTGTAAAAATGCATGAGTCGCCACTTGATTTCACATTCAATTTTATGATATATTGAGTATTTTCAAGATAATCCATTGTTATAACATTGTTATGATTTTTGCTTCAATTTGCTTTTAAATGATTTAATATCAGTCTCTCTGACCATCCATAATTGTCATACTGTTTATACCAATTTTATTGGGGTCTAACCTAACTTGTTCTGGTAATTTACACCATTACATTGGTCCTGGCTCCTAGTTTTGCCTTGTTTTTGAGAAATTGGCTCTTTTGTTTCATTTTCATGAAGTGACCCAACTGAATGGTGCCATTTTTTAACCAGCTGAATGGTGCCATTTTTAACCAACTGAATGGTGCCATTTTTTAAATCTGAACAGATTGTATGAGAACAGGGGCTGTGGTCCTCTATTTGTTATCCCATCGAACGAAGTTCGGAGGGATATAGGGAACGCCTCCGTCCGTCCGTCCGTACGTCCGTCCGTACGTACGTACGTCTGTCCGTCCGTCCGTCCGGGCAATAACTCAAATACCGTTGGCCCGATTTTATTCATATTTTGTATACATATACCCTATGGGATTAGAAGTTCTGCTCGAAAGCCGATTTTCAAAATGGCCGCTCATTTAAAAATGGCGGCCATTTTAGTGCCGATTTTACAGTAATTTAGGTGCAATATGTAAAACTGTAATAGCAATATGTTTTAAATGTAAAAAAAATTATATAGGACATTAATAAAGCTAGAAATGTAGATATTAAAAAAGCACATGGCAGCCATCTTGAAAAATGGCGGCCTTTTCTCATTATTTTACGATTTTTGCTGTAACTCGAAAAGTAGTCGAGCGATTTTGTTAATATTTGGTGTGTGAATACTATAAGCATGGCACACTGTCTAATGACACTTTTGGTAGAAGGTGGCCATTTTGAAAAATGGCGGGCATTTTGAAAAATGGCCGCCATTTTAACTTATTTTACTAAAACTCGAAAAGTAGTGGAGCGATTTTGTTCATATTTGGTATGTGAATATGTATAAGCATGGCACACTGTCTAATGACACTTTTGGAAGAGGGCGGTCATTTTTTTCAAAATGGCCGCCATTTTAACGTATTTTACTATAACTCAAAAAGTAGTGGAGCGATTTTGTTCATATTCGGTATGTGAATACTGTAAGCATGGCACACTGTCTAATGACATTTTTGGTAGAAGGCGGCCATTTTGAAAAATGGCGGACATTTTGAAAAATGGCTGCCATTTTAACTTATTTTACTATATTATTATTATTATTATATCTTGGTTACCGCCATATTTGGCGAGCAATACCTCATTGGTATATTCCGTATTTTACGTATTTTTACACTCGAAGATAGAGCCAGAAACCCCTCCTTGAAGGAGCCCTGTGTTCTTTCGTGTGCACAGGTACACAGACATACAGGTACACACCACAGCCTTTTATACGAGTCGTGAACCACTCAGTCAAACACCCAGAATTACATAACGCACAAACAAACTTGTCTGAACCGGGAATCGAACCCGGGGCCAAGCGATATTGGTAACCTTGACTCTCTCTGCCACTGAGCCATAGCGGGTGGACTCGAAAAGTAGTGGAGCGATTTTGTTCATATTTGGTACGTGAATACGTATAAGCATGGCACACTGTCTAATGCCACTTTTGGTAGAAGGCGGCCATTTTTCAAAATGGCCGCCATTTTAACGTATTTTACTATAACTCGAAAAGTAGTGGAGCGATTTTGTTCATATTTGGTATGTGAATACTATAAGCATGGCACACTGTCTAATGAGACTTTTAGTAGAAGGCGGCCATTTTTCAAAATGGCCACCATTTTAACGTATTTTACTATAACTTGAAAAGTAGTAGAGCGATTTTGTTCATATTTGGTATGTGAATATTATAAGCATTGCACACTGTCTAATGACACCTTTGGTAGAAGGTGCCCCTTTTGAAAAATGTTCGATGGGATTCGCTACGCTTTGGCGTTGCCGTTGTTCTGGTTCAACCTGATTTATTGATTCCAAATATTTGTCCTCACAATGAAGTGTTGGTCCATATTTGTTTGACAAAATATAAGGAATTACCATTTGAGCCCACTGTATGATGCATATCTTTTCTTATATTATTACCAAATTTATGATGAGGTACTTAAAGTGTCTTTCTAAGACTTAGAAGGAGAAATTTGAGATTTCGAGCCATATGTCTCAAGAAAATGCTCTTACCTTTCTAGTAGGATGAGTTCAGGTGCCAAAAACAGCTGATCAAAGGATATATATCATTTTCTAATTGAAAATTTTTGTTGAGCCCTGCATTTTTAACACTGTTTTGACAGGAAGTCATACCCAAAATGAAATCTGAATAAAACAACATTTATCCTAAATGTACATCAAAATACTTACTCAGACATGCAAAATATTATTATTAGTAGTAATGCTGATCATTTTTAAGAAATTTAAGCATGTAAATAAGACTTTTTTCGTCCATAATTATATACATAAAAAATTTCTTCCTTCGTTAAGCTTTGGCAATGTGGTGTAGTGGTTAGAGCTTTGGGCTCAACCAGACTTTTATTCCAAAAGATCTGGGTTCAAATCCCAAGGGTGGAATATGTTTTTATTCTTTATTTCTGTTTTTTTTCATTTTGATCCACAATATTTCTAAAATAAATTTTTATATATGGCACTTAAACCATATTTAGTATTTCCAAGGGTTTTAATTTTTAGATGAAATGATAGAAAGTTACTTTAATCCTCTCTGTTGCAGTAATTACCCACACTACATTTCACATTTGTGTTTGTTAAAAAAGTTCATTTCAATTGTGATAATCTGCCAATGCTGATTGCCAGTCCTGCTTTAGTTAGTTCATTTAGTTTTTCATATCAGTCCCTTTAAGAATCATTGGATCATCATAAGAATCATTGCAAATTGTTGATACATGTGTATTTTCTTTCCATTTTCAGCCATGATATTTATCGCAGTAGATGATGAAAATGGCCCCCAGGTGTATAAATGTGATCCTGCAGGATATTTCTGTGGATATAAAGCAACTGCAGCTGGTGTCAAACAACTAGAAGCCAATGGATTCCTAGAGAAAAAGATAAAAAAGAAACAAGAATATGATGAAAAAGAAACTATTGAGGTATGTTAAAATGGTGATATAGCCAATAGTTTAATTTATCAGTGTTGATGTGTGTAGCAATGTTTACACTTTTGTAACTTTTTCACATGTGGTGACATTTTTTATGCTATAATGTCTTACATTTTGATTGTAATACAGGATGATTAAGGGAATAACAATTAAAACAATTTTTTCATGCTCCTCGTCAGTCCAAAAATTGATTTTTCTGAAATTGTTCAAATTAGGGCTCTCACGGTTTCATAATTCCTCGGTTCAGTTCGGTTCACGGTTTTTATCTCCTCGGTTTCGGTTCGGTTTTCGGTTCTTATCGCACTTTAATGTAAAAAATCAAATAACTCAAAAAGATGGCGCGATTTCATTATTTAAATGAGCAGCCCGGGAGCATGTAAACCTCTGATCTAAGTCAGTTTTATTTACAAATCAATCATTAACTTTGTATTGTATTTTATTTATGTGATGATAAATAGATGGCGCGATTTTATAATCAATAAGCAGCCCGGGAGCATGTATAACTCTGATCTATTCTATTTCTGCAGACAGCAAATTTTCACATTTTTTCATACGTACCTTTCTCATATACCATAACGATTTTGCAAAGCCGGCATATCGTTCTTTCCGGGAGAGGAACACCATCTCTCGTTGGAAATCCAAAATAACCCCAACAGTGGGCCTTGTATGACTTTGGAACATTTAGAATGCGGAAATCTTCACCTCTCGTTTCGAGATTCATCTTCCTCTACTTTAGCGAACGGCACTTTTTTCTGAATTAACGAACCGTTAAAAAACCGAACATCGGAGTTTTCGAATCGAACGTACCGACCGAAGCCCAAGAACTGCGGAGCACCGCGGTTTCGGTGCACCGTTAGACCCTTAGTTCAAATATTCCTTCCATGGTGGCCAAACCTACGGTATATAAAGAAAAAATTGAAGAATATGGCAAAAATTGAGAAATAAGTCAATTTTTGGACTGATGAGGAGCATGAAAAAAATCCTTATAGTATACTTTTACGCTAAATTTGCTCATAGCTGCTTTAGACATGTCAAAAATAACAAATAAAAGGAATGTTGAGTTATTTATGTCTATTTCTTTTTTTTAGTTGGGCATCAGCTGCCTGTCCACTGTGTTATCCATAGACTTCAAACCATCTGAAATAGAAGTTGGCATTGTTACTTCAAAGAATCCGAAATTCAAGTAAGTCATTTCTCTCTGGATTGATACTTCTGTTTTGCATTTTTTTAAGAATGCAAGATTCTTATCAAGAAATGTTGCTGAGCTGAGTTCCAAAATGGATGCTGGTTCCAAAATATATATTTTATATTTTTCTTCGAATTTTTGAAACTGGTTTTACTGCATCATGTTGATTTACTAAAAATTCCAATGATGGAGCCATTTATTGATATTTTATATGCAATTACTCAGAAGTATGACACATTTTCTATCGATAATCTTCCCAATAACCCCATTGGCCCAAGACTGCATTAAATGGTAACTATAGCAACCAGTACACATCAGATATACTTTTGTACTACTTCAATACCTGCTCATCTTCCATTTTTCATGTTAAGAACTGGAAATTCGGAGTTATTTGTTAATGCTTTTTGGGTGATTATTGATTACCAAGCTGGGACTAGCACAAAGTAGTTGAATATTAAAAATAACATGTTTAACATTTCCAAAAACAAACTCTGAAAGTATGAACACTTATGAATTACAGTGGGTTTAAGTCTCAGTCTCAGTTGTTGGAATCTGCAAGTTTGAAAAAATGTAATTTCCTGATATTGATTCCAACATGTTATTTTTTTTGTTGTTGCAGAAGTCTAAGTGAGGCAGAAATAGACACATATTTAACTGCAATAGCTGAGAGGGACTAGCGACATCTAGGTTTCTATTGAATACATGTATAGAATTATCTCAGAGATGTAGGACTCATGTTTGATATAGATGGCGTACAGATTTGATTCGGAGTTTTATAAGAACGTGAAGATTGCCATGGCGCCAAAAAAGGATTGCTTAGAAAATAGAAATTGAATTTCTACAATACATTCTGATTTCATTCCATGTAAAGAATGTTTGATGTGAAACTATGAATTGTAACTGTGGAAGAACAGTAAAACTTTGCCAACAATGGACAGATGTACCCCAACAAAAACAGTCTTGACATGATACTTTGTCACAACATAGAAATGTCTGTTTGTTCAAAATTAATTAATAAAATCAATTTTGTATAAATACCTTTTTTGTTAAAGCATGTTAAGGTAAAATTCTGGGTTTTCACATTTTCAAACGAGGTTTCTAATGTCTATATGTTTATTTTGGCCTCGGTGTCTCACGAAACTAAGTATATTTGGATGTGAGGATTAGATTAGATTATTTCTAATTACAACCAATTAATTTTGTTTGGATGAAGGCACTGATTATAGATATGTTGACCTGGCCTCTGAGCATTTTTAAATATAACTATAATTATCCCATCGAACGAAGTTCGGAGGGATATAGGGAACGCCTCCGTCCGTACGTACGTCCATCCGTCTGTCCATACTCGGGGGAAAACTCAAATACCGTTGGCCCGATTTTGTTCATATTTTGTACACATATACCCTATGGGGGTAGAAGTTCTGCTCCAAAGCTGAAAGCTGATTTTCAAAATGGCTGCTCATTTAAAAATGGCGGCCATTTTAGTGCCGATTTTACAGTAATTTAGGTGCAATATGTAAAACTGTAATAGCAATATGTTTTAAATGTAAAAAATTATATAAGACATTGATGAAGCTAGAAATAGAGATATTAAAGAAGCACATGGCAGCCATCTTGAAAAATGGCGGCCTTTACTCGTTATTTTACGATTTTTGCTGTAACTCAAAAAGTAGTGGAGCGATTTTGTTCATATTTGGTTTGTGAATACTATAAGCATGGCACACTGTCTAATGACACTTTTGGTAGAAGGCGGCCATTTTGAAAAATTTCAACCATTTTAAAGTATTTTACTATAACTCGAAAAGTAGTGGAGCGATTTTGTTCATATTTGGTATGTGAATACAATAAAGAAAAAGCATATTACTTCTTCTGATGACAACTTGGCTAGTGAGCAACCATTTTGAAAATGGTGGCCTTTCTTATGTGTCTTTTATGATATTTGCTGTATTTTTCGTTTGTTAAAATGCCAGCCATTTCTGTTCGATTGGATTCGCTACGCTTTGGCGTTGCCGTTGTTCTGGTTTGACATTGACTGTTTGGGAATGGTGGAGAAATTTGAGATCTGATTCTCAAGTTCTGCACTACACTGCTGATCATTTAACAAAATTGGAGAATAGAGATTTAATTGCTTATACAATCATGTGTACTTTCTATGATAACAAGAAGTAGAAATGAAAACTATGTCAACTTTTTGATTTCATGCTCATATCCATTTTCGGGGGTCCATAATGATAACTTACACTATTTGTCCTGGCTCCAATTTTTTAATTGTTTTGGAGAAATTGTTTTTATTATGTCACCACAAAAAGTGTTGATATATCGCTAAATAGTCTCCAAACTTTTTTGTGGAGGGTATTCAGCAGTAGATGTTTGGCATCGGTAACAAATGGGAGGCGGTGACATTTTGCATGTTAATGCCTTTGTTGGTGTCTTCACCATGTGACTGTCAGGCCATCCATTTAAACCTGTTGTACATTTTTATTGTCACCATCAGGCATATACTTATAGTTATATCTTTTTGTGGCCAGTGTTCCGCGATGGGTTTTTGATGTTTGGCATCTGTAACAAATGGCTGGTGGTGAAATTTTGCGTGTTAATGTCTTGTATTTCTCCTTCTATTCACTTTAATTTATATGCTGTAGAAACACTTAATTTGGTTACTGTTTAATTTGATGGATTGGCGGATTGAAGAAATCTGCCAAATTAAAAATCCGCCAATTTTCAGATCTATTTTGGAAAATCCCCAGGGAATTTGTAATTTGCAATTATTTCACTTGTGTAAGTATTCCTATTTGGATGTCAGTGCTATACCAAAACCTAAAGTAAGTAGAACACATGAATCTAAAATGCTTATTTCCAGATCAATGATAAAAGTTGAGCTCAGTCCCAACTCCGCCCAAATTAAATAGCCGCCAATATTTAAAATTGAGCAAATCCGCCAAATTCAGTAGCGTCAAATTAAGTGTATCTACAGTATTGGATGTCATGTCTAGTTTTTTGTAATCATGCACTTGTTACAAGTTTATTTTTGTTTGGGCGAATTCATTGTTGCCACTTGTAATGGGTCTAATATATTCTGACACACATCCCTTTTCTTAAAAATGGCAAGTTAATGACAGGTATTTCCTTGGTATATCCTCATGATAGGTACACACAATGAGTAATGACAACATTTTAAACACTAAATTTGATTGAAAAGCATGAAATATTGAACATTTAGGAAAATTGAATTATCTTGCCTTAAGACAGTATACATACATTATGTTGCTTAGAGAAAACATTTGAAATAAAAGTGAAAATGAGATATACATGTACAATACCCATCACATTTTCTTTGGAATAAAATGTGATTATAGAGAATGTCCAGCGATGATTTAAAGATGCTGAGCAATACCTGTTAATTTCAATGATATATTGACTATGGGCTGCTGGCAAAATACCCTACAAAAATCATTAGTTAAACATGTTTGCCCTCCATAGAATGAAATGTTTGCTTTATATACTTAAAAACTTTATTCTGGATAAAAAGATGTCACTTAAGTCACAAACAAAAGAGTAACAATTAAGTATTCTAGAGACATAAATGTATAATGAATTGTTATTCAGTCACACAATTGCCAATCTCCATGAATAGTCAATGTTGTTAGATGACAGTCATGCAATATCTCATTTCAATGAAGAGTCATAATCAGATAATCATTATGTGTTACGAGTTTGAGGTAAACACATAGATAAGATGCATGTACTATTTTCTAAAAGAAAATTGTTGTTTGTTGGGTTACATTAAAAAGATGTATAAAACTGTAAAATTTTTATGTATTTTTTATTTAATCAATGTTGAAATAAGTTGCAATGAAGCATTAGATCGAATTAAAGTGAGTAATTTGAAGTACAATGAAGCATTAGAATTAAAGTAAGTAATTTGAAGTACAATGACGCGTTAGAATTAAAGTAAGTAATTTGAAGTACAATGAAGCATTAGAATTAAAGTGAGTAATTTGAAGTGCAGTGAAGTATTCGAATTAGAATAAGTAATTTGAAGTACAATGAATCATTAGAATTAAAGTAAGTAATTTGAAGTACAATGAAGCATTAGAATTAAAGTAAATTATTTGAAGTACAATGAAGCATTAGAATTAAAGTAAGTAATTTGAAGTACAATGAAGCATTAAAATTAAAGTAAGTAATTTGAAGCACAATGAAGCATTAGAATTAACGTAAGTAATTTGAAGTACAATGAAGCATTAGAATTAAAGTAAGCAATTTGAAGTACAATGACGCGTTAGAATTAAAGTAAGTAATTTGAAGTACAATGAAGCATTAGAATTAAAGTGAGTAATTTGAAGTACAATGAAGCATTAGAATTAAAGTGAGTAATTTGAAGTGCAGTGAAGTATTCGAATTAGAATAAGTAATTTGAAGTACAATGAATCATTAGAATTAAAGTAAGTAATTTGAAGTACAATGAAGCATTAGAATTAAAGTAAGTAATTTGAAGTACAATGACGCGTTAGAATTAAAGTAAGTAATTTGAAGTACAATGAAGCATTAGAATTAAAGTAAGTAATTTGAAGTACAATGACGCGTTAGAATTAAAGTAAGTAATTTGAAGTACAATGAAGCATTAGAATTAAAGTGAGTAATTTGAAGTGCAGTGAAGTATTCGAATTAGAATAAGTAATTTGAAGTACAATGAATCATTAGAATTAAAGTAAGTAATTTGAAGTACAATGAAGCATTAGAATTAAAGTAAATTATTTGAAGTACAATGAAGCATTAGAATTAAAGTAAGTAATTTGAAGTACAATGAAGCATTAAAATTAAAGTAAGTAATTTGAAGCACAATGAAGCATTAGAATTAACGTAAGTAATTTGAAGTACAATGAAGCATTAGAATTAAAGTAAGTAATTTGAAGTATAATGAAGCATTAGAATTAAAGTAAGTAATTTGATGTACAATGAAGCATTAGAATTAAAGTAAGTAATTTGAAGTACAATGAAGCATTAGAATTAAAGTAAGTAATTTGAATAGAAATAAATCCATATACTTCAATGACATTTAGCAATAAAGTGAGCGATTCATACCTTAAAAGATCTATTGGTAATTGGACTGTAAAGTCAATAAGTCTTATTTGAAACATAAATAATATTTTTATTCAGACTGACACCATATTCATAAGAATGGCCTTAGCAACCATGTTTCAACAATGGGTCGATAATGTCTAGTGAACAACAATCACACCTTTAGAGCTTGAAAAACCTTTCTCATTGCTTTGACTTTTGAGTTTCTTTGACATTTAGAATAAAGAACATATTTCATGGCGTGTAAGGTTACTGCAGAGTCATTACGTTTTATGATTTTCAATGCACCTACAAAACTCTTGCTTTTATATAGCCTACAACCAACTGTGAATAGTTTCTAATTGTAAACCTATTTGATCCTATTTACATAATGTTCCATTACTTTGTAACTCTGTTAAATCTTTACAAATTATTGTGCCAATAACTTTAAAGGATTGCAAAGATGCTTGACAACACATTGTACCATGAGCAAGTAGTCTTATGTAAATCTGAAACTCATTTTAGTATTATAAAGAAATCATTTTATGAAGAGATGTGATGAGAAGACAAACTTTTGGATTTAAGATTGATCAGAAGAATCTCAAGGTTTTGTAGATCAATCTGAGAGAGTGCTGTTACATAATACTAACAGAGCTTAGTCTGGATTGTTCACACAAACATTGGGACATCCTAGTACTTTCAAGAGAGTTATAATATATTAATCACATAGTCTTTGCTTTCTTACCATATTCAGGACAGAGAAAGAAAACTGCCTATGTAAGTACATTATGAACAATTAAATATAATATAATATAAGAAGGAAATGAAGAAAGGACTATTCTCAGTTTGGAGAACGAAGTTCATCACTCTAATTGAGCGTTACCCCTTTTTTGGACAAATTTGATTTTTTACATAATATAGATTTGAATGACTTCTTTTGCAAAGTCATAATTTAATTTGAGCGATATTTCTAGATTTTTCATAGAAAAATTATTAGCACAGTATACTGATGAACTTCTTTCTAAAAATCGAGACTTGTATTTTATTGAACTGGCCTTCTGCATGTTACCCCTGCTTCGTACAATTGTGATATTTTTACATCTTGTAGATTTAAATGTCCTCCTTTGAATATTCATAATTTTAGTGATATTTCAATATTTTACATAAAAATTATTAGCCCAGGAGACAGTTCTCCAATTGGCCAAACGGAGACTTGTCCTTTTTATTTGGTATTTGAAGAGCTGATGATCCTCTTTTGAACTTGAATCAATATTTCAGGAAATGTATGTTCCATTTATAGCTTTAATATGTAGAAATATATTTATGTTGAAATAAAATCGGAAATTCAAAGGATTCAATTTCCACATTGGCATTTTGACACTGTCAATAAAAGTTTACAATTTACTTTACAGCTTAACACAACAATTGATTGGTCTCCAGAGTAACAGGTTTGTTTGCTAGACAGATATCAGCGCTTCATCAGACGCACAATGCCTGCCCCTGGAGTAAGACGACCTTGGACAAGTTATGATGCCAGGGGTGCCCTTGAGTGAGTTACATGTTCAATATTCTTTTTATTGTCTTTGTTATTTTTCCTTAGGCCTATTGATTGTCATTTAGGAGATTTGAATAAGTACATGTAATTTTCATTTATGCAGTTTTTCATATTTTATAGAGAGGCAATGCGTGTTTCAAATAGTCAACTGTTGATAATGAAGGCAGGAACTTATCGACCAACATTTCATATTTTAGGAAAAAAGGCTGATGTATGTGACACATATTCCAAATCTTTGTGGGAGGCCATTGAAAAATTCACTGCTCATGGAATCAAACTTAGGACTGTCATTTTATTGTTTGATTAGGCAGAATTTATTAGGATTGTGTTTAACTGTACAATGTCAATTTGATTAGAAAAGTCAAATGTTTGCAGATTTATTCTAATATTTTCTTAGCCTAAACTTGTCATCTATATTTATATTATATTTCACATATGCGCTGTTAACAATGATATGAATTTCCATTGTAGTCAGTTAATACTCTCTTTCATGATTTCAATATGAAAGTTGAAAACTCTAACCTGCCTCTTATTCTCAACCTCATAAACCTGAGCAATTTTATTTCTGCTAGGTTTTTTCCAATAAATTACTTGAAATCATAAAAGGCTGCAAATTGCATGTTAATAGACTTTAATACAAACTTTCCTTTCTGTAAATACTGATGCACTCCTCCACAGAAATTTGGCAATAATGCTAATGCCCAGCCACTAGCACATGTGCATATATTGTAAGAAGTATTATTTGTATAATTAATGTAAAATACATTTAAAAATTAAAAAAAAAGTTTGGCAATTTTATCTCCCTCCTCAAGCATAGTTCAACTACAATCGTGTATATATTTATATTGTTTCCATGAAGATATTCAATAATTATTAAATATACCATGAATACACTGACACATGTAAGACGAATATACAATTAAAAATGAAAAGAAATATTATTTTTGTTGTGAAAATTTCACTAAAAATATTTTCATATAGAAGAAAACTCTTACACGCTGAAGGATTAGATAGTTTTGTGAACATCAAAGTTACAGAACTTCAAAGTCATTTTTGAAATCTTTTTTGCCTCATGTGTTATTTCAATGGGAGACATTCTTGAAATATAGGTTTACAATATAAGTTTACAATATAAGTTTACAATATGCTGTGCTCATACATGTCATAACATTCCATGTCTCTAAAACTATTAAAAAGTCCAACTTTTCTGATTTTATTTCATGAAAATTAAAAAATTTACAAGGCTATTATTATTCAGTCAAATGAAGTTTGGGAGAAATATAGATGTCTGGTTCTCCATTGGTTTGGCTATCAATTCATCTGTCCATTTGTTCATCAGTTGTCAAAACTCAAATAGCTGCTGACATATTGGCAAATTTTATAGGCTGAAGCCTTGTGGGCATGAAGTGTAAGAATCATGAACATTTAAAACATGTTAAGGCTAAAAAGCCCATCAGTCGAATGTTTGTGTGAATTACATTACAACAATTCAATTGAAAGTGATTGAGAATGCCTGTTTTACTTTGGAATCAACATAGAAGATTTGAACTGAATAATTGGCTGAAACATTGTTTATCTTATCAAAGTCTAATAAAGAATACTCACAACAATCATATCTCACTTAATATTAGTGTATTAGTAAATTATCAGCTCTCTCGGGAGGTATTGCCTAACATTTCATTGTACTGGAACACATACATATTGCCTAACATTTCATTGTACTGGAACACATACATATTGCCTAACATTTCATTGTACTGGAACACATACATATTGCCTAACATTTCATTGTACTGGAACACATACATATTGCCTAACATTTCATTGTACTGGAACACATACATATTGCCTAACATTTCATTGTACTGGAACACATACATAATGCCTAACATTTCAATGTACTGGAACACATCCATTGTAAATATTCCTAAATACATTTACTATGCCATTATCAGTTATTTTACTATGAATATGAAATATGTTGGGAAACTGAGGTTTGATAACCATTTATTGATCATTTATCATTAAAGTTTACGTGACACTTACAGCAATCCTAAAAAAACTTAGAGAACATCTGAATTAATATGATTTGACTGGTGTCTGCATTCTTAATACATATAGATTTCTCATTGTAAATCTAATCAATCACACTGATGGTAGATTGTGTAACAAACAAGTGCCAGATCTAAAATATTCATGGAATTAATAAGCACAAAAGTATGACAAGTCCCAGTTTACATTTATTTAGTGAATAAGTTGATTAGTATTTATTTGGACTTGGGTGGGAATAAAGTATATTTTGATAATCATTTTCGTTGGTACAGGTAAATGTAAGAAATATCCCAAAATATATCACCCAGTTTTATGTCACTATTTCCAAATTCCCGCCTCATGGAAATGACAATACAAAACCTTGTATTCAGGATGTAGTTTGCATCCTGGGGTATATGAACCTCCATTGGGCATACTAGTATATATGATGATGTTGCTATGTGTTTCAGGAGTGATCATACAGGCTGGCAACCAGATTCGGATGACCAGGTGGAATATATTCCCCTCACAGACAACCAAGTAGCAGACCACTTCAGCAAGATGAGGAATTCTGTAAGTTATCACATATTATCCCATAGTTAAGGTCAAATCTGTGGAATAACACGTATATATATTTATGATATTTTGCAAATGCGTGGAAAAAAGCGATATCTGTGGAATACGGAGAATATTCCACAGATATCACTTTTTTTCCACGGATTTGAAAACTCCCGCAAATGTGACGTGCATTGTTACATGGGCTTACATGGTGATTTCTTGACGTCACAAATATGGAAATGATTTATGTTTTGGGTATACAGTTCAAATGACAAAATAAAACTGAATGTTGTTTTGAAATGCTTTGTGTTTGGTCATAAACGTATATCAACTACGTCCATGGTTAGGTGAACTATGGGATAAATAGAACATCCTATGATTTTTCGTGATATCATTTTAATCCACTCGTTGATATTAATATCTGCACTCATTCGCTACGCTCACTCGTCCAGATATTGATATCAACTCATAGATAAAAATGATATCTCTCAAAATCATAGGATATCCTATACTTATATATATTGACTGATATGCCCCTGGTCCTTCTCCCCTCCATTCTCCTTTCTGTTGTGGCTGAGAATTGGAGGTGGGGGCATGGCTGCCTATTGATTTATATTTTTTTTTTATTTACATTGATTTAGGTATATGACTTTATTTGGCTTATGCACACATTTTTGTATTGTTTATTTCAAACCATGAAAATAAATAAATACATTAATCAAAAAATCATTGATTGATCGTTGATTTTATTGATAATATATTATACTATTCATTGATTATGTATTTATTTATTTATTTTTACACTTTAAAAAATTAAGCTACCTAATAAGTTGTATAGATTCCTGAAAGACAAGAATTAAATTTTGATTATACTTGTAATTTTAGTCCATGTATGGTGACCATTACACAGGAAATAGACTTCCTGATGTCAATGATATCACACATGACACCGATTTGATGTCATACAACCAGCGCAGGGTGACGCCAGAGACTGAATTTAGCAAGCGACAGAAAATGTTTGATTATTACCAGGATCTAGCCAGGCAGTTATATCATAGGAAAAACCAAGCTAGGAATCCAATCCCTGACCAACCTCCTATGTAAGTACACATCAACTTATATTTAACAGGCTTTGTATAAAAAACCTCCTACCTCATACCCACCTACCCACCTACGTGGAACATGATACAGTCATTGAAGGGTTTAATTTTAAAGATTATTAAATCTCAAAATAGCTCAAATAATTAACATTTCTACAATTCTGGCTTTATTATCCCATCGAACGAAGTTCGGAGGGATATAGGGAACGCCTCCGTCCGTCCGTCCGTACGTACGTACGTCTGTACGTCCGTCCGTCCGTCCGTCCGTCTGTCCGTCCGTCCGTCCGGGCAATAACTCAAATACGGTTGGCCAGATTTTGTTCATATTTTGTACACATATACCCTATGGGGTTAGAAGTTCTGCTCGAAAGCCGATTTTCAAAATGGCCGCTCATTTCAAAATGGCGGCCATTTTAGTGACGATTTTACGGTAATTTAGGTGCAATATGTAAAACTGTAATAGCAATATGTTTTAAATGTAAAAAAATTATAAAGGACGTTAATAATGCTACAAATGTAGATATTAAAGAAGCATATGGCAGCCATCTTGAAAAATGGCGGCCTTTACTCGTCATTTTACGATTTTTGCTGTAACTCATAAAGTAGTGGAGCGATTTTATTCATATTTGGTATGTGGATACTATAAGCATTGCACACTGTCTAAATACACTTTTGGTAGAAGGCGGCCATTTTTCAAAATGGCCGCCATTTTAACGTATTTTACTATAACTCGAAAAGTAGTGGAGCGATTTTGTTCATATTTGGTATGTGAATACTATAAGCATGGCACACTGTCCTATGACACTTTTGGTAGAAGGTGGCCATTTTGAAAACAATTTTGAAAAATGGCCGCCATTTTAACATATTTCACTATAACTTGAAAAGTAGTGGAGCGATTTTGTTCATATTTGGTATGTGAATACTATAAGCATGGCACACTGTCCTATGACACTTTTGGTAGAAGGTGGCCATTTTGAAAACAATTTTGAAAAATGGCCGCCATTTTAACATATTTTACTATAACTCGAAAAATAGTGGAGCGATTTTGTTCATAATTGATATGTGAATACTTTAAGCATGGCACATTGTCTAATAAAACTTTAGGGAGTAGTCGGCCATTTTGAAAAATGGCCACCATTTTTATGTGTGTTATTTTACAAGCATGTGTGCGATTTTTCAAAAATTTTAGAGGTGGCTACTTAAAAGCATATTATTTCTTCTGATGACAACTTGGCTAGTGAGCAACCATTTTGAAAATGGTGGCCTTTCTGGTGTGTTGTTTTATGATATTTGCGCTTCGTTTGTAAAAATGCCAGCCATTTCTGTTTGATGGGATTCGCTACGCTTTGGCGTTGCCGTTGTTCTGGTTTTATGACTAGACAGATGACATAAATAAAGGCATATGGATGCATTTTAATGTGTAATGACCCGAGGGCGCCCCAGGGGAATAAATAACTAACGACTGCGAGCATAGGTCCAACAAGCCAGATAAAGAAATTGAAAGAAAGTGTGCTAAATTCGATGCCCGAGTGGGAATCAAACCCAGCTGGGATGTAGTAGCAACTTGCTATCAAGGGTCGTTACAAATGCATCTATAATTCATCATAAACTAAGATTTAATGAACTAAGATCTTTTTAAAAATTGAACCCTTCAAAGACTGTATCATGTCCCACGTACGTGGGTAGGTGGCTATGAGGTTTTTTATACAAACCTATTTAACAATAAAAGGCAACCTCTGGGGATGTATGAGCCACATAGAACTTAACATGGTTTAATGAAGAATGAAATACACATATACAATATATATTTTAACTTGCAAGTAAATTGTCAGTAAAGACATGAATGATTCCAATTTACGTTTAACATAATCTGAACAGATTATTTAAAGCAAATAATAATATGCATAAATGTGAAATTTGAAGTTGAATTCGTCATTCTGATATAAATTGTATTATTTTGTAGAGTTCGGGCAGGAAGAGCTGGTGCTCCATGGAGACATGTTAGACAATGCACTGGTAACCTAGGACAGCACATTGCTTTCATAGATGGTAAGTAAAATATCACATGCATGGAGATATTTTTCACCTTTAATAATCTCTTTTTGGCATTGTCTACTATTACTACAATGTAATTTCTTTGAAGAAAAATGAATGGAGTCACTTTGACAATCTCTCTTTTATACCTCACCAAAGAATATCAGACAAAGAGAAATACCCTAAGAGAAGAATTTAAGAATTATACTTGACATCAAAGTCAAAGTTGTTGAAGTATTTGTTCAACAGGATTGTTCCAAAATGGTGAACAAAATTTGTTTGATATTAATAATTTCTGCAAAAGGATTTCAAATATCTCATTCCTGTCAACATATAAAGTTTCAATTGTGTACAACTTCAAAGAAATGTGAAAAATCTCCTAAATCGAAGAAATGTAAAGAAAATGACTTAGGCTGAGACTTAGCTCACTTGGATGATGAGACTTACAGACTTAATACTTTAAACATGATATTCATATTTGAGACTGTAACAATTACTCGTAAATGTATTCTTCCCTTGCAGTTAGTTTCATGTCCCATTTGATATAGTTGCATCACTGATAATAATGTAATTTGAGTATAGTCTCAACTTGGGTTGAAATAAGGCGCCCACACTTTGGATAATTACTTTGGATACAGTTTTGGAGGGATGGATCATTTTGGGACTGAATATCATTATACACATGATTAAGTTTAATAGATTTTCATTATATCATACATGTAGTATATTTATCAAATATTAATTCATGATTACAGATAAACATTCACATTGATTGCAGCAGAAAAGTCTATTGATCTTAGCATTGTTACACTGTATTTGGTTTCTCTTGTTATAAAACTATTATACCTGCCAGCCATAATATTACAATCATAGTTCAACCATATCTTTTGATGAAAGCTACCATTTAGAGAACACAGTATTAGAGTTACCTGATTTTGAAAAAAATTGCATTTTATAAGTAATCTACAATTAATCAACTGTTTTTATGTCATCATCAACAGATGATATAAATATACAGCTGTATATTGTTAGAGCCAAAGATGTTCTGTGCTGTGTTTAACATTTATAAGAAATTGTTAGTTTTGTAATTGCAAACCAGTGGTGTCATTTTGTCATGTTAATACATTTTTTTACTTGAAGGACGATTACATTTTTAAATCCATGAGAAACACATTTTTAAAAAAATGAATTCATTTAGGCTATAAAATATATAATTCAGAAAAGGTTGACTTCAATCAAAATGGTTGAGGCAATGTTGGTTATTGCACTAGAATTGAATTGCCATTTTGATTTTAAATTCAGAATGAATAGTGGAAAAGTAAAAAGCTCAAGACTCAACCTCTAAAGACTTGGGAATAACACTATTATGGTCCTTAGCCAAAATATATGATATAGAGCTAAATGGTACATGTTCCATTGTATTCTTCAGGTGTAGTGAAACAAGATGACACCCACAAGTACCCTCCCTATGGCTTTGTCATCCCAGAGATTCATGGCAACCCTCCTAGTCGTGTCAGATACAGATCAGCACCTCCTAAACCACGCACATTTGATAACATATACAGTCAACATGCAAGGAATGGATTCAAATACTGGAATGGGGAGAAAAAGCAAGCAAGTAAGGCAAATCAAGTATTTCTACAAATGTGTTCACTCATTGTTGTTGTTTTTTGTATAGGCTTCTTGATATTTCTCATTAAAGTAGCCTAGTAAATAGTTACCTTTCATCCTAATTAATCTCGATACTTTGTAGTTCTTTAGGAATGTAATATAAACTACAGCTTAGGGATAGTTCTTGATTTAGTAAATCGCCTTTTGAATTGAGCTCATTTAATGTTTGAAAGTAAAGAATTAAATTTGGAGTCCCACACTAATGTTATCTTTAAAGTTGTTCCATTGGAAACAAAATTCATATAATATGGAGGCCTATTTTTATACCAAATTAACTTTTATCTTGACTGAGTAACCTTGTCGAGTGAATTCGTCTAACCATCTCTTTTGAAATCTTAGCTGTAACTTTCCTTGTTCAAAATGTTTTACTAATACTGCAAAATACTAATATGTTTCCATTGGAAACAAAATGCATGTAATATGGAGGCCTCTTTTTATACCAATTTATCTCTTATCTTGACTTTTACCTTGTCTAGTGAATTTGTCTAACCATCTCTTTTGAAATCTTAGCTATAACCTCCCTTGCTTGCTTGTAATGTTTTACTAATACTGTATTTTGAATCCATACTAAATTTTAGCGTCTTTTGGAAACGAAAGTATGAAAAATGGAGGCCCATTTTGATACCAATTTATCTCTCTTGACTGAGTGATCTCTTAACTGAATCCCTCTAATATAACCATCTTGTAATAGCTTTAACATTTTTGCTTGAGTAGTAGTGTTTTACTAATGTTGCTAAACATACTTTGTTTGCTGTGTTTAACCTTTTCTAACATCATCATGTAGGTTATTCACGCTATGGTGGCTTTGGTTCTAGACACAACGCGCTGGGGTTGCCTGGGACAGCTTTAGGTGGCAGTGCAGGGAGAAACATGCTCTTTTAAGGTGAATTCATAATGATGTGTATTTCATGAATGATTCTACAATACTGTTTATGCCATACTATTAATGCGAACACTGTTTGTGTACTGTTAACACACACTTGGTTACAAATTACTTTCCTTAATAATGCTAAGTAGGAGTACTTTCTTTTCAGAAATATGACAACTATGTAGTTGTAATTGGGAACTTTGCTTTACTGTGAAACGTTTCGTAATAAAATTAAAATCAAGCGTGTTTGAATTTTAGAAAAGCCATTTGTTATAAAAAGTTATTACTAATGAGCAGTGTGATTAAAAATGTTATCTTAGGTTCATACAAATGATCTTACATTCAGAAATAAATATAATATGTTTATGCATGTTTCAGCTCAACCTGGAAAATACAGATTAGGGGCAAGAGAAAGAATGCATCTGGGATTATTAGGATAATATAAATTTGTTGATATGGATTACATCAAGCAATAAAATTGCACTCTAAGAAATACCCCAGACAATGTGAGATACACCATGGAATACAGATGATGTATTTAAAATTTATGGAAGAATGGCATGTGGTTTTTGAAGTGAAACTACTGACAACACAACATATATAGATGTGGAGGCACATTTTATGATGGAAAAATATGTGTACTGCATTTGATACATGTCTGCAAATCTGGATTTGCTTTGCAGAACCAATCCTCAGATATTACAAAATTCAAAGTTCCCTTGAGAGCAGTCGTGGTTTTAGATGTAGATAGGGTTCTAGTAATATTCTGAACTATCAAATATTCCGTCCAGTGTGGTTAAAAATATTTGAGACAATAATTTATGAAGAGGCTTACATTGGGCATCTAGATTAGTGAGTTAGGCACATTGCATGTATTTCAGTAAATGTTTAATCAATCTGAATAATTTATTTTTTATTATCATGTAATTGTCTTGCATGTTTGATGAGGATGCTAATGTCTCTGGTAGTCAGTGGTCTTATAAATTGGTAAATTTTCCATTTTATTAGTTTTTAGGGGAGATTTCACTCTGAACATAAATGTACATATCAATTTTAGTGCTATATGCTTGAGATTAAATGTTGAATTTTCAGAAAATAAATTTTCTATATTACATTTGCCAGAAATGTAGGCTACATTGTGTTTGAGAGTATAGTCATTTAGTATAAACATGTTGAATAAGTTGCCAATATGAAGTTTATGAGCATATGGCCAGCAAGGGAATGATGTGTTGCATAAACCAGAATACAAGAATTATATTTTGAAATGAAACTACTGTACAGTGACGTAGTTAATAATGTTTGAAGAGAAAATACAATCCAGGATTGTCAAATATTTTTCCTTGGATGTTGCTGTGCAGTAATATTTGAATGTATAGAAATGTAGAGTATGCAGTACAGAGTATACATTATACTAACAATGCACTGGCATTATAAAGTTACGGTTATCACTTTGCTTCAGGATAAAATGTTTCTCTGAGGAAAAAATGAAGCAAGAAGCCATTAAAAGATTATGTGCAAGTCCTAATTGTATTGGGCATCCCAATTTGTGGGAAAATGGCATGAAATAAGGATGATGAATTATTTTTAGATAAATCTTTAATTAGATTAGATATTATGAATTATCTCGATTAAAACTTTCTTCATTTGGCAAAGCTAGCACACGTATCTCTTGAACTGATTCTTACCTGCCCCAGTATTACAATGTACAAAGCTTTTATTTTTCTCCTTTAGGAAGTTGTATACCAATTTCCCCCTTTATAGCCTGTATGGTACAATGTGGATTTGGCATTTCATGGTCTCTATGGCACAAGAGTGACTGTTTTTATGGCCCTTTTGGTACAGGACTAATGGAACTGCTTTTAAGGCAATTAGGGATCAGCCCTTATATTTTTACATTAGAATACGACAACCTTGTAAATAAGCCTCTTACTATTATATATATTTATGATTGTATCTTTTATGTTTATTTTCTTTGCAACTATGTTATGTTACAATAAACTAAAGAAAAATATCTAGAAAATTGTATATTTATAATTTCTTTATTTCAATCTAATGTAATATATAAACAAATCATTTTAAACAACAGTTATTATTATATTTAAAAATCTTGAATATAATAACAAATAAAATAGCCTACACCCCTAATATTTCATTAATCAGTTCATTGAGATATAGAGCTATAAGTAGCTCTACAGATATGAGCAATTTATATTTATTTCAATGATTGTCTATAAATGCCAGTGTCAAAGTCATAAAGCTGATGTTCTGTTCTACTGTGGACACCACTTGTTGCCATGTGTGTCTGGTTTGTCCATATAAGGAATATCCCACACCCAGGGGCGATCTGTAAATTCAAAAAATTAAAAAAATGAATAAGGACTCTATTATATGTCTTCAAGAGCAGTTTTCATGTCACTGTGCTGACATACTGTCATTGTCTCCTACTATTTTGTGGATGGTGTACAGCGGTCAGTGTCTGTTACAAATGGGAGGTAGTGGCATTTTGCATGTTACAATAATGCCTTGACTGGAATTGTGATCCCAATAAATGTAAAGATGAATCTCTATTTTATTGGTCCATGACTTGCATGTCATGCCATATCCCCATCACTGATTGGTTGAAATATATACATTTACTGCTCATGTGGAGAACAGAAACAAAATTTCTTGAACAAAAGAATGTTAGTTTCTGTTGTAAGTAAGCAATACTATGACTTGACTAAACTCATTGATTTTCTGGCCTCATGATACTGTATCACAGGAGAAGTGTTATAAGTTAAACCATGGACTTATATTTGACTTACATTCCCTTTAATCATGTCAATATAGCAAATATTCAACAATTATATATAAATACTGTTTATAATATATCCTACCTGACTTTTCATAGTGTGTTGGTGGGAGATCATAAGGCACTGGGAATGCTAATGGGTCCTCTGAAGCATGTTCGAGTGTTTTGAACTTTTCTAAACCCTAAAAATAAATGTATGTAAGTGAGCAGAAAAGTCAGCAATATCATGTTGTATTCAATAAGCAAGCACATAATATGTTAACGGTACCTCACATGTTTTTCCAGAACATTTTGATGTTCTGTAGAAAAACATCCAACCAACAGGAGTTTGCTCATGAAATTTTGCATACTTTAACTTTATATAGTTATGTTATACAAAACATTATACAGTGACAAACTTTTTTCTTTGGAGATAATGACGTAATGCTTGCAAAATTCAAATCAATTTGGAATATTTGTATTCTATTCTACTACATGGCATTAACATGACAAAATGTCACCATTTTGGAAGTTTTTGTAAATTGCTGCAGAGAACAAACGCTGGATGCCAACCACCAACATAATAATATTACTTTTTTTCTATGTTACATTTTTTATTCAACTTACATAGTTTTGTGGTAAGAAGAGTACTCCTATTTCATATGATCGTATCATTAACTGCTGTCCTTTCTTCTCTAGGGCACCCCATGCTGCCTTAGACAGGTTAGCACTGGAATTATAGAAACAAGGCATTAACATGCAAAATGTCACCACCTGCCATTTGTTACAGATGCCAAACTCTGAACACCGTCACAAAAAAGTTGGAGACCACAATAAACAGTCCAAAAAAGCAAATCCCATCAAACAAATGTTAACTCAGATGACTGCTATTTTTGACAATTAATCAATGATAAATAAATCATGCTTGAAATAAATACTAGAAGCAGAACAACTCCCTGGTTTAGCAAATCCCACCCCAAAAAGCATTCTCTATCAAATCACTTTAAAATTCTCATGTCCTTTTGATAACAAAATACATCTGTGACACAGAACTAATTGGGCATGTGATAATCAAATAAAAGCCCAAGAATTGTAGCCTTTTTGATTTGCAGTCATGTTTGAATAAACACACTATTTAATATGATTGGAGCATATATGTATGTTTAGTTAAAGTCCCCGTCTAAAGTTTGAAAATAATTTTTTATCATTCATTTACTATTTGTCATGACTTTCAAGTTATTTTAGAGATTTTTGAAAAAAAAAAATTTCGAAAAAAAGTTGTGATCATTTCATTTCTCAAATATTCAAATTTCCCGCCATTTTTTTGAAATTTTTTAATCATTAAATATTTCTTAATGCATTTCAAAAAAGATTATCTTTTTAACACCAATGCAAAGATTGAACAAAGGACACACTATTTCGATAATAAAATGCCATATTTAATGGGCCACTTCAATGTTTTAGCATATCAAAAATATTTAGTGATGTGACTAAGGTAGCAAAAACTTTTTGAAAAAAATAGAAATTTTTTTTCGATGTCAATCTTTTCTAAATATGCTAGACTTCAATAATAAACCAATGTTGATTGTCTAACCAGGTTAAAAAGAAGAATATATTGATACGACGTCAGATACTGTACATCACAGCGTAACATTGTAATTGTTCATTTTACCGACAAAATGCAAAGATTTACGCGATAAATATGCGCAATGCTCCTCCAAATAATTGCAAAAGTTTTAATATTCGTGGAATCTTCTTAAAACTTTTGTTCAGATTAATGTGCGCTTCAATGCAATTCTATATTCAAAAAGGTTGTGTCACGATATACAGAATTAGAATCACCAGAAAGTAGACATTTCAAACCCTCCCCGTTTTCTTCTTTGTCGCGCTTTTCGGCCATGCGTTTTCGTTGTCGCACCCACTTTCTAGACTCTTTCACAGAGCCCCTTGTCATATTCAACTGATATACACAGACGAGAAAATATTAAGGATTGTCAATTGTATTATTTGTAATTAATTTTAACTCGAATATTTAGTTTTATTTATTTAAAGCAATAAATAATAAAGGAGAACATATAATACGCTAACGGCGCAACGTCTTATATTGTGAAGGCTTCACTTAGGGTTGCGGTGATAAAATGATGTCTATCTCAATACATACTGGTTCAAATTAAATGGAATTAATTGTATGTAGTAAGGGGTATAATTAAAAGAACATGTTGAAACATCGAAACGTTTTGAATGTTTATCCCTTAATTAGAGATATTTGAACTCCAAAAGTGAAACATAATTTTGTGAATTTTTCACATGGCTTCACTTCATATTTCTTTCAATTTATACTTCTTACAGACTGAATTTTAATCGAAATGATATAGTTTTTTGATAAAAATATAGAATATGATATGCCTTTAAGGAATCAAAAAAGAATAATTCACCTTTCAAACGATAAAATGTTTAATTGATCAAAATACATATCTTGTTGGTACGAAACTCTGCCTGTCCACACTTTTTTGGCAAAAATATAAGCGTTAAATTAGCATTGTTATATTATGACGTCATCACACAGAATTTGTTTGTCTTTTCCAAAATGGTGAATTTAAATATTGTGAAAATTTGAGAAAGATCCGTCAAGAAATGACAAAGTTATCTTCATTTTTCGTTTAAAATTCAAATCATTTTTCTTCAAAATGTTACAGTCCACACCCGGTTTTAGCATAGAAAGTCACATCATACGGTTTGCGTGATTCTCCTTTAAAAAGTCCCAAATCAATTATTTGGAATTCCGATAGACAAAATATTTCATGGGCATATATGTTCAACTGATGACGAAAAATTGTATAAAAAAAATATGATTTTGCTTTGGAGATATCGCGGTTGTAAAAGTAACTACGCATGTAAAAATGCAGTAAAATGCCGTGATGTACAGTATCTGACGTCGTATCATTATGTTTTAGATATCATTGTACCATTGGTTTCTATGAGAACTAAAATTTTGAAATGCATTTTTATCGGAACCATTTTCATGCACTGATGAGTTCATTTCTCGCTTATTTATGAACCGATTTTCTTAATTTTTTCGGCAAAAAAACATGCCAGGATGAATGCTATGCATTGGTATGAATTGTGGCTAATTAAAAGATATGTGTGACCTCTAAAAGTTAGTTTTAAATAAATTCACAAATTTCACTAACCTTGTTACAGCAAACCATGCAATACTTGTACCATCAGGGTGGGAACGTGTGTATGTCTTAATATGTGGACAAGCTGCACTCCTTCCCCTATGTTCACTCTTCCAGTGACTAAAACAAAATTCCAAGTTTGAAAGTTTCTCCACTGAACCTCTCTTTATCGTTGTGTTTATGTTGTTTTGTTCCAATGAGGTTCGGATAGATGTTACATATATTATACATATTTCAAATTATTATGTTACCATACAAAAGATGACCATTAAATTGACGATGTGTAAAATTTTCAGAATGTTTTGATGACTGGTTTAAGAGAAACGCATGTTCAAAAAGTTCACCATATCGATACCACTCCTTTAAAAGATTTCTTTAATTTAGGCATGAGGTTGTGAATATGAAGTAATATCTTGCTTACTTCCAAAACTGATGCATGTACTGCTGTTTTACTGCAGTTTTAATGCTATAAGGTAGTGAGCCCCCTGCAGGATACCCTTCTAGACTGGTCCTAACATTGTCCTTGCTTGGGTAGATCTACAGTATAAGCATTATGGATGTAAGTGTATCTTGCAAATTGGATGTCCCCTTTTCAAATTCTACTAGATGAAGATAACACTGCATTTTAAAACTTCAATAAGTTCCATATCTCAATTTGTTTCAAAATGAAAAGAGTATTAATAGTAATTCCATTGAATCATGTATGAATCAAGCTCTATTCAATTAAATATCTAAAGCATATAAAAAATACAAATTTGCCGAAAATGTATTGACTTTACCTCAATAAAGTTTATACTTTAAAAAAACTAATTTTACAAGACAAATTTGCATATTATTCTTTGTATTATTACACACTTTACTACTAAATTTAAATAAATGAATTTAACAATGAGATACCAGTTTGAGGGTAGGTTTCATTGTAAGACTAGCTCCACCATCCTTTGTAGTTGCCAGACTCTCTGTGAATTCTCCATACACCCAGCTCTCTTTAGTAGGACCCATGGACCCTATGCTTGAGAACTGACCAATCACAGGCCAGGATTTACAGCTGTTGCCTGGACCAAGCTGGCGTAATATTTTGCGTAATTTGAAATGTCCCCATGTTTGCTTAGCAGGACCTATGTGTCTTCCTGGTACAGAGGCAATGATGTGGACTCTAATGAAACAAAGCAATCAAGTAGATCTCACCCACCATTTGAGACAAATTTTAGAAAATCTGACTTTTGAAAAATAGATGTTCATCTTAAAATTTTCAAAAAGACTAGTCTCGGTTTGGAGAAAGAATTTCATCAGTTTACTGCACGTTACGCCTACTATATTTATACATATTGTAGGTTTAAATGTCCTCTTTTGAATATCCATAATTTAATTTGGGTGATATTTCTATATTTTTCATAAAAAATTATTAGCGCAGTACACTGATAAACTTCTTTCTCCAAATCGAGACTTGTCTTTTATTGAATCAGTCTGCTGCACGTTACGCCTGCTTCGGACAATTTTGATATTCTTACATCTTGTAGATTTATTTAACCACTCTTACTCACTTTGCACTAGACATATCATGCAGCTTAATTTTCTCAAGCCAAGACTTGAAGTGTGGGGTCCTATATGCCTCCATGTATTGTATCAGGTCTTGTTTGAAGTTGGTGCTAGAGTCTTTAGCATCACTGGCTGTCTTACATTTAGGGAACATAGGGCTAATCCAAACTCTAGAATAAGGCAACAATCAAATTATTATAACTATAAATTCCAATACTCTGATCAATAATAACAATTAAATTTTTTTATTAAATTTCCTTTCAAATTGTTTCATTAGTTAGATGATATTGCCATCTAGTATATTTGTTTAAAAATGCTAGAAATTTTATTTCAAGATTTTTTAATGTATTTCTTTCACATCCAGAATTAATCATTTTAACTTGCGGAAAACTAGGAGGAGTGTACATGTACTATATTATTCAGATCCATTTCAGCAAAATAAGATTCTTGATAGGTTTATAGAGAAAATTCATGTATAAGGAGTTCAGTAGAAACTTATATAATATATAACCATGGTTACCCCTGTGTTAGATGATATTGCCATCTAGTATATTTGTTTAAAAATGCTAGAAATTTTATTTCAAGATTTTTTAATGTATTTTTTTCACATCCAGAATAAATCATTTTAACTTGCGGAAAACTAGAAGGAGTGTACTATATCATTCAGATCCATTTCAGCAAAATAAGATTCATGAAACTTATATAATAATTATATATAGCCATGGTTACCCCTGTGTTTTCTGGTGCCAGTCTTTTTCTATAAGGTTTGCTGTATGTATGACAACTCTCATTCCAATATCATAGAACAGGAGCATCATTTTTCTATAACAAAACATAAATATAAACCTCAGCTCAGAGTGTATTCCATAGAATATGTTTGTTATTTTTTAAATTCCTATCCTAATAAATGCATTTTGAAAAAGAAGTATTACTATTTATGTAAAATTTATTATCATACTCAATTTTGATCTTCCCTTTAACCCCAGATAAGAAGATAATTGTGTAGTCAAATCCCAGAGAGTTAAATTAAATAAAAATATCTTTAATTGGCACATTTGATTCTTGCATCTTCATTTTATTATATGTTATATTTATATAAATTATTACATGTAATTAGAAGCATTTATATATTTCTTTTGAATATTTGAACATTTCAAGTAGATATAATGATTAAATGTTTAACATAAAGTAAGAATACATTGTGTAAAACTTCTACTTTGTACTTACGTGTGGTGCGTTCCATACATGATTTCTAATTTGGCATTGACCAACTTGATGTGTTTGTAGTGATCAGCTGCAACATCCATATCCATCTTAGCCTGTCTCTGGTGACCATGCACAATCACTAGAGGCTTTGATCTGCAAAATACATTTCAATTCTCTGTTATTCATCCACAATGCAACATACATGTATTTCTATCTACATGTATAATGATTCCTTGTCATACCCATCTTTTGAGATCACAATAATGTACTACACAAAAGCAGCACCATGGCACTTAAGAAACAAATGAACTTGAGAACAGATTGAAAGCATGTTAAGTTCTTATGTGTGTGAAAATATCCTTAACTGAGGAGTGGAGTCTTGGACAATGTGGCTTCGGAAAGTGACAAAACATACCTGAACTGTGGTGGATACTGCTGGACAAGCCAAGGGATATCTATCATGTAGTTAAACTGAAATATAAGAAGGGGGAAATACTATAAATAAGCTATCATGTAACTACTTTTTATGCAATTTCTTTGTATGTTATGTAACATCTTTCATTAATGCATTATAATATCATTTAACTTCTATTGTACTAACTTTATTATTTAGTTTAGTTAGGTACAATAAAATATTGACCAAACAATCAAGTAATTATGTTTATATTATTTGGTATTATCAGTATTTCAATATTACATGGGATATTAAACATTCTTCCAGAAATGATGTTGCAATTATTTTATGAAGGTTAAAGGGTTACATGTACCTTCCTGTATAAATATATTATGGCAGCTCCAGACAAATCTACTGGATCTTTTCTGACTTTTTTCGCAGCGCTTCATCTGACATTAATTAATGATTTCCTGATGTATATTTCTGGCCCCTCAACTTGTAATAATTTCCAAGGATACATTTCCTCTGACTCTACATTTTGAACTGATATTTGCTAGAGGTCACCATACATTGCGTACATGTGGCATTAACAATTTTCTGAGGTATGTTCTCCTGCTTAGTCCTGGCCTTAATTAGTAAAGTGCCTACCTGAACAGATTCCTGTAAACTGCCTAAAGATGGGGAGAGAAGATCTGAAATGTTAGAAAAATGAAATTTTAATGCTTGAATAAAATTGGCAGTCAATCTTAACAATGGCTGTCATTTTTCAAAAATGTTGCTATGTTGGGCACATTGTCAAACATATGGAAATTTTACTCTTGAAAATGTGAATTCAATCCATCAAAGGGTTTGTCTTCAAATGCGTAGACAAGGCATTATCTGATTTGGGAGAACTTTAACATACAGACTTCTATTGTGTGAAAAATGTTACATTTTGATGGCAAAAAGCTGATTTCTCCAAAACAAGACAAAAGTAAGAGCCAGGGAAATTATCAGTTTGGATCCCATTGATTAGATTGATATAAGCAATAGTTAAGTCAATAGCCAGTTTTTATTTGTGCAAAAATTCCTGATGGATTGGTGAACAGATCGAGACAGACAGATGGGTGGTGATTCCATAGGGTCAGCATGTGAGCAAAAATGCCTACCTGGCTGAAACCCAAAATGCCCAAAAACTTATCAGTTCTTGATGCAATGCCAAAATAATGTCCCAAACAACAGTTTACCTTTAATTCCTACAGCTCCAGATCTATTATATTTTTCTTGTATTCCAGTGACCTTTGTTAGCAGAAAGTTCAATGGCTGGCAGGCTTCTATAATGTTCAGAGGATCAGATCTAGATGAGCTTGAAGATGAATGTTTTGCAGTTTGTAAAGATGCTTTGTCCAATCTTTGCTTTTTAGAGGGTGGAGATTTGGAGTAATCTCTTTTCAAAGAATCTGTTGAATGCTTGTTTTGCCTGTTTTCTTTGGATAATGAGGTCCCCGGTGTCGAAGACCCTGAGACTGTTGAACATTTTGATTTTCCTTTTATTTTACTAACATCTCTAGTTTTAGGTTCATCAATAATAATGTCTGAATTCTTGCTATCTGAATCTGATATTGTTTGTTCAATGAGTGCACCTTTTGATTCTGTTTCATCATTTGAACTGTCACTATCTGATATATCATGTCCTGAGTGAGATCTTTTCAATGGAGCTTTACAACTTCTACTAGTGAACTTAGACTCCATTTTGTTGTAATAAAGGTCTGGATCTTTGTTTCCAACAGGAAGTTGTCTGTGTTTATTGTCTAACAGATTGCCTTCACTTTTATTACTTTCTAAATCAACAGTACAATCAGAGTCACTATCACTTGCAAGAATCTCAGTTTGAACATTGTAATTGTTGTTTTCTATGTGTGCATTATTATTTATGTGAGTTCTCTTGGCACTTTTTAATTGATTTTGCTGGAATGTATCTATACACTCTTCAATGTTATTTACATGTTCATGTTCAAAGAGTATATTATCAGAGTCAGAGTCTGATATATCATGAGCGCCTTGTGCTATGGAGACTGCCAGAGCATAGTCATCTTCTTCTTGCCTCTTAGATGCTTCTAACAGCTCAGCATCAAACTGAAGTTAAAAGAATATTCTATAAGTTATTGCATGATTTGAAGTGCAATAAGGATATATTGTGCACAAGAAATTCTGTATTCTTAGGCCAGAACATTTTACCATTCACGCGGGCATAGATGGGGAATTTAAAAATAAAATTTGGCCTGTCTATTTCCTTACCCCAGGGACAAATAAAAAATGCATCAATTTCCCCACCCTGGGGGCAATAAATCTGGTCAAATATTCCTTTACTCTTAACTCTCTCATGCCTGAATATTTTTGGGAAAATGGAAAGAAATGAAAAATTAAAATGTAAATGAATCTAGAAGCAAGAAAAGGAAGCAACACCCAATAAGTTATATATCATTTTGAAGGGCTATACCCATACTTTACGTATTTTGAAAAAAATGTGAATATGCAAATGAGATAGTGTCATTGTGACGTCATAATTCAAGATGGCGCAGTTAGATTTTTTGGGTACACCCCAGTTGCCTGAAACCAAGTTCTCCAAAACCCAGTTGTCCGAAACCCATTACTCCGAAAAATATAGTCCTAATTTACCAGAGAAAGGGGGAGGTATTTAAGCTTACGCCAGTTTTATGCCATGTATTTGGCCAAATTAATGGGATGGACGCATTCTAATGTTCATAGATCTCTCTCTTTCACTCTGAATTGCATCCATTACATGGCGTTACCAGAATGGCAGGAACGGGGGATATATTTTACATTGTGATTCTAAAAAAGGTTATTAAATCACAATATATACATATTGGATAAGTTAATTTCTGATGGATCTGGATAAAATGTTTCAAAACTTTGTCAACACTAGATAACTACATTTAGGCAGATAAAGTATCTTGATATATTTGGCTATCATGCGTTTAAAATACGTTCCTAAAACTATGAAGACGTTAGGTGAGAAATATTGCTATTGTACGTTCGAAAAGTATTTGGTTGTATTTTGTAGTTCTCAAGTTACCCATGAACTTTCGTAGGCTAAACATTAAATAATTAACTTCTTGTAGCCCAATTTTGCAATTGATGTCAACGTGATTCCAATGTTATGTTGTCGTGATTTGCAGAGGTTGTGACAAGATTCGTTTTAAGAAATTGTATTCTTAAGATAAGATCCCCTTATTTTTGGAGAACTGGGTTTTGGAAAACTGGGTTTTGGAAAACTGGGTTTCGGAGAATTGGGTTTCGAACAACTGGGTTTTGGACAACTGGGTTGACCCCGATTTTTTTCCAAATGGAATTATTTTAGCATTTAATTTTTTATTGAGACTTCAATTTAAAAATCTGAAAACGCAGGATTATAGATCTTTTTATGCTGATTCCAGTGGTATTTGTGTCATGACATAACTCCTACAAATAAATTTTTTGGAGCCTTGAGACTGAAAATTCCAGGAAAATCCTTGGCCAAGGGGGGTTCTCTCGAACCCATCGAACCCCCCCTGGCTGCGGGCCTGGATGCCATATATGGTCATGCAATTGTTCGCGGAGAGCTTGGGTAACCAAGTGAGAGAGAAGCAGCAAATGAGAATAAACTGATTGTAATGACGTTTTCAACATATCTTCTAGCAAAATAAATTGCCTGATAGTTTTGACAAAAATTAGCCAGGAAGGGGCATGGTTTTTGTATTAGTTTCTATCTATTCAACAGAAGTGGAGAATATCGCTACATATATTCGATCATTTTTTATGGAATAGGCGGGCAAATTTAGTCTAATTGTTGAATAGTACGTTTTGGAAAGTGTGCTACATAGTAATATATAGTGGGTATGAAATATTTCTATATATGTCAAGATTTAATATTTCAGGGAAAATGCGTGACATATCTGCGTGAAAAGTCCAAACGAAATACATTCGTTTGTTTTCGGCATTCGGTTTTGTGCTGTATCGGTGATCATTTTTTGAAAGTTTTTCTACAGGAATATTTTTGCTGGACAATAATCAGGTAAAATGCGTATTTGCGTGACATATTCTGTCACGCAAAAAAAACTGGTGTGACTTCAAATTTTCCAGCAAATGCGTGACAACTATGCAAATTGCGGGACAGTTGGACGGCTTGCATCTATAAAAAGCAGACATAATGCGTGATTTGCATGACATTTTGTCAAGCAATTCAAGCAAATGCGTAACAATCACGCCTTTGCGTGAGGGTTGACAGATTGAGGGTTGCAGCAAAATTCCAAATCAATTTGATGATTATCCTCAAAAAAACATTTTTAACGTTTTTTAGGCCTGGATAGGCCTACATCCAGCAGAACTTTAGAAAAAAATTCTAAATCTTGGAAAAAAAATTTCATTTGGACTGTCTGGTGTAAATTTCTGATAACTAACCTAAAGAAAATATATCCATTTGATATAGTACTGTAGTCCAGCTACTCAAATCTTATATAGTTACCTCTATTTGAAGTTTTCTCGCTAGTTCTTCATCATCTTGTATCAATTCTGCCATTTGGCCATCTGGTATCACTCCGACATTGAATGCACCATTCTCAAATTCATTTCGTTCGTTGCGTGCTTTCAGGCACGAATTGCACTGAACGAAGTCTAGGAGATTGTGAATGCATACACGGTGACTATCCATGCCCCCGTTAATTTGAGACCCCATCTGTTAACTTACAAGACTTATGCCTGGCACAAGCGTCCTTGCATGACATTGGTACTGTTATCGTAAAAGCCCGGCGCGACAAGAGCCTTTATATGGCATTTAGGCCTAGGCCTATGACTTATTTTATTTTTCGCCCTATGTAAGTACCATCATGTATAGTATTCTTGATTTACATATTTAACTTGTATTTAAACACGAGGACATTTGTCATTCCGATATTCTCATGCTTCTAAATGTCATCGTCATGGTCATATCCTGCTTTACATTACCACGGTCATCATGACAGGCCTTGCAACCACTTTTGACAGTGAAACTCAGGACAACTTTATTTCATTGTCTAAAGTTTCAACATAGAACATAGTATCTCCCAAGGCCCCGCTTCGAACATGAGCAATAAACCAAAGTTCCCGCTGAAAACATGAGGAGGCCCCGCTGAAAACATGACCAAATCGCTCAAAATATTTTTTCTTCAAGGTTAAATTCAGAAACCGAGAGAATGCTTCGTGGTACTTTGTTATGCTTTGGGTAATCGTTCACGAATAGTAAGGCGGACTCGCCTTGGTAGTTAATAGGCAATCTGTAAAATTTCTTTTTTTTGTTTTTGAAATGTTATTTCGAATGTTGCCCTATGTATTCTTGGCATTATCTTGAACTTTTCAAAAACATAGTGAAAATGTTCATAATTATTAATTTTTTATTTTTTTTTAAATCAATTAATAGAAAAAATCATTTACCTCTCCTCAGTATAGGTATGGGATTCCTTTCGCGAATGGACAGCTAGAATGCCCCGTTTACGAGCCACTTTGGTGGGAAGCTATAAAATACCAGATTGGTCATACGGATGTGTGTTGTATTGTCGATGTGTGTTGCATCTTGCTTCAAGATCATGCCCCCCCCCCCCTATCTACTTTACAACAGCGGTTGAAAAGTAGATGCGAGGAGAGGGCAATACGATCTTTTTAACATTGTAAAACCATGGGCTCTCTAGTTGAAAGCCCATGGTAAAACTAATGCTAATGCATGGAAAAATGATCTCCAAAAGTGGTTGGAAAGGTTTAGACAAATGTTATGAGACCTACAACTACGAACAACGAGGCTGACGATCCTAATGCAACAATCCCTGAATGCAGCGAGAAAGGCGAGGGTTTAGTATCCTGCGCAGAGGTCTAGTTATAAACTTCCAAGGCTCTCTTTATATATGCATTATTACCATAGAATTCTCCCGCAGACAATCAATGATGTCCTATTGTTATATGCTCATGTTATATCTCACATACCATGGATATATCTGGAGAATAACTTTTGGGTATATAATTGCCGAAATATTGAACACTGAAAGAGGGGGATTTGGAACTTCTTCTTTGGTAAGTAGATGGGTGAATATGTGGTGAAACTCAATATGCAAAAAGTCAAGAGGGGTCTTGATTGTGCTATCCTATGGCATAGAGCCTCTTTAAGAAGTACCGAAGCTCTCTTTAATGATTTGAAGTCGAACGAATTCAAAGGGTAAGGATAACAAACGTTCTGTCTGCAAGGAAATTGGAAATAAATTTGTTCCCTATAGCCAGGGCAAAGTGACCAGTTCCATTGTGTGAGACGGACACTAGATTTCATTAGATTTCGTTTAATTTACACACATTCCTTTTTATTAGGTATCATAGATCTACACATATATAAACTGTGAATATTACTGGATACCGATCACAATCTCAACATATAGGGTGTTACACATTTCTTGAGATACAAGAAAATACATCTAATACATCTAAAAACGCGCGTTTATAATGTCATCAGAGTGATCACTATGAATGGGTGATTCTGCGTTGCAAAGTAGGTGTCCATTCGATGCAGTGATATGTCTTTGAATAGGGGAAGGTGTAATGCATCCAAAACTGTTCTGCTGACTACCGCATGACAGTTGCAACCTCCTCCTTGTCATAGCAAGTTCACGCTCCAAATCACTGTTATGAACTGTGACAAATCCATCCGAGTGAACATCACGGTGAAAAAGTCCACGGATATGGTCCTGGATGACAGGCTTGCAGGTTAATAGCCTTATGAGATCTTTGCGGAATTTTTGACCTCCGAAGATGTACAAATAGAAGTTAACAGCATTGTTTGTGAACCATAGTCTGTTGGCGATGGAATAGATGAGATAGAAGGTGGCGGGTTCAAGCTCTATGTGACTCATGAAGGCATTCACCATGATGATTATGTTAAGAGGTAGCGTCAAGAGAAGTAATGTAAATGAGACGGACAATAGCATCCGAGTAAGTTGTCCATCTTGGGAATTCTTTGAGAAAAATTTCCTTATGCGTTTAGCTGCCCGATTGTGTGCCAACATTCCTGTGGAACTAATTGACAACGAGCTTCCTAGTCCCGGACCAGACGACGTTGAAGTTCTCATACATGATCCCAATTCCTTCTGTTGGACTTGGTGTTTCTGCACGGCTTTTATAATGAGCGCATTGAATATAATGAGTAGGATAAATGGGGCAATTGATTCCAAGATGGTGTCAACCCAGGGGCAGATAAGCGAGACGTATATATTATAAGTCTGAGTTGGGTCATACACGCTGCAGTCCATCTTCGTTCCCGTGACGATGTCTATAGCCAGATAGCCAACAAAGTAAACGTGTATTGCCCTCACTGCAAGCACTGGACATAGGATGGCAAGAACCCGTTTAGCTCTCGTTGCGGTACACCACGCATGAGCGCGGAGTGGATACCAGACGGCTGTGAATCTGTCCATCGTCATTGCCACTACTATCCAAATTGAACATTCACCAAATGTACCAACCATGTAGGCAAATACCTTACAGAATGAATCAGTGAGTGTATCTGGCATCAAACACTTCACAATCCAATGTGAAGCTAGAGCTAAGATTTGGAGATTATCTATTACGGCTAACCCTGACATATACACTGACGTTGAGTTTCTTCTGTTTCTTGGTCGTGTCATCACGAGAAACGACAGCGTGTTCCCAATAAGTCCAGCAACTATAATGATGGGAGTGAAGTAGACATATATAGCGTCAGCTGTTTTATACTCATCACTTGCAAAGATTGCTCTTACGGCACTAGTATGAGCTGTAACGCTGTCATTGTCTGGGCGATGACCAGTTATATTATCCATGATACTAATTGGCAATCCACATAAATCATAACCATTCGGATAATACCGGAACATACTCCAATGTTTTTTACTTAAGTAACTCAGGGAGAGTTTTATCTAACACCTTTTGATGAGTTTAAGTTTACATTCAAGGCCAAAGATATACTGAAAAGTACTCCATTTCTATTTCCTCTTGAATATGATTGCATTGAATTGTACTACATGCGTTTCGCTGGGATGAAGAAAGATCCTGGGTTTTCTTTTACTTTAAACTTCTATCAGACATCATTTCTGTTTCTATCCATTGCTAGTATACATAGTGGAAAACTACGGACTAGCTACCAGTTGTAAACGATTATCATTTACATACATGAGAGATATTTTAGTCTTTTAGAAGATACTACAGATCTCGGTTGGTATCGCAGTAACGAAGTTTCCTCTTCAACTGACCATGCCATAATGTCTTTTTACTGATGCAAACAAAACGTCTAGCCTTCCGGTTTGGAAAATTCTACAGTTGGTATCTGAAATAGAAAGAAACATTAGCATATTTTCTCATGAAATGGTTTTCAATTCAAATTTTAGCCATCATGCTTAAAAACCTTTTTGCCATTTACCTAGCCCCAACTCCCCTTTTCATTCTGATTGATACGTAGCATATTCATGGCCAAACTCATCATATTTTCTTGAAACTGTCTAGAGACTATTATTACATGCTATCGTCTACATTATTAAATGAGATAAAGTATTCCAACTCATTTCCATTTTATTCTACCCTATCCGAGAATAAGTAGGCGTGAATCAGATATTTACTGAAAGAGCAGCTCTAACTGGAAAATCAATGATGTCATCAATAAGAAAATGTGAACAACCACTTGAAGAAACAACCTGTTATTTCTGGCCGAAATATCATCTGAACATGTTTCTAAGATAACAGGCGAGAGAAATCACTACAAAGATTATTCATCCACTCTATCCAATAACGTCTGACACGAGTAGTTCTGAGGAAAATAAGCTCTTCGATAGGCGATGATCGCATCTCGTAACCATGTACAATTGAGATGAATTGCAATTCAGCACTTCAATTTTGACGTGCTCAATTGATCAATGCATTTTTTAATTAAAAATTACTGTTTAGTACTGCTTGGATGTCGTTTTGAGTATGTGCCTTTAATCAGGTATTTTCAAGCTAAAAGCCAAGTCCAATCTCTCTAGATCAATTAATTAATCTTAATATTCGAATCCGTGGAAGATAAAAAAGATAAAGGTCACCCAAAAACAGCCTTAGAGCTTACATGCACATGTACAAGACCAACCTGTTAACCCAAATTGATAGCCACGGCAAATGGAGAAGCAATAATGGGCAAACAACATTGGGAATCCAAATGTACATTGCAAAAAATCGTTCATGAATAGACTTTCCATTTCAAGATTCATTCAAGTTTGCTGATTTAAGCCACATTCACATTTGCTCTACGGTGAGCTTACAGCGGCCGTACCTATTACAATATAAATAAATAAAATCTACATCGTACTGTTTATCCTTATATTTCACGATGCAAATTCGTCTCGATTTTGGGAAGCTACGGTCGCCGTACGATTGCCTTAGATTAAATGTGACTGAGGCTAAGCGTTGGTTTGAGAATTAAATGCATGATCGAGGGAGCGTGATGGAGGGGTGGCGTACATGTGATCAAAGTAATTAGATTAAAGTTAATTTTGTCAGGGCTTTGTAAAAATAACTTTTTACGAAAGAGTAAAACTGTTTGCAGGCATCCAGGCAGGCATAAGGCAATCTGATTCCACTCCTGAACGCTCATTCTAGCACATAGACTATTGCCTCTAGGCTCGATTTCTCATCGTACTTTTTGACATCCGTTCAGAAAATCAAAACGAAAAAAATTCAACTTTATCTCATGCTAATTTTTGATTTCAAGTTATTGCACTTACATGGACCTACCTCTTCAATTTTAAGGAAATTGTATATTTAAATTTCTATATTCTAAACATATCTTTTTAAGAAAGAATAATTTAAGAATTGTTTAGAGAAACATAGGCATGGGTAGCTTTTTGAAAAGATTGCTCCAAACATTTACACTCTCCGTTCTTTGGTGTTCCTTTAAACAAAGCGTATTTTTCTCAAAATAATTTGACATGATTTGTGATTAAAACATCCTATAACCTCGTGATTCCACGTTTAATTTCCCCACGACCTTACCTCTGATTAGTGATTTCCACGAAAAAAAGGATTCACTCCAATCCGTAAAGATCATTTTATGTTCCTAACATTTGTCCATGGTTTCAATAAGGCATTTACTGACCAAGTCAGATCTGGTTGAAACTTATTGTTTATCAAGCTCTTCAGCCCATGCTGTGATCGAGAACTTCTCTTATATCAATTGGTTCTTATCAATCTAATGTTATTACCATATTCAAGAAAATATTTTCCTCACTGAGTGTTGACCCAAATTCCGAGCCAAATCAACATGATGCGATAATATTGTCTTTTTATTTTTCGCCAATTTATTACAAACCAATATTCGTATTTCATTAATAATTATCAAAGCGTCCTTTTAGATCTAGAGTTATTTACACATTTATGGATATTGCTGCTAATAAATCTGACAACATATTTCCAGAAATTGTAAATTATCCAATCGCGGCATGCAGAACTTTCAAGTAAAATAAAATTTATTTCACTTTTGCTAAACGGATTCTAAACGATTCTATACGAACCGGTCCGTCTTCTCGCTGCAAGCAGGAGGAAATTCTTTGTCACAAAGTTTGGCATTTTTTATAAAATCAAACGCGCGTCATTGAAACTCACAAGATGTAAATAGCATGTCATTTACATCATACCTTGATGGGGAAAAATAGATCTTATATGTTAGAAGTACTTAATAAAAGTTATCGTGAAAATGAGACAGTCGTTCTCGAGAGAAAAGAACATAAATGCGCATTTAGAGAGTTTTGGTCCGTTTAAAAATGTGTAAAAAATTGGGGTACTTAAAAGCATTGAGAGGCATCATATATTTCAAATTAGACACGCGGAAGTCAATATTGAGCAAGTTATGGCCGTTTTAAATTCAAATAAAACCGTTAACCCGTACCGGTTCAGCTTTTTGACCCGTACCGGTCAATTTTCGTTAGCTGCGTATACCAAGGGTGATAATGACCCGGAATGAAAAGTTGGTGGAATTGATGAATTTATAATCTAACTGTAAATGTTGAGCTACGTTATTGGAATGATTTTGTTTGCCCTACTAGACCTCTCCATCAGCTGACTGTCTCGACAACCCGGTGCCAGAGTTAGTCTCCCTAAATAGATGGTCCGGGGAACCATACACCCTAGGACACCAGGTCCTAGGGTGATTGGTCTTAACCAGACCATATTTTCTGTATTGATAAACAATATATCCCAGGACTGACGGACTATAAATACGTTGACAGTGAACGATTGGATTGTGCGGCTATGTCGTGCTATGATATATACCTATTTGATATCTTATAAATGAATTAAATAACAATGCTTGCATATTGTCATGCATAATTGCACTCGATTCAATGACTTGAATCATTACTAGAGGTATAGCACCACGTTTGATTTTTTGTTTGTGAAAGAATAAAATAATTCTAAAATTAGATTCCCATGGTTTTGGGTGACAGCAGTATTACATGAACAATGAACGGTCTTGTATGTCAATGAACTATTACTTATACAGAGACTTCATTTATATACATGTCCATGGACATTTATAACCAGAAAATATGGTCCGGTGTCACTAGTTGGACATTTATAACCAGAAAATATGGTCCGGTGTGACTGCAGTAAGAGACCATAATTTGGTATTTAAAATCCGCCCCGGACACCCAGTTCTAGCAAACGGACTAAAATATCTAAGGCAATATAGTACGTCGGCCTTGTTATTCTATGTGACCCTAGCTCACTGGTATGCATCAACTAACATAGTCAGAAAGAGTCAGATTTTGATATGTCCATTGCTATAATAAACTAATTGAGGGGAGACTATAAACTTTTGACATTCATTTTTATCATACAAGCACTACCTCTATATCTTCGTAAATAAACTGCATTTATACATGTATTCTAGACATTCAGAGGGAGTGAAAATTAAACGTCATCAAACCTAAAAAACAGAGTGACCACAGTCCAAGATACACACCACTCCGTAAGTTTGGCAACCCCAAGGCTTGCCTGTAAACCAATGTAAACCAATAGGAAATTGCCGCAACTCATGTGATAGAATATCCATCCATCCCAGTTATCTCAAAAAGTACTAGTAGACAATATTGAATTTGCTCATTTTATCTAAAACCAGGTCTAAAAAGGTCTCCAAAGTTAAAACAATGTTTCAAGAAGCCTCCCCCATTGTAATAACACAGGAGTAAAAATGATTTCCAAAACCTTGACTTCGAAGCTCTGTAACTTTAATGTTCACAAAGTAAACCAAACACTGAGCATGCAAAAAAGTAAGACATCTAATTTGCTCCGAACCCACCATTTCCCATTGGTTTACATCGGAATGATGATTTTCGCAAATTCATCATTGTCATCAATTTCGACCTATTGTTTGAGGAAAAAATTTAAAAAATGGATCTATAAAGTCAAATTACATATCCGCCTCCATTATCATTTTTTTCGAATCGTGTATTGTTTTCGGATTATCCGAATCCCAAAAACTATCAATAACATTTAATCAAGAAGCTCTTGGAAAACTAGTCACTTCATTTGTCATAAAGTTGCGATCTATTATTATTTTTTTAATTTTTTTTATCAAGTTGAGGATTCGATATGCCACCTAAATTAGAGCCTCGGTTGCCAACCTTATGGAGGGGAGTAAATATCAGAAATTACTGAAAAGTAGTGTTTCTTGTGACTTGTATCAGGTCGTTCAATAAGTTTGCAGAAAATGCTGTCATTTCAAATTGTTCTAGAATAATTTTTTTCGATGAAATTTAACAAAACATCCAAAAATATTAGGTTATTGATTTATAAAACATCATTCATTTCTTCATATTTGTTTCCATTTCTACATGCTATTACTTCTCAAAGTCACATGCCCGCTTGCGAACTGAGTCTAGAGTTAACCCCATCATCATTTCATTGACCAATCAAGTTAGAAATGCTGATATTGCTCATATTATGGTATGGACCTTAACGTCCAAGATAATATCAATAACCAGATGTTTTTGAATGTAATAATATGTACATGTATGTGAGAATGTCACGACTAGAGCATTTTTCCGCGAACTTATTGAACAACCTCGTATATATTTATACAGTGTCTCGCAAAATGTAGGGCCCGGGTTTGATTATATACAACCTAAATACTTTGCACTGGATTATTAAATAGCCAGAGAACAATACTACAGACAGCTAAATTATGGTTATCGCAGACTGTATTTTGTGCAAGACCTTGGCAAGACGGTAGAGGTTCTATGTAAGCAGTCACGACACTTAGAGCATTTTCCCATTTAGGACACCCATGGAAATTCTCCTTGTGTCCACTACAAATTTGGGAATTCTCATTACATACACTCAAACTTTATTTCTACATTTCAC